GTCTTACTGAGTGTGTGTGTGTGTGTTAGTGAGTCTGTTTGATGTCTGTTAGTGAGTTTGTGTTTGTCAATGAGAGTGTATGTTTTGTAAGTGAGTATGTATGTATGTATGTCTGTCGCTGAGTGTGTCTTTGTCAGTAAATGTGTGTGTCTGTTAGCTAGTGTGTATGCGTCTGTAAGTGAGAGTGTGTGTGTCTTCAGCACTTACCTTTCTCCAGCACCGGACTCCCTTGGCGCTGGGGATCCCTCAGCCTCTCAGCTCCGAATGCGACCACGCACGCATTCAAACCGCCCATAGGAAAGCATTACTCAATGCTTTCCTATGGACATTCAGTGTGCTCCTCTAGCGGCTGTCAGTGAGACAGCCACTAGAGGCTGGATTAACCTTCAGTGAAACATAGCAGTTTCTCTGAAACTGCTATGTTTTCAGCTGCAGGGTTAAAACTAGAGGGACCTGACACCCAGACAACTTCATTGAGCTGATGTGATCTGGGTGTCTGCAGGGCCATCTTTAGCGCGGGGCAAACGGGGCAGCTGCCCCGGGCCCAGTTGCTCCTGGGGGGGCACCAGAGCAGCTGCCCCGTGGGCCCCGCGATTTCAGCAGCCCCCATGTACCCGGCGGCCGGCGGTGCAGCCGCACCGGCCCGCCAACTAAGGAGGCCCCCGGGTGGCCCATGCACTAAGGGCCACCCTGTGGGCATGTGGCAGAAGGGGGCCGGTCGGGTGCTGTGACGCTTAAACAGCGCGACCGGGCCCCTTCCTGTACCGGCTGGGAGGAAGTGAGTACCGCGTGTCACTTCCTCCCACCGGAGATAGCCGCGCGGGAGGAGGAAGGCAGGGAGGAGGGGAGTTCCAGAGAAGAACTCCCATCTGCCTCAGCCTGCCACTGGACCCCAGGCAAACCACCCTCCATAAAAAGGTAAGAACCTAGAGGGTGGCTAAATGTATGTCAGTATGTGTGTGTGTTAGTATGTCTTTGTTTGTGTGTTAGTATGTCTGTGTGTGTGTGTTTGTTAGTTTGTCTGTGTGTGTGTGTTAGTATGCCTGTGTGTGTTAGTATGTCTGTGTTTGTGTGTTAGTATGTCTGTATGTGTGTGTTTGTTAGTATGTCTGTGTGTGTGTGTTAGTATGCCTGTGTGTGTTAGTATGTCTGTGTTTGTGTGTTAGTATGTCTGTATGTGTGTGTTTGTTAGTATGTCTGTGTGTGTGTATTAGTATGCCTGTGTGTGTTAGTATGTCTGTGTTTGTGTGTTAGTATGTCTGTATGTGTGTGTGTTAGTATGTCTCACTGTGTTCCAGTGTGTGTGTGTATGTCAGTATGTCTGTGTATGTCAATACGCCTGTCAGTGTATGTGTCTGTGTGTGTCTGTGTCAATATATCTGTCAGTGTATGTGTCTGTGAGTATGTATGTGTCTGTGTGTGTATCAGTATGTCTGAATGTGTGTCAATGTTTGCCAGTATATATTTTTGTGTCAGTGTATGTGTGTGTCAGTATGTATCTGCAAATGTTTTAATTTGTCTGTCTGTGTGTGTATGTGTCAATATGTCTGTCAGTGTGATTGCGGGTTGGGCATAATGGGGAGGGAGGGTGCAGTGATAGGGCCCAGGGGGCCCAAGAAAAGGCTTTTCCTGGGGTCCTATTCATATTATAGACAGCCCTGGGTGTCTGTAGTGGTCCTTTAAGTGTGTGTGCATCTGCATGCACTGGCGTACATACCGCGGTCGCAGCCCTGTAACCCCTGCGACCAGGTGCCCACCGCCATGTTTTGCGGCCTGGCCCGCGCGCGGGGGGCCTACGGATCAATTTTCGCACCGGGGCCCCATGGGTCATGTGTACGCCACTGGTCTAAAAGATTGGCAGCCCTAATAATCAAATGTAGACAGACAGATAACATAACATAAAATAAAGAAAGCCTCTCTCCTTGTGAGACTTACAAGACAGGCATTGAAGAAAAAATGTAAATCATAAATCGTAACAAACTCCCATGCCTAAGTAAGTGAGTAGATGAAGTTGCTAATCAGGAATTAAGGGGAGATCTACTAACACCCTATGTCAAAGTTTCGTGCCTTTTTGGTTTTTTTTATGTGAAAAAAGGGTCTGCATTAAATGACATCTTGATACTTTATATTTCAGGACTGTATATCTGCAACTCAATATTACCGGTATATTAGTATTACAAATATTGTTTACCAATTTAGTTTCTTTACTGCTGTTTTTTTTTTTGTTTTTTTGTTCTTTATTTATAAGTGCAGAAATAGACAAACAGGCTTGGGTACCCCAACAGCATACCACAAGCATATCATTGTACAAAACATGTGGGACATTCCAGAAATTGTGCAAATTTTTTTTAATATAATAGCTAGTTCTACAGAAACTGCCATGTCTAGTGTATGATCAAGTTTGTAAAACAGAAAAAAGAATATAGGTTTATGAAACAAGAGTATAAGGATATAATATCGTGGGTTAAGAATAAGAAAAGTGCCTTTAGAGGACATGAGTAGCAATTGCATGTTAACAACAATAAAATCAAACAAAATTAGAATAAACACATGCTAGACAGTATTATGTTCTACACCATGTATGAACAAGCTAGTAGACAGCTCACTAGACAAAACATTAGATTGAGCTGTATGGGAAGGTCCACCAGGGAAAGCCTAGGTTGTTCTAACACCCTCGGGTGAGGTAACAGCAAGCATCAATAGAGTGGCATTGTGAGAGGCGAAGTAGGGAACTAGGCAAATTACTCTATAAACAAATTGAAAATAAAAATAAAAACCTGTGCACCCTCCACTGCTGCGCTGCCCTACTAGAGACCACGTGCCATTGTGCTGTTATTTCTCGCCTTCTGACAGGCTATCCTCAGACATGCATACCAGCTGGCCACCCTGCTTAGGCGCGGGTGAACGTGCTCCTGCCACCTGAGAGTGACCCCTGTGGTCCTCCCGCATAGGGCCACCCACTAGCGCCCTGCGATCCGATGCCTTGCGAGCCTGGCGCAGCACGTTTTTCCTGGCCTCTGGAAGGGGCATTGACCCAGCCCTCATTGTTAACACTGGGATTGATGGGAGTCTGTGCTGCGCTTGAATACCCTCTCTCCCCCCCCCAACCTGCACTCCTATGCCTGGGCCAGTATTCCTGAGGGGCCCCTGCCCTAAAAGGGTCTGGAGCCGTATTAGGAGCACCTAAACTGCTACCCCCAGTTATTCCTGCCTTGGGCCGTTTATCCTTGCTTGGTGAATGGGCCGTCAGTGTGGCCGGGATTACACTCACCGGATGAGGAGACTGCTTCCACTACAGCCTCCGATCTCCAGGCGGCGCTCCCCTTCCTCCAGAAGCCCGCCATTGCCAACAGCGTCTTGACTCCCCTCCTGCCGACCAAGTGTTTCCCGACGTTCTGGCCCCACGCCGCAGTCCCCCAGCAACGCAGGCCGTAGATCACTAGCTTTCGCTGATGCTCCGCCTCCAGCCTCATTGCCACGATCGCCATCTACTGCTCCAGGGATCCTTCCTCTCCGCCGAGCGGGCATGGCACTTTGCCTGAGGTGGTCCGGCGGCCTGGTTCTCTGCGATGGCCGTTGTCACGGTGCTGATGAAGGTCCCGCCGATATCCCTGACATCCTGAGCCACTCCTGGATCCATCCAGTGCCACACTGATCCACCATCGACCGGACATTCGCCAAGAAGACCTCCACAGGGTTCATTTGTAAAAGAAAAGAGGGAGACACCGACCCTACAACTACAGATAAGGGAAGGTAGATTAAAATGGCCACTACCTAAAATGGCCAGTATATATACACACCGTAAGCCCTATTAACCCCCATCGCCCCTTCTATTAGCTTCCTATGCCTGTCTCCTAGCTCTGTCAGAGCCCATTCCTCCTACTATGTCCATGGGCTAAAAAAAGGCTGGTAGGGGAGACAAAGACACACAGAGAGGTTTAGGAGAGAGGCACACAGAGTTGCTTGTGAGGGAGACACACAGAGGAGCCTGGGGGGAAAAGAGACACACCAAGGAGCTGGGAAGAGTAAGACACAAAGGGGCTTGGGGGAGTAAGACACGCAAAGGGGTTTGGAGGATGTAGGAGACATACAAAGAGAGGGGGGTATAAGAGACACACAAGGGGCTTGTAAGAGGTACAATAAAGGGTGTAAGACACTATTTCTAAAGAAAAAATATTTTAAAAAAATGTATATTAGCAAAATAAATATAATAGAAATAAAGAGCTGCTCCCCTCTCAGCCCCTATCCTACCCCAAAAACCCTCTCTTTCACACTACACAGATACACAATGCATCCTTACATATGCACAGAAACATACAATGCATCCCTTCTCACATACAGACACACAGAAACACACCATGCTTCCCTTACACAGTCAGAAACACACAATACATCCCTTATAATCACACACACACACAATGCAGCCCTTGCACACATACAAGGAAGCACACAATGCATCCCTTACACACACACACACACACACACACACACACTGCTTCTCTTAATGCATCTTGCACACACAATGAACCCATTACAGACACACACTGCATTACATTACATTGCATACACAGAAACATACCTTGCATACCTTACACATACAAACACAGATTCACACAATGCATCCCTTACACACACACACACTACATCCCCTACACAAACTGGTATCCCTGTGCACTAAATTCCATAAGAACACACATTACATCCTCTACAACAGGGGTGTTTAAACTTTTTTCAAAGAAGGCCAGATTTGATGAAGTGAACATGCGTGAGGACCAACCATTTTGCCTGACATTCTTTGAACCATTAAAATTAATTGCAAATTAACTATTTTATGCAATGTTTATTGCTAACAGCATCCTTTTCATTTAATCTCCTTATTATGTCTCTTTATTTTGTCCCTTCTCTCTTTCATTCGGTCTCTCTTTTTTATGTCCCTTCTCTCTTTCATTCTGTCTCCATTCTGTCCCTCCTCTCTTTCATTCTGTCTCTCTTTATTATGTCTATGTCTCTCTTTCATTCTGTCTCTCTTCATTCTGTCTCCCTTTATTCTGTCCCTCTCCATTCTGTCCCTCCAAGGAGAAATAACCAAATCCCGTGACGTAAACGTCCAAGAGATCCCGCGACGTCCAAGAGATCACAGACCGAGGATGAGCAGTGACTGCACGTCCATCTGCGTAGTCACGATCTATTGGCCCCCAGTAAATCCCCGCACGCCGCTCATTTACTGGGGGCCACAACAGATAGATTAGCCAAATTACCTGTGGGTCTGTATTAAACCGGAACGCGGGCCGGTCTTTGGACATGACTGCTCTGCAATAACACATAACACATCACCTACACACATACACTCCACTCCAGTGGCGTACACATGAACCATGGGGCCCCCGGTGCGAAAATTGATCGGTGGGCCCCTCCCCCCCCGTGCACGGGCCGGGCCGCAACACATGGAGGTGGGCACCTGGTCGCAGGGCTGCGACCCCTGCGACCGCGGTATGTACGCCAGTGCATGCAGATGCACACACACTTAAAGGACCACTACAGACACCCAGATCACATCAGCTCAATGAAGTTGTCTGGGTGTCAGATCCCTCTAGTTTTAACCCTGCAGCTGAAAACATAGCAGTTTCAGAGAAACTGCTATGTTTCACTGAGAGTTAATCCAGCCTCTAGTGGCTGTCTCACTGACAGCCGCTAGAGGAGCACACTGAACGTCCATAGGAAAGCATTGAGTAATGCTTTCCTATGGGCGGTTTGAATGCGTGCGCGGTCGCATTCGGAGCTGAGAGGCTGAGGGATCCCCAGCGCCAAGGGAGTCCGGCGCTGGAGAGAGGTAAGTGCTGAAGACACACACACTTACAGACGCATACACACTAGCTAACAGACACACATTTACTGACAGAGACACACTCAGCGACAGACATACATACCATACACACTCACTTACAAAACATACACTCTCATTGACAAACACAAACTCACTAACAGACATCAAACAGACTCACTAACACACACACACACACACACTCAGTAAGACACACACACAATAACACACTCACTGACACTCACTAGCAGACACACACACTAACACTCACACTAACACTCACTAGCAGACACACACTCTAACACTCACACACACTCTAACACTCACTCTGACACTCACTCTAACTCTCACTCTAACACTCACACTGACACTCACACTGACACTCACTCTGACACTCACACTCACTCTAACACTCACTCTAACACTCACACTCACTCTAACACTCTAACACTAATACATGTTTGTTTGTTTTTTTTAAAAATGTAATCCCCCCAGCTGCCTTACCTTTTGGAGTGCTGGGGGGATTCCCTGGGGTCCAGTGGTGCTGCTGCTGGGCTCCTGGGCGAGTGGCCAGTCGGGCAGTCAGGCGGGCGCGCGAGGGAGCACTCAGTGCTTCCTCTTCAGCTCCCTCGCGTGCCGCGTAGGGATGCCGGCGCCGGAAGATGACGTCATCTTCCGGCTCCGGTATCAGTGTGGTGCGCGAGGGAGCTGAAGAGGAAGCACTGAGTGCTCCCTCGCGCGCCCGCCTGCCTGCCCGACCGGCCACCCGCCCGCCGGGTGTCAGCAGGGCCAGCCTCGGGGGGCCCTGAGGTGGCCGGCTCCTGGGCCCCCCAGGGGAAGAGGCTGGCCCAGTGGGTACATACCGGGTCGCAGGGGCGGCCGGGCCCCCTGGTGGGCCGGGCCCGGTCGCAGCCGCGACCCCTGCGACCCTGGTATGTACGCCACTGCTCCACTCCCTGTGAGCGAACTCATGGATGGGCCTTGTAGGCATAAGACTTATGGGCGGGCCTTGTAGGCATAGTCACGGTTAGGCCCTGTGGGCCCAGACCTTAACCCAGACCCCAAAAATGGAGCTGCTTCCTGTTTCTTGATTTTTGTGAGCACCGCTTCCAGAGCAGTTTTAACACGAGAGCAGTGGACTGGTCAGACTGTAGCCTGAACCCATCATCCTCCTCTTGTCCTCATCTGTTGGTAAGTAGGCAATCCAGTACATTATTAGTGGCACTAATCTCTAATTTACCTCACATTAAAGGGACACTATAGTCACCAGAACCACTACAGCGTAATGTAGTGGTTCTGATGTCTATAGCCTGCCCCTGCAGGCTTTTTAATGTAAACACATTGCCTTTTCAGAGAAAAGACACACTGTGCAGAACTGACGTTTGCCCATATAGCAGATCATATGGGTGGGGTATTGTGATATCCAGGGCTTGAGTCCTGCAGGAATGCGTGGGAACAGCGTTCCTGCACTTTTTCACAGCAGGAACGCCTTTCCCGTTGCTCCTGCAGGCACTCAGGGGGCGGCAAAGAATGCCGACCCCCAATTGCCCGCTGTGTTCCCCTTGTCATGGGGGAGCCCAAGAGGTGGCATGATGGCCACCTCATGGACGCCCCCCCCTCCGGCAGACAGCTGTCTCCCAGTCAGATGCGGTGAGGGAGCTGTGTCCTCTCTGCTCCCCAGCGCACCGTTTGCTGATCCCGGGAGCCGGAATATGACATCATATTCCGGCTCCCGGCATCAGTAGACAGCCCGCGCGGTGAGAGGAGGCAGAGCAGAGAGGACACAGCTCCCTCACCACATCTGACAGGGAGACAGCCACCCGCCGCACTGAAGCCCCACTGGACCCCAGGGACAGGTCCACGCCAGCTCTCCAGGTAGTTTTAAAAATATGAATAATTTGTGTGTTTCTGTGAGTGTATATGTGTGTGTGTGTGTGTCTGTGAGTGTATATGTGTGTCTGTGAGTGTATGTGTGTGTGTCTGTGAGTGTATGTGTGTGTCTGTGTGTGTGTGTGTCTGTGAGTGTATGTTTGTGTGTCTGTAAGTGTATGTGTGTGTGTGTCTGTGAGTGTATGTGTGTGTGTCTGTGTGTTTCTGAGTATGTGTGTGTGAGTGTGTGTTTCTGAGTATGTCTGTGTGTCTGTGAATTTATGTGTCTGTGAGTGTGTGTGTGTGTGCCTGTGAGTGTGTATGTGTGCACCGGTCAGTGTGTGTGTGCACACGTTTATATATGCATAAGAGTGTATATTGGTTTTGTTTTTTTTGGTGGTGGGGGGGGGGGAATTGGATTTTGGGTGATTTTGGGTGAGTTCCCACACTTTATTCCCCAGGACTTGACCCTTGGTGATATCACATGGTGTGCAGAGCATATCTTGTCCAGGCTGTATTTAGGTGTGGGGAGCAGAAGATTTGGTAGCTGGGCATGTTAGATGCATTTCTCTGCATTAATAGAGCCAGAGACTTGTCTATGAAAACTCACATCATGCCCAGTTATCCCAGAGCATGATGTGAGTTGCACTCTGCAGCTACTGAAACCTGCCTCACCCTGATGTAAGAGCCTCAATAAATGGTGCTGTGGGCTTCCTGGGTGGAGGCGTTGTCCTGCTTCAAGCAGGTTTACAGTCATTTATGGGAGAGGCTGGTTGCCAGGAAATTAAACACAGAGAAGCAGAAGGTGGGTGGATAGGGACTGCCACGGAGAAGGGGAGGGGAAGAGGCTCAAGGAGGAGCCAAAAAGATGTCACCTAGCCAGGTGTAGCTCATCACACTGTGGTCCCACACTGTCTCTCTGCTGGACTGCTGTCAGCTCCAACATGGTGCTTGGGAGCCCTAAATACTTAACATGACCCCCATGGGATCAACACTCGGGACACATGGGGATTCTACTGGCAACCTGGATTTATCTGCCGGGTGTACTCACCCACGTTCTACTACTCCTGCTCCTGGGATTAAGCTCTGGGCAGGACTCTCAGAAGGAAGATATCTGTGTACTCATCGAATCCAATATGGTAAGCACATTACTTATCTACTTAGACAATAAACAATATATATATTTATTTTATTTTAATTTTTTATGTTTTGCGCTTAGAATCTTTGTAGCAATGCCTCACCCCCTTTCATTGAAGTGGTTAAATCTAGACAAGTTGCCAGTTTTTCCCAGTACGTACTGGAAGTATGTAAGTTATGTGTAGTAGTTGTTTCTGTTGTGACATTTCTTGATTCGTTTTGTATAGCTGTGTTGCTGATTGCATTACTTGCAAACAATGATGGAACTCGAAATGTGTCAGTGTAAGACATTAGAATTAGGGACTACTGCTGTTTTAACTGTTTTCTTTGGTTAATTTTGAGTTAAATATTTGACTTTAATGAACATAAAAAAAATCTAAATAATTCATAAAGTTTAAAAAAGTTCACATTTTCTAAGAACTGCCAAACACCTGATCAGTGCCCTCAGCAAAGTGTATTTATTTACACAGTGATTCCAAAGATAAGGGGGAAAAATGTTAGTTGCCAATTTCTTAAAAACAGGTCAAGAATTCTGTTATATTACCTCCATCGCATATTTTACGTGAAAGGGGTGTAGCCAAAATAAACAATGTAAACCAAGACTGGATAAAAGCTAGATCTCCGGAACTGCAACTCCCACGAAGCTCTGCCAGCCATATAGAGTGGCAAAGCATCATTTAAGTTGAAGTTCCAAAACATTTTGTGATCTATCTTTTGCCCACCCCTGGTGTATAGTATGCACATTATAGATGTTTTTGCTGATTATAGTACAATTTTATAAAAAAATAAATGCATCCCTCTCAAAATGAAATTAACCAAGGTGAATGAAGAAAAGAAAACAATTTTAAGAAGATTTTAATCCAGATTACAAAAAAAAATAAAAAAAAAAATTGTATCTTCAATTTAGTTATAGTCTTATTTGTCAATACTCCTTATGTCCAACAATTTGCCAATATTGTTTAGATAAGGAATGAACAACCCTATAAATTAACTTCTAAAGTATGTTTTTTTTAATATATATAATTCTTCACAAATGTCATGAAGTTTATGTGCATCTCCTTGTTGCTGTATCCACCATCCCCTTACTGTTCACACAGAAATATCACAAGAAAATAATTTAATAAAAAAACAAAACCAAATTTAAAATTTAATTGCCACACAGTCTTGGTTTATTAGATAAGAATTACCTTGAACTATCACTAGCTAATAATAGTCGGACTTCTGCTACACCTATATATTACATTTTCACATCCACTCCCTATACTACTCACAAATATTTCTGTTGCACCTATCAACTAGCTCGCCTACAACTACTATCACTACATACTATACAACACTTGTTTGAATGCTACTCCCACTATCTGCTAACAAATTCTCAACCAGTACTGTCAATACCACTATCTCACATCTACACCTAAAAGGACTATATCCACTAATATCCCCAACATCAACTTCTCCGTAACTGCTACTCCAATTATACACTAATATCCCCACTGTTCAATATTCATTGACTGCAACTCCCACTATTCCCTAATATTCCCATTGTCCTTTCCTCCCTGATACCAATTGCCACTGCTTTACTAATCCCAAAAAGAATGGCTATTATTTCATAATTTAAAAATAGTTAATGTATATTCATATTAATCAAGTCTGTTTTGTAGAGTATTACAGACCAATGTTAGAATATACTGTTAGAATACTGATCCAAAACTAATTTTTGGATTTTGCAGAACCCCTATATACAAGGTTTCAATGTTTTAAAGTCTTTAGATATAGAGTTTCTAAAATACAGCACATCTTCTTAGCATAATATCACATGGCGATATAAAGATTAACAGACATTTGCATCAGGTTTTTTTAAGCTTGCTATAAAATGTTCCACTGCTTTCCTGACAGTTTATTGGGTGTGAGAATTAGGAGCTAAACTAGGTATGAAAGTATTTAATGCAGGGTAAGGGGTAGAACCCTTGAATAGCCACTAAGGTAAATTCACTAATAATAGGGTAATGTAATACTCTTGTGAGGCTCCTAAAGGCTTTTTACAATATATAAATACAACCACTGCTAATTATGTTTGTTTTTTAATGGTTTTACACTGTTACAGTTACAAACCTGTCAACTAGCGAAAAGTCCCTGAAATTCAACTCTTATGTTGTATTCGTGCCTTATGCTTTATGTCACTTATATTTCTATAAAAAATGCAAGATAACTTAAAGGGACACTATAGTCACCTGAACAACTTTAGCTTAATGAAGCAGTTTTGGTGTATAGAACATGCCCCTGCAGCCTCACTGCTCAATCCTCTGCCATTTAGGAGTTAAATCCCTTTGTTTATGAACCCTAGTCACACCTACCTGCATGTGACTTGCACAGCCTTCCATAAACACTTCCTGTAAAGAGAGCCCTATTTAGGCTTTCTTTATTGCAAGTTCTGTTTAATTAAGATTTTCTTATCCCCTGCTATGTTAATAGCTTGCTAGACCCTGCAAGAGCCTCCTGTATGTGATTAAAGTTCAATTTAGAGATTGAGATAGAATTATTTAAGGTAAATTACAACTGTTTGAAAGTGAAACCAGCTTTTTTTTTTCATACAGGCTCTGTCAATCATAGCCAGGGGAGGTGTGGCTAGGGCTGCATAAACAGAAACAAAATGATTTAACTCCTAAATGACAGTGAATTGAGCAGTGAAATTGCAGGGGAATGATCTATACCAGGGGTAGGCAACCTACGGCACTAGTGCCATGCACAGCACTCAAGGTGTCTTTGAACGGCACTCAAGGCTGCTAGAGCCAAACCCACTCTGGCCTATCAGGAGTCCCAGTAAAACTTCAGATATTTGCTAATACGAAGAGGTGATAAAGGACAATCCTCAATTTGTGCATTGTAGCACTAGGAGGAAGTGATCTCAGATCACTTCCTCCCAGCACTTGTGAATGCGAATCCACACTGTAGTAGAGCAGCCCTCGACAGCTATCGCAGCTCCTGTTCTTGACCTGTACCTGGCCAGCCTGGTCCCCACTGGAACAGAAATGCAGAATAACCCTCCCCTCATACAAATAATATGAACAGCCCACACACACACACACAACACACAATCCCCACAAATGCAACACCACTAACAATCCACATGCATGCACAAAACCCCACATGCAGCCTCTCACATGCAATACCCCAAACAGCCCCCACACACTACCAAACACACAATGTGATATATCCATCCACACACAATTCCACAAGCAGCTCTCATACACAGCCCACATTCATATGTATCATACATGATACCATAAACTACTCCTGAACATATACAATATAATAGCTCATATACGCACAAATACAACGATACAAAGCAATTACAGTAAAAATAACACAAGCAGAATACGGCAGCATACACACCTCAATTTTAAAAAATAGGATCGGCACGCTACGGCACATCACAATCCTATATCGGCACAGTGCTGGTAAAAGGTTGCCTACCCCTGATCTATACACTAAAACTGCTTTATTTAGCTAAAGTAATTTAGGTGACTATAGTGTTCTTTTAATCAGTCTAAAACCAGTATGACTCACAAAACTCTTTGCCAAGGTTACTGCCTGAAGGACCTTTTTCTGGGTCAGAACCAGTGCCATGCTTTTGGGACTCGGAAGGTTGTAGTGATACGGTTCTTGGTTCTAGGTCTTTTTGTATCACAATCCATGACTTTCTAAAAACTGTGTTTAAAACAGTTCACCGCTGCTATGGGTGCCTACTGAAATGCAGGATAAGTTTGAGATATGATGCTCACCTGTGCTCATTTGCAAGTCCAGCAGAACATTCTGGGAGAATTGAGAAAACATAATTTCTTGGGATTGCTGTTCCCAAGACAGACTTGTCTTAACTCCTGACTTTTGATATGTAGATGATGTACATCAGTACAATTTGAATTTCCATGAATCAGTGTAGAGTTTTATCATGTTTTAATCTCACCACAACTTATGCATAGCTCTTTATTTTTATTCTGTGAAATTGTCAGATTCTGTGTTTACCTATGTCACATATATTCAAACCAAGATCAATCTGGACTTAAAGTTTCAGGTGTTTAGCTTCCAGCCAGGCCACACGTTACTCGCCACTGCAACCTTGTAAGGTCCATGGTAACACACCAAAAGGGTGAATTTCTACTTGCCCATGACTACATTTTCAATTGCTAATATCTACACTAATATTTCTTACAACGTCTTGAAGATGTATTGCCTAACATTTTTTAAGATTTATTGCTTCTTTACCCCTGTGTTGGGGATCCAAAAACAGACTCCCTTGTAATTTTAAATGGTCTCAAGTAGTTAGAATAGGCACATTATATTATATACCACGGGTGCCTTAAATGTAGATCCCCAGATGTTGTACAACTACAACTCCCTTGATGCTTTGCATACCTTTAGAATGACAAAGCATTGTGGAAGCTGTAGTTTTAAAACATCTGGGGATCTACCTTTTGGGCACTCCTGTTATATACAAAGTGTGAGAAGATGCACACAATAAGTTGGTTATCAGGAGTTATGTATAAAAGTGTTGTATTATGAAAAGTGGTCTAAAGTATCTAAAATTGGGGCAATCACCCAATTGAAACCAGTTGAAACCAGTGGAACCAGCAGCCACAATCCATTCCATGATATTGATTCTAATTAAATAATACTTGGAAAATAGGTTACCAAGTTAACTGTAATACCAAATGCAGTTTGGGATTAGCACTATGGAAGACAATAGCAGTTTGGCGAGCACAATGTCAATGTATTGATGACTGACATCAGGTCATCTGAGCTATGAAAGGTGCACATTTATTACCATGGCAAGGCTGAATGAAGTTTCTGTGTCACTGTACTAATGCAGTCAGTCCGGTTTTGCACATGTTTGTGCACTTAGGTGATGCTATAATTAGCTATTTGGAAATTGGTAGTATATAGCTATGGAGCTTATTCACAAAACTCTAAATAGCAGCATTATAAAATCCAAATGGCAACTTTGAGGCTGAAGAAGCTGATCTGGATTTTTTTTTTTCAAAATCACTTATAATTACAGTTCTGCTATTTTACATGATGTTGGCATTTGGATTTTATTTATTTATTTTTTTTAAATTCTTTATTTTTGTAGTGCAGAAGCTGATAACATATTGTTGCAAGGTACCCCAACAGCACTCCTCCAACGCATACTAGACATTTGAAACGTAGAGGTACATACAAAATCAAGCACAATTTTTATACTTAGAGATAACGGAGGTAATAAACAGTAGAGGATTTTATGTTATATTAACAAGCTTAAACCTTTAAGTTATGGATGCTGGTATACTGTAGTAGAAGTCTTACACTATAGACAGTACAATCACCATCAGAGCCTGAACTGGCCTTCAAGAGTTATCTACGTTAAGTGTTGCAGTACTTATGACTGACTGGCTTATATATGATAATGACAACTTGACTGTGTTTTTCTTGTGATCAACATTAACAATAGGCCCAAAAGCGGCGGGCATGTACATTCTGAATTCCAATAATAGCTGTTGTGGCTTATAATGCACATGACTTGGCCCTTTAAGTTAGCTTTTACGCATTAGTGACAGATCTAGTGGTTCTTAGGGCCACATCCATGTACTTTTTTAAATTATACAACATTGCTCAGATCTATGTACAGTAAAAGTATAATGCATGTTTGAGTGGGACGTACATTTATCTTCCAGACTAAGGCGTGCATTACTATATTACAGATATGTTTTTTAGAAGGGCATAGCTTATGCTGGTCGACGTTATATGGGGGGGGGCTGGCTGGCATTATGACAGTGTCCCTTTGTAACGAGGTTACTGGGCTCCTGTCAGATCTGAGTAAGTCAAACATTTAAGCTTAGCTAGTGCTCCCTCATAGAGTGACATGTTAATTAGCATAGGCTGTACTTATGTGGGTAGCTAAGGAAACACATAATTATTAAAGGTTTGTTAAGTTTAATGCGATGAGGCTTAGGCCTGACGTGACATTAGCGCAGCTGACTTTAGTTTTAATTAAGAGTATAGTGACTAGCTCCCTTACACTGCATCACACTTCTTATATTCATTTATAACATTAAACATTCCGCATATGTGTGGATGATGTGTCCAGCGGTAGCATCGGTCTGGGTTAACAGGGGCTGTTAGAGTTGGTCCTTGTGAGAAGTGGGCAATAGGTCCCTAATATACGTAAGGTCAGCCATTGCCCTGGTTCGGAGGAGGCAGGAGGTCTGGTAATGACACAAAGATGGAGTGTAAAATTGAGTGGTGAAGTCACTCAAAGTGATGCTCCTGCAAGTTGTAAGAGACATACCATGCTCTTGAGAGGCCGGGGGAAGGTGAGGGTGTCCTGGGGTGATGCAGTCATCAATGTCGTTGATCCAAGCTGGATCTCTTTGAGACCTAGGTGGTCAGGAGGTGGGAAAAACTGCAGTGGGCCGCATTTACAGGGTGGGGAGGTTCATTGTGAACAGTTCTTGGTTTTATAGGAATTCTTCGGCTGGTTGGTCGGGCAAGGGTAGGGTGCTTCGGGTGGTCCATGTAGCATTGTAATCATTGCCGTAACCGTCGGATGTGTGTTGCTAAAATTAAATCATGGGCTCTTCGGCTTTGCTTAAGTGGTGACCGAGGCGTATGTGACCGGTGTGTTGTTTCGTGGTACAAAGGGAGGGTTGTTCTCTGGGTCCCAGCTGTGAGCCGGGGTGGTGGGGGCTTGGTGGTCCGCTTGGGAGAGAGAGTCCTTCGGTATGCCCAAGGCCTGTAAAAGATCCGCAGCATCCTGTGGGCCGTGGATTTGGTGAGTTGTTTCTCCCTGCTGCACGAGGAGTGTGTGGGATGACCTCCAGCGGTATAATATTTTGTGCCTTTGGAGTGTGGCAGTGAGTGGTCTGAGCGATCTACGCCACGCCAGAGTTCAGTTTGAGAGGGTCATTGTAAAATGTCAGCTTTGTGTTCTCAAATTGTATAGGAGTTCTTCCCCGGAGGGCGGTGGTGATCGATGCTTTGTCTGATCTATTTTTGAAGGTAAGGATAGTGTTCCTTGTGGCCGCGTCTGGGGCCCTGGCAGGTTTCGGGATCCGGAATATATCAGTGGGAGTGATGGGCTTAGTGTGGCCTGGGGGCAGTATAATGGTCAGCAGGCGCCTGATGGTGTCCGGCAGCTCTGTCTCTGGTAGCCCCTCCGGGATCCCCCTGACCTTTATGTTATGTATCCTTTTGGCGTCCTCCTGGGCGTCTAGGCGCCGTTCAAGCATCATATTTTTGCGGCTCAACTCTTGTACGTCTCTCTGCAATGTGGTGATGGTGCGCTGATTTTCTTGAGAGGAGTCTTCCAGCACAGCAATTTGGCCCATGAGGCCCTGCAGCCTTCCCCTTAATGCTGTGACATCCGCAAGGATGTTTTTCTGTAAGTCTGCTAATAGGGTTTTTAACACCCCTGTGGTTACCAGGTCTGCATCAGGATCAGACCTTGTTTTGCCTGGTTGTGTCCTTGGTGTTGGGTCAGGGGCTCGGAAGTATTCCTCCTCAGCTCCCTCTGAGCAGTCGTCCGAGAAGTCCGTGCAGCCTCCGTGGAGCGCCGCCATATTGGCCTCACCGCGTGCTTGCCGCCACATATCCCCTATTGTTAGTCCTGGGGCTGGTTTGTCCGGCATCGGTTTTTTATTTTTGCGTCCCATCGTGCTTGAGGGGTTCCTGTGTGTGGTCGTTGTTAAAAGGGGTGATGTAGGCTGTAATTAAGCTTGATTTCTCCGGTTTTAACACGGAGCTCCAGGGTTGTGAGTCCGCTCGTCTCGGCTGTCAGGCTCCGCCCACTGGCATTTGGATTTTAATATGCTATAGTTTGGAGTTAGCGAATAGTTCTGTATGCCTGATGCATCTAGATGTGATATAATTCTGATGATATTGTGGGTTATTTGTGAAGAGCAATTCTGAGACTGAAATGGTTTATTTACTAAAGTAATATTTCAAACTGAATTCAAAATAAATTTAAGTCCACAGTAGCCAATGTGAAAGCACAGCTATTTCTCACCTTAGTGTATAATTAAGGCTGGGTTGGCTCTCACTTTTGTAAATAACTGTAAATTGTAAAAACTGTGCAAATACCTTAAAAAACTAATTAATGTCCCTGGTTTCTATTGGATTGTTCATCACTTTGCATTTTGTACAGTTTTGCAAAGGATTGGGCTAATTTACTAACGCCATATTAATGAAAAAGTTGATGCAAGAGGCAACTTTACTTTATGCTACACATTTCATGTCAAATGTTACTAACAGTTGGGTAATTCCGAATGCAGCTACAATAACTGACTTTGACCTTTTTTTGTGTGTGTGTGTTTGTATTGTGTTACCACAATAAGGAAAAAGAAGTGCTTGTTTTTTTAACAGACCATTAACATGTATTTTATGGCGACAATGAGTTTATCAAATTGGTTGATAAACTTATCTTTGTACACACAAATCAGCATCACTCCGTGTTTGTCCTTGTTTTTGTCCTTTTTACATACGTGCTGAGCAAGACGTGACCTATTTGTTGGAGCAGTAAATTTTAGACTTGTGCGCTAATGTTAAATAAGGCAAATTCCGGACCGAATTAAAGAGATTACAAGGCATTTGATTTGTTTGTACCAGCTGAAACACAATTGTGCACAAGTCTCGTAAATTCCTGGAAAAGCTATCCTCATTTCCAAGATTTGGCAATTATAGTTCTTTTTCTCCCACAATACTCTTACGTAAAATACATCCTTCTAGGTAGATTTCCACTTTCATTGTAGATTTGTTTTGTACATTGTAATTGTCATAACTGTCTTAATAGCTAATGTTTGGCAAACCTCTGAAACTTGTACTGTGAAGGATGTTGTAAAACTTGAGGAGAAATTAAAACATCAAAAAAATGCTGCATTTTTAAACGGTTACTTCAAGCAACATCACCACTTCAGTGTTTTGAAGTGGTCATGGTACTTGGAGTTGGTATGTGCAATGTTTCACCTTGAAATTCTGCACATACTAAGATATATTTAGATTGCTTCCGGAGGTGTAAGTTCACCTTCAGGAGTGTCATCATCCAGCCTGCAGCATGAGTTCCAGGCTGGCTAATGTCAATTATGTGCATATTCCTTTTACTGAGGGTCATTCATTGGCTGACATCGTTCACCTGACACTCTCAACCAATGAAAAACTGTTAGGACCGGCATCTGGCTTCTGCGTGACACCGAGCTTCAGAAGAGACTCAGCGTCCAGTGGGACTCAGATAAGAAGCAATCCGTTGGTTAGGGAAGGCAGGGTATCCATAGCATCATTACAACTACTGGTGGGACTAACCCTTTTTGATGCCCGAGACAAGCATCTGCTTTCGGGCCTCCTGTCCCATGTCAGCTCTCCAAGCAATTTTTTCCACAATTGCCTTATCTTTGTCTCCCTCCATGCCTCTGCTAGTTAATCTATCCGTTCATGCTGGGTGCCTCTACCTAAATTTAACTAATTCCCTGTAACCCAGGTACTTCACCTTCAGTTAAAATAACATCTATCCCTTTTCCCTTTGTATAATCTTATTTCTATCCTCCACACATTTTATCTGTATGCCATTCGCCCTGTACTATACGCTTGTTGTATGTTAGTGCCTCTCTATCCTTCTATTCTATTGAAGCCAGTGTGTTTCAGAAAGATTGCAACAATACTTAATATTTATTCTGTAATAGACGTACCCTTTAAAATAAAGATGCCTGGCTTTTGCCAAATTAAAACTCAGTGTATGCGGATTTCATGCTAATATGCAGTTAGAATGTTTATATGTTAATGACATCTTGGAAACCTGCACTCTCAAAAATACCAGCAGAACCTGGAAAATACCTCCATAGAGTATTTAAGTGTTGCTGTTTTGTTAAGCAATAAGTAGTGAAGGGGACATTATAGAAACACTAAGGTTTGGTTGTGGTAAATTGGTTTTAGACAGACATACAATGTTACATAAATTACAAGGATTACTTGGAAACTTTTAACTTTCTAAGTAAAGAGGAAACTACACGTCCTAGATTTTTTGTTTGGTTGTTTTCTAAGCAATTTTGAAAAATTATTGCAGAAAAGCTAAAGACTGTATAGGGCACAGAGAGTCAACGTTTTAAGAATTACCAGCTAAAATAATCACTGTTAAATCTGTTAAACTGACCAGGTCATTCACTGGCTGAGAGCACTGGGGGTTGATAAACAAAAGAGCCATAGTAGCTGTTATAACCAATTACCAACATATTCTAAAACAAAACCGCTGGGGTTGAATCACCAAACTTTGAATTATGAACAGATTACCAAATGAGTCACGTTAAAAACATTGTAAAACTTGGTGTATATTTACCCCTTTTTACTATGTTAACCTAACTGTAATTAATTGCATAATGAATCAAATGTGAAAAACATTTCTCATGAGAAATAGCAAAATTTTTGTCCACTCAGAGTTAATACTTACAGTATTCATGCATAGTCCAAGTAATTATATTATAATGAAATTTAATGAGAGCCTCTTGGCCGGTTTGCTTAGCATTTATCAAGTTTGTTTCATGTTACAATTAGATGATGAACCACCAGAATAGAGATTGAAGGCACAGTGCTGGGTTGGGTTTGAAACATTATGGCCATGTCATTAGCTTAACTCCACATATTTGTTAAATCTTGATAATTTAATTTTTTTGTAGCCTACAGGATTTGAAAGTATGCATTTTCTGTTAAATTAATTGTTCATGCATTAAAAAAAGTATATGAATTTTATATTAATATAGTAAAGGGACTTTATCCCTCAAAACACTAAGGTGTCAATTAAATTGTTTTAAGGGGGCAGAGTCCCTTTAATTCTTCTTTTACAAAGGTGTTAAAGTATGTATACAATATTTATTGTCATGAAACACTTTTTACATATGATGCAAAATACCACTGAAGCTTCTTTTTGTTATTAAATATTCCTAAAATGCTATCAGAGTTCCAATGATGACAATGTGTGTGGGCCTAATGTCCACATAGAATAAATGCAATGGTTGTTTGAGAAATTGTAATACCCTTTTCCGTAATCTTACAAACTAACTATTTCAATGCATAAATAAAAACATTTAAGGCTACTAGAATTCATTATATAACTGTTTAGCCCCTTCACTACCATACCCCGAGATTGTGTATACACAATTTTTCATTTGTATTGGCTCTGTGCTCTCTTGTAACTGGGCAGGAGCAGCAGGTCTGCACCTCTGCCAGGTCCAGATCAACTCCAGTGCTCCCACCCAGTCAAAGACCAGAAGGGAACATTAACAAAGGCTTGCACCTAGCCATAGGTGCAGACATGCAGCACAACCCTACAGACCACAATGGATACACAAGCAATCCCACTATATCACAAGGGACCCCATCTGGACACCAGTGGTCATTGACCCACTCCCTGCCTATGAGGTAAGCAGGGAGGATGGCAACAATAAAATATGGATACATTATACTTTGTAAGGAGGACACATAAACACACACCCCACATACTTTGTGTGGAGGACACATTCACCCCTGCGACCGGGTTCCCGCCATCATTTGCGGCACCGGCCCACGGGGCAAACCGCCAGGGCCGCATGTTACGGTGCCCATCGGGTGGCCCATGCTGTCAGGGCCAACCGAAGGAGATGGATTTTCAGAGGGCCCGGTCAGCACTGGGCACTTTAACAGCATGACCGGGCCCCCTGTGATGAGATCATTACATCATAAACCTGTACAGACTGGGCAAAGCAAGGACAAACATTGCACATGACGAAGAGAATTAATAACATTGTTTATTTAGTTGTTTTTCTGTATGCTTTAGCAATGATTGAAAGCTAAGATGGAGGCACCCAGCTGCAGGATAAAAAGGGGTGACTGTCCTTATCTAAAGGATACATCAAACATGTATTCCTGACCCTATAGGGTTAAAACCACCATCTGGCCACCCTGGCCCTCTCTTGCCTCCCTAAATGTAGTAAAATCTTACTTGTATTCAAGTCTGGAGCTGCATGATTTGTCCCTGTTTCCTTTTGACTTGCCCACTGCCTGTTGACACCAGCAGAAGTGGTAGCCTGGTCCAATCACAATGTTTTCCCAAGGGATTGGCTGAGACTGACAAAGAGGCAGATCAGGGGCAGAGCCAGCACAATTCAAACACAGCCTTGGCCAATCAGCATCTTCTTATAGAGATGAATTGAATAAATTCATCTCTATGAGGAAAGTTCAGTGTCTGCATGCAGAGGGTGGAGACACTGAATGTTTGGATGCATTTTAGGCAGCCATGACCCAGGAAGGATCTCTAACAGCCATCTAAGGAGTGGCCAGTGAAGTTATCTGAAGGTAATGATTCTATTCACCAGAACAAATATAATAAGCTGTAGTTGTTCTGGTGACTATAGTCACCCTTTAATTTTATTTTTAACAACTCACACATACATATTGTGTTAAATATAGGGATAAGTAAATATAGTATTAAAATTTATGGGAAGTGACAGTTCCTCTTTAGTAAAGGGAAAATGAGGGACAGTAACGTATTACAAGTCCTTTTTATCAGCCAAGAGAAATTCTGTGGCACAATATTGAATTTGGAGCAGTAACAATAGAAACACATTGAATGTTTCTGCTAATTGCTCCAGATTTTGTACTTTGCCCTACATTCGCTCAGGTTACATTTTGAAATATTATGATTGTGTGTTTAGCTATAAGTATGCAAATACTAGTTACTCATATGGGTGTGTTCTGCTATTTCCAAAATATGTTTAATTATAGCATTATATAATTAATTACATGAAACAAGTTGTGTTTTTACACTTTAAATTAAACTAACTTGAAAATGTCAGGTGTGGTTGTTATAGTGACAGGAATACAACTGGTCCCCCCAGTGTAAGGAGTCAAACCATTTTAGAACAGTTTGATTTCTTGCCAGGTGTCTGCTCCCACCTCTATTACAGCTCAATGAGAGACATATGCTCCCTGCCTCCACTACTTCTTTGTGAGAGATGGAAGCTCTCTGTCTGGGCTAAGCCCAGAAGTGCAAGGATATGCTCTCAGCCAATTAACTAGCTTAGGTCAGGGGAGCAAATTAAAGCTCCTAGCTGGAGCTTGTGGCTCTCAGACCAGCATGGTGGTGGGTAGCGGCCCCTGTGGAATACAGGTAAAAAGTCAAAGTTCTAAAATGGTTTGTCTCAAAATAGGGAGGAGAGGGGAGGTAGAGGTCAGTGCTCTGGCATTGACTATGGAGCTTGGACTGGTCCCTTAACACCACACAGCAGACTACTTTAAGGACCTGACCTCGATCCAAGGAAACCTCCATGTGTTAGTAGTCCCAGTTTGAGAACGGTTTGACAACTTACGTTTGGCCCGCTAGTTGCAAGCTTCCACCTCCTCTGGTGCTGGTCCATCCTTGTAGGAGTTTTCATTAACTCCCCTGCGCTATGCGATGCCATGCAGGATTAACTTTCACTGAGACTGTAACCTGACCACTGTCAGCCAAAGAGCACCTCCCTGCACCACCAGGCTTAGCTCAGGGCAGGAGCTTCTGGCTGCACAGGAGGAGGTGACCAGTGCCAGCTGGGCCAAGTTAAGTTATCAAACCATTCTCAAGCAGTTTGAATGCACACCCAGGGAGGGAGCCAGGGCATTTGTGGCACCCTAACCACTACATTGCTCTGCTTAATGTTAAACCCTAATACCTAAGCGCTTTATGTACCCCATACATTAACGGCAAGTTCTGCTTTCAGTCACCAAAGCAAATCTTATAAAGCACTTTAGTTAAACATGCTGCCAATTGTTTAGGATTCTGCAGCAAAGACCCAGTATAAGGTCCTGTCCCAGTTTTGTTACAATCTGCTATACGATTTCTGGAGTTGGGGGAAACTATCCATTTAAAGCGAACAAGCAAGAAAAGTAAACCAAAGCTGCTCATAGAGAAAAGGTGAACAAAATTGTCTTTTATGGATTAAAATTAAAAATGACTCTGGTGATTTTACATATAAGCCAAAAAAAAAAAAACACCTTCCCTAACACCAAAAGAGGATTCAAATAAATAATCACCATACATGTTGTGTGCTTCATACACTTACTCATAATGAGCCCAGAAAAAAAGGGAAATTAAAGATCTCAAGACAGCGGTCATATAATTAGAAATCTGCTGCACATAACCCTAAAAAAACCATGATAAGTTGGCTTCATTTTAGTAATACAGAAATGAAGCAATGATTTTTTATTTTTTTTATAACACCACATGCCGCAAAGAAAAAATGTGATTTAAAGGAACAAGAAACAAAATACCAGACAATCTAGATGCATTAAGATAGAAATTACGTCAAACATTACTATTTCTAGGCAAGCAAGCATGGCTGACACTGTCCTTTTTTTCACGTACAGCTTGTTTCGCTGATGTGCTTATTTAACTCCCAGTAGAAGTTATGGGTTAATTGTACTGACATCAGTACCTGCGTAACTGGCATTTTCTTTAATAATTTGCTTCTGTCGTACATGCATATTTCACTCAAGCATTCCTCCCATGATGCCATACATGTGTGCATGCGTGCTCCCTGAGCTATGCATAGGGAATCATACAATCCCCAAGATTTACAATGGTTGCCAGACGTTCCTTGACTGACTGGTGTATAGTATACATTCATATTAAACCCACATTGTGGCATACCCACATTGTGTCAGTTCCTCTTCAAGTGAAACACTTGAACTTCCTGTTGCTTCAAAACACACACATCACAAAGAGACAAATAAAAAACCATGGATTAAGAGGAATACATTTTATTTCAGATAAATGACAGATTTCATAAAACAATACATTTTGTTGGGCAAATTCCCCTTGTGGTAGAGTATGAAACTTGCCACTTCCTAAGCTACCAGGAAGTAAAAGGACCTCTGTCTGATTGACAGCCAGGGGTGTAACAATGTTAAAGGACCACTATAGTGCCAGGACCACTAAGTTGGAGGAAGGGGTTAAAATCTTACCTTTCTCCAGCGCCGGGCTCTCTCGGCGCTGGGGACTCTCCTCCTCCTTTGGACGTCATCGGCTGAATGCGCATGCATGGCAAGAGCCGCGCGCATTCAGTCAGTCCATAGGACAGCATTATCAATGCTTTCCTATGGACGCTGGCTTCTTCTCACTGTGAAATTCAGACAGCCACTAGAGGCTGGATTAACCCATATGTAAACATAGCAGTTTCTTTGAAACTGCTATGTTTACAGCAGGAAGGGTTAACCCTAGAGGGACCTGGCACCCAGACCACTTCATTAAGCTGAAGTGGTCTGGGTGCCTATAGTGGTCCTTTAATTTATGAAAGTACCAATTTCTACTGAAATTGCACTTTTTGTAAAATGTATAAGAAAGGACACGCACTTTACACATAAAGAAAGCTTAAATCAGTTTGGGATATCACAACTCCCAGTATTTATTTATTTAGCAAGTGTTTTAACATAAAGAATACATAGATATATCTCATTTTCAAGGGTGTCCTGGAACGGGCAAACAATACAGTATTGTTTCAAGGTTACATACTTAATATACAGTACAAAGAACAAAGATAACCATTTGTATAGGCCTTAGCAATTCAAATCTTAAACTACTAGATTGGCCTAAAAGTAAGTGGCGTGTATTTTGTTCGTTTTTTTCTTATTGACATTTTGTCCAGAGCATGGAGTCTGTGTGTGTAAGAATGCAAGAGTGTGTTTGAGTGAAGGTTTAGTGAATTGCAGGGGAGTTTGTGTAAAGTGTCATTGTGTATGGAGGTCATTGTGTGGGTGTATTTGCCCATTACCTTCCAATGTCACTAATACCCTTTTTTCTCAAGTCATGTCACGTTCGGGGTTGCAGGAATGGGTCCAATTACATGTCACTCGTTCTTTATCTAAATGTATCTGGTCACTGTCCCCCATCCTCTATGACTGCCCCACTTCCTGTGTGAGTGTCTCTCTTCCTCTAATTTTCACTACCCCATATACTCTAACTGCCCTCCTTCTTTCCAGACAATACTTGTCCCTATTATTTATGGGGGCTTTTGTGTGTGGTATTCGTTGTCTTGATTTCCAATCGATCTTTTCGAGATGTTGAGTGGAAATTTTGAGCCATGCATTAGTAATTATTGCATTTTTGGTTTGATTGGGATTGAGCGATAGGACCCTTTTCAAAGACTGCGGGCCTGTGGACACGTTGATGTTGTCTAGTTTGTTATTCAATATTTGTAGATTTCAGTATACAATATTGCTACCAATAAACTGACTCATCATAATGTCCCTTCAAGATGAGCAGGCCAGATAAGAAAAGTTAACACAGTAATATGTAAAAACAAGAAAGGAGGTTAGCGCTAATAATAAAAAGGTGGATGGGCAGCGGCCTAGCAGAGGGTAACCCTCTATAGTAAGAATGGAAAACAACAACAACAGTAATGCAAGTCTGTGCCAAAATGTATCAATGTGGACTACAAATAGTAAAAAGACATATAAATAAAACTTATAAAAGTAAAATAAAATAAAATATCGAAAATAGTCCAATTTTTTTTTAGAAGTTGCACTGTGGCAATACATGTCTTATAAGGTGCTTTTGGTGATGGGGTCTCTTCTCTGTTTATAGCAGTCCAGTTGGTCTTGTGATATGGAAGACACAAGATAAGAGACCGATCGTATAGAGTGTAAGGGTCAATATATGTGAGATAAAGATATAAATATTCCACTCACATTTAAATGAGCTATAGCCAGCTCAGGTATAACAGGCATACAGCGGAACAATCCCCGCTTATGGGATATATGGATGATTGTCCTCCGGAGGGAATGGTGTCCAACTCTCAGGAAAAGGGATATATAAAAACAACTAATAGTGCTCCCTGTTTCACACGGTGTAAAAGTTGTTTAAATAAATAAAAATGTACTTACAAGTGTAGTGCAGGCCAACTGCACTAAGGTAACAGCGTTGGTGGTATGATCCCCACCTCGGATAGGCTTGTAAGCACGTGGTAAAATCAATTAGATGCCAGGTGAAAATAAATAAAATAGTGTGTAAAAAGATAGTTGGCACAGATAGTAACCAAAAAATCTTCTTTAATTATATAAAATACACAATTAAGAAAACCATTCACGCGTTTCGCCACTAGGGCTTTTTCAAAATGGGATAACATTAAAAACCTGGCTGATAGGAGTATATATAGGTACATAATAAGTTAAACATTGGCGCCAAAAAAACATCATTTATCACTATGATCCCTGAGACCAATCCCTCTCCCCCTCATTCTCCAACCCCTACAGAAGAACCAATATGTATTAACACCAATCTTAAATCCAAATCCACATTTTATCCTTACCATTTTAAATCAGCTCCGCTCCTCATGTTTGAAAAGTCAGTACTAAGGGATTTTAACAAAATTAGTTATAATAAATACGACACTCAAAATCTTAACACATCAGAACAACTAGCTGTAAAACAATTCCAAGAAGATAAAGACATTGTTATCAAACCAGCAGACAAAGGGGGAGGTCTAGTCATCCAATCAAGCACTATTTATATTGAAGAAGCATATAAACAACTAAATGATATTGCAATATACGAAAAACTATCAATAGACCCAACATCCTCAATACAAGAAAAATTAACCACTTTTTTAAAAAAGGGACTAGACGAAAATATTTTAAATAAACATGAACATGATTATCTATTCATTAAAGAACCCAAAATTCCGGTAATTTATTTTCTTCTGAAAATACATAAAGACGCTGAACACCCCCCAGGAAGACACATAGTGTCAGGGATTAATTCCACTGTATGCAATTTATCTCGATACATTGACACTTTACTTCAACCATCAGTGAAGCTTATGAATTCCTATCTGAAAGACTCCATGACACTATTAAGGTTTTTAAATGGATTTTATTGGCAACCAGATTTTATGCTAGTAACATGTGACGTCACCTCTCTATATACCATAATCCCCCACCAGCTTGGTTGTCGAGCTGTTAAAACCATTCTGTCAAAAGAAAAGAGAATTCCTGATATTCAGATTGATTTTTATCGTGGAGGGTATCAATATCATTTTAAATAACAATTATTTCTGGTTCTTTGATTCTTTTTACCTCCAAAAGAGAGGGACAGCTATGGGGACCAGGTTTGCCAACCTCTTCATAGTAGACTGGGAATCCAGTGCCGTCTGGGGGGGCATGCCTGGGGGCATAGCCTGGTCTCCTATTTTAGATATATTGACGACTTGTTTTTTATATGGAAGGGCTCTGAGAATTCCCTCAACTCTTTTATAACACACCTCAACATTAATAACAGGGGCATCGTTTTATCTTGTGAATATAGTAAAGACACAATCACCTTTTTAGACTTAAATATTTTTATTAAAGATGGGGCAGTTCATACAAAAACATTTTTTTTTAAAAGTATGCACCAATACAGCAATAGACCAGACCAGCTGACATTATAAGCCCTGGCTTGAGAGTGCCCCTAAGAGCCAATTCTTACGCATACACAGAAACTGCTCTCACATTGACGATTTTAACAAACAATCATTGTTTTAAAAAAAAACAGTTCACGGAAAAAAATTATTTACCAACACAATTGTACTAATAATACTATAGAGACAGTGAGAAATAAACCAAGAGAAAATCTTTTAACCTACAAAGACAAACACACCTCAGATGCTCCTACTCTTCCCATAATTTTTAACTATAACAACAAAAGTGGTTTTATTAAAAAAAAATCAACAAACATTGGCACCTTTTAAGATAAGATGACATTCTTAAAGAAATCTTACCAACAAAACCAAAAATTGTTTTCAGAGGTGCACCTTATTTTAGATCCATTTTAACCAAAAACTACACTAGAGAAACCAAGCAAAGCACTAACCATACTTTTTTAGAAGGAGCAAAAGGTTTTTACAAATGCAAGCGCTGCATTGTTTGTAGAAGTACTGACCCCTCTACTCAATCTAAGGTCACCAGTGTTAAATCAAATAGAACTAATAAAAGTTACACTATTAGAGATTTTATCGGATGCAACACAAAAAATGTAATCTACCTATTGGAGTGCCCATGTTGCCTCCAATAGGTAAGTATGATCACAAGGTGCCTAAAGACAAGATTAGGAGAACACTGCAGGAATATTAAAAACGGATACCAAAACCATTCCGTATCTAAGCACTTTATCAACCATAACCAAGACCCAAAACTCCTTAAATACATTGGAATCAAAAAATGTAAGGTTCCTTGGAGAGGTGGAAACATAAAAAATATTTTAGGCAGATCTGAAATGGAGTGGGTCTTTAACCTGCAGACCCTAGCTCCCCAAGGTCTAAATGTAGATTTCGATCTGTATAATTTCTTATAATAATTAATAATAAAAAAAAAAAAAAAAAGCAATTGTTATAAGGGTTTTATATAAGTGTTCATAAGCCTGTATAAATATTTAAAACAATATTTTAAGTTATTAATATTTCACTCCAGCTGCTATAGGTTTTTGGTCACATAATTTTAACCATTTATAATATGTCTCATGTATTTATTATATGCCCTTGTATTAATTATATATACTGTTTATGCTGTCATCTTGGGGCAATCTTATTCATAGTTGTTACCTACGGCATTATAGTCTAGAATACCCGCAATAGGACCACATTATGTCAACCTCTGTATATACACCATTATAATGCTTTCTATATATTCACAAATTTAAAAACTAATCTTTACTTAAAACCCTATTCCCTATCTCCTAACATCTTATCTACAAGTATATACTCTAGAGGTATGGGTCAATTTCCTACGACATACTTTGATTGATTTTTCAAAAGGCTGACACTTTCCCTTTAAATATATGTCCCTAACTATACTTTTAACTATCTTCTTTACTTTTATATGTCAGTATATATTATATATAAAAAATAGTATGTATGACGACAGTGTTCTAGATAATTTACTGCAAACCAATTAGTTTGAATGACTATCTGTTCCTGTCCAAATTAAAGATAATAAAGTTGCGTGCACGCAGAAGTAAATTCACACTGAGACACAAGGTTCAGGGTAATGAAAGAACTTCAGAGAAGTTTAATGGCTTCTGACAGAAAATGGGTGCGCAGACCCTTATAAAGGCATTATTACATCATTGAAGAAAATCAAGATATAGACAAATAGACATTGTTAATTGGCTTAGGTGCTAAGATGTTAGTAAAATGCCCTCCCCATTCTTAGGTCACTATCTACGTAATTTCTTAACTCCTACAGGTTTTAGCGCCATTTTGTTAAAATGAGGAGCTCACTCGACGGGAGGGGCCTTTTGGCAGCTATCCATTTGGAGTGTAGCTGGCACTTGTTAGTTTCTCAAGGTTAGGTTTCAAGGCTTTTAGTAAATACACATTTTATCAAAGCTATTTCTTGCTGACATGCAAATTCTATGTTCTATAGACAAAGCTTCCTTGTAAAACTATGGGGGCCTCTTAGAGGTATAGCAAGAGGATTTAAAGGGGCCTTACAGATTTATAGAGGCCTAATAATTCTACAACAGTCCCCCCTAAAATGTTATTTGCTAAAAGACAAAACTTTATTTGTTAGTATCAGAAGAAGTATTAGCCCAAAGACACAGAAACCCCATGACCGCTGACTTAGTGTTAATGCAAAGTGCAAGTCTATCCCTCTCTTGACCCTAACAGGCTGCAGCACATCCGTCAGTACGGTTCAGGAACACTCTTCACTCCGCTGGTAACCCATAGTGGCTTATCCACTACTTCTCCGTACGGCAGTCTACCCATAAAGACGGACGCTGTCCCTGTACTGTCCCTTCCTAGACTTTCTGCACTTCATCAGTATAAGGGAGAGTTTGTAGCGGAATACAGGGTGAGATGAGGTCTTGATCATCGATTGTCAGATGAGTGAAGGTTGGTGTTGCTTGGTCTACAGTTTTCTGCAGGAATTTCCTTAGGCATGGGAGGACACAACAAATGAGAAGAGCGAGAATAAAAAAGAAAAATTAGTAAGGCAATACCAATCTGGACTAAAGCTCTCTGCCAACCAGTCATCCAACCAAACCATTTTTCCCAGGGATCAGTAACTCCAGAGTTTCTCTTTAACTCTTCAGAGAGTCTATTTAATTTAGCTATGGCCAGAGTGACTTTACCATTAGGACCTGTGTTTTCTGGAATGTAAGTGCAACAAGTCATAGTGTCGGGAAGTATTTTACAGACCCCCCTTTTTCGGCTAAGATCATGTCTAAGGCCAGTCTGTTCTGGAAGGTCATTTGGGATGTGGCCTGTAATTGCTCGGCCAAGCCCTGGAGGGCATCCCTGGTGTAGTTCACGAAGCGCTGTTGGTTGTAATAGATATAATTAATCCAATTAAGGTTTTTGTTGGCAGTGACTATGGTAAAAAGTGATTCAAAACCTGCAGCTACTTCATCTCTAGCTTTAAATTCATTAGGCACCCCCCTAGGCACCCCAATGGCATCTATGTAAATGTGGGGGTCAAAACTGCCTTTTACTGGGGTTTCGCGCCTTACTCTGGCTGATGTATGTGGAGGGTCGTATGTGTCATGATGATTATCAGAAATAATATGAATGGGCATGATAACTTTGGCCAGGGTACACTCACCCCACCACTCAGTTTCCAGCCTAGATCTTAACTGTAGATCCCCACATAACCAGTAAATATCCCCCAATGACCTGGTATGGTGTTGCAACAGGCGTATAGGAACAGTTCTGTAAGTGGCGCAATAACCTTTAGAAAAGTTACCCATGAATTTACCAATCCCGTCATACACGGCATAACAAGTGTAATTACCTCTATAGATTGTGATTCCATCTGGTGGCTTAACATTGTCAACTAAGAGAGGGTATTCTGCCGTCCATGCCATGCAGAGGGACCTATTAAAGTCATATTGGTAGGCAAAAAGGCTTAAGAAGCAATCTTCTATCTCTAAAGGGAGAATTAGGGGGACGGTGCCAAGGTGGGGTCGGGCACCGCCACATACATAACATGCTGTTTTATTATGTTTGTTGGCATTATACCTCATCCATTCTAACCACAAATTAATGTCATTGAATCCAGTTTCAGCGGCCATGGTATCTTCAAAAGTGGGGTTAGCGATGGCCATCATATCTTTAAAGGACTGGATATGTGGTTTTAGCGGATTTGGGACCATATGATCAGCCCCTTGCCACTCTGGAGAGTGGTACATATCTCTGAGGTAGAAATGACCTAATTTGTTGTAGGAACCTTTCTTCCAATACATTCCCATTACATATCGGTCTGCATCCTCGGGGCCAGGATGTTCAATATTTAACATTAATTTCATAGGGGTACTTCCTCCAGGCTTTCTTAAAGTCATTCTTTGAAGGAGGGATCTACCCTGATTGTCTATCTTAGATAAAGCACTTTTGGGTTTATAACCCCAGGCAGGCCCAGTATTCCATCCCGCAGCCCCCCAGTAGTTACAGTCATAACCCCATTGTTCATCTACTACACAAACGTAAGGGTCTTTTGCTTGTGGTATATCTTTATAAATGGCTTGAATCTGTGACTTAGGGAATGGGCACTCTACAATATCACAGTAATCAAAAGTGAATGTAGCCACATGGGTACATGATGAATTATACCAGAAAGTGTACCCACTAGCATCTTTGGTGATGGCCACCTGCTGGGCTTTAAGGAGGCCAACTAAGGAGATAATGTACCAGAGGCACATGGTTGCATAGAGTTAGCTTCCTCTGGGGCAGGTGTCTTCTTGCAATGGGAAGCGTGGATCCAGTTAGGCCTTCCGGCCAATTTGACAGAGGTAGGGGAGATCAGGAGAACTTGGAACGGTCCGTCAAATCTTGGTTCCAGGGTGTGTTTTCGCACAAATTTCTTGACCAGAACCCAGTCACCGGGGAGCAGACTGTGGTTGCCTGTGTCAGAATCAGGATCTGGAATTGAAGAGAAAACTTGGGCATGGATTTTGTTCAAAGCATTTGCGAGTTCAGTTACATAATCTACTAAAACATCAGTTTGAAGTTGCAGTTGTTGGGGAAAATAGAAACCTAGCCTAGGTGCAGTCCCAAATAGAATCTCGTATGGGGACAATGAGGTAGTATTTTTGTACAAGAGCATTCATTAGATCTTTTGATAAATGTGCAGGTCTGTGTGCCCATTGTACGACTGCTGGGTACAAATTCTTAGGGAGGCAGAAATTGAGGTTGTTGGAGTACACTCCATCCTTCAGAACTGCCCCTTTCTGTTTCCACTTCTGTATTTCTTCAGGGGCAACTGTAGCCTGTTGTTCCCGCAGGATTTTCAGGTCAGTTGGAAGAGTCTGCAGAGTAAATATGGGAGTTTCTTCATTTCCGGACACTCTTCTTCCCACTTCCTGTGGTTTTCTTGCAGCTTGTTTTGCAGCCTGATCAGCTAGATGGTTGCCCTTTGCTTCATCTGAGTCCAACTTCCCATGTGCCTTTACCTTCAGAATGGCCACTTCTTCTGGGAGTAGGAGGGCGTCCATCAGCTCCTTGATTGCGGAACCGTGCTTGATTGGTGTACCGGCGGTAGTAAGAAATCCTCTTGTTTTCCAAATTAATCCGAAGTCGTGAGCCACGCCCAGTGCATATCTTGAATCCGTGTAGATATTGGCGCGCTTTCCTTCAGAGATCTTGCATGCTGAAGTCAGGGCTTGCAATTCAGCTTCTTGTGCAGACATAGTTGATGGTAAAGATGATGATTTGACAATTTCATCTGTTGTGGTTACGGCATATCCTGTATGGTATCTTCCTTCTTCATCAGCATATCTTGAGCCGTCCACAAACAGGGTGAGATCGGGATCTACCAATGGGTCTTCATGCACAGTTGGTAGATGTGTTGTTTCCATTTTCATCTGTTCAAAACAGTCATGAGGTGTATTTGGGTCGTAGTCATTTACTATGGTTAAATCTTGGAACTCATTTTCCAGGAAATGATGTGGCCATGCTTTTAGGTGGTCAGTTGTTGGATATTTGACAACACCATTTTCCTGTAGCTGTGATTCGTCCATAGTGGCCCATGCTTTTGCCATAGGCCCAAGATCATTCCATGATATTGTTTTCAACTTGGTCACAGGGACATGTGGAATGGCAGTGTCCCAATGACGGTACAAATGCTTGAGTTCCGGAGGTAGATGAATCAAGACCATACTGTTGCCTTCAGAATCACAGTAGAAGTCTTGTGCAGTGAGTTTTACTTCGACCAGATTATAGAGTTCATCTTCATAGCAGGGTTCAGGAGTGATGTTTGGTTTGTACCACATGGTACAGAAGGCATATCCTGCTCCGTCATGAAGGAGTGCTTGTCCATCATGAAAGGATAGGTTGGGATGCATTTCCTTCTTGATGGTGCCAGTGAGAAGAAAAACATAAGTTTCGTCCATGATGAATCCGTAGTATACACCCCCCTCAGGGAGTGGCAGAAGAGTGGACGGATTGAGAACTTGACATCTTTGGAGGGTAATGTTGTCAGGCAACAAAAGATGACATTGAAGGCGAAGATGCCTAGCAGGAGTAACATGCTTAAGTTGGACCTGGTTGACTATGGCAGAAATGTCATGAGGGGCCAAGACAACCAGGGGGTGGCCAAGGACAAGATCCCCAGTTCTTTCAATGAGCTCTCTGGCAGCAAAGACGGCCCGAAGGCAAGAGGGACGTCCTCTGGCCACAATATCCAGTTGGCAGGAGAAAAATCCAATAGGCCTTTGGCGGCCTCCAGGACCATGAGCCTGAGTGAGTACTCCTGTTGCATGGCCTTGTCTTTCAGAAACAAACAATTTGAAGGGTTTGGTATAGTCTGGTAGGCCAAGAGCAGGAGCAGAAGCAATAGCACGTTTGAGAGAACAGAAGTTGTCAAGGGCTTCTGTGGACAAGCAAAATGGGTCTGACTTGAGAGCATCATAAAGAGGTTGCATAAGGAGCGAGGCTTCTGGGATCCATGCTCGGCAATAGGAAATGAGGCCTAGGAAGGCGTGTAGTGACTTTGAGATCCTTGGAGGTGGAATGTCCAGTACTGCTCTAACTCGGTCACGAGTGAGATGTCTGGTTCCCTGAGACAGACAATGGCCAAGGAAGATAACAGTAGATTGGCAATATTGCAGCTTGGGACGTGAAGCTTTACATCCTTGTTCTGCTAGGTAGCAAAGAAGATTAATTGAGCATTGTTCTGTTGTGGGTAGATCATCTCCACAGTAAAATGGGAAGGGAACAAAGAACTGTAGTGTCTTTTCGTGGCAAAGGCGTATTTAATGAACCTGGCCGTCTGCAGTGAGGGTGATGGATGCTTGGAGGCAGGATAGGACATCAGCACCAACACAAGAGACATCGGTGTCAGGCAGGAACGATGAGTCAGGCAGGTCTTGTTCTCTAGGAACACTGCGGGATGCACCTGTGTTAACCAGGAAACCAGGAAAGCAGTAGGGTGACCTTCAATAGGTAAAGTTACAGTGGCTAGTGGCCCCCCTTGTTCCCTGTAGACACTGCCATGGCAGGGGCATTAAGCATCAGCGGGTTTGCTCTCCTCTGTATGGGCTGTGTTACTGACTCAAACCCCTTTCTATGTCATTAGCCATAGCTTTTTTGCAGTCTGAATATGTCTATCATTATAAATAATGGTTAATAGTAAGTTAAGTAAAGTTCCTATATGTCTTTGGATAAAACATTAACTATTGCGGTACTATCATTTATATTAATTAGACTATAACAATTATACCACCCTGTAACTAAGTAAACAACCAGTAGTGGCTGGGTTAATAAAACATGCCACAAACCCTTCTAATGCTAAACCATCATTTAAAGTAAAGGATGTTACTGTAAACATACGATCTGTAACTAGCAAGATTCGATTAAGCAAAGATACAATGTTTAAAATAACTTGCATTATTTGGCTATTTCCCTTGTTGCAAGATTAATCTGGATAATCAGCTGTTATGCTCTTATATTCGTGTCCAACAGATTTCATATGTAGGTCACACCACATTTGCAAATTACATTTTAGCAACCTTCTTTTTTTTTTTTATATCACGGACAAATTGTTGATACAGGGAAACAAATGGCATGATTGTTTTAGTAATTATCTAAATGGGACGAGCATAATAGGGGTAGGCCTCATGATGGAGGCAGCCATGACAGGGGCGGGGAAGGAAATGACAGCAAGGGAGGAAGTGAGAGGGGTGACGTCCATGATATGTGTGGGAAAGGAAGACAGGAGGTGTGGGCATGGTAAGGGCGGAAGTGACGTTACTTTAGAAGCAACCGTGACTGTAGATAGGTCTGTACTAGGCGCCATCTTTAGGGTGGTGGCTGACGCGCTTTCAACAATACACTATATTATAGCTATTAAAATAAGTCAGAGAAGCAACATTCTGTTCTGCAAAATGAAATACTAAACTATGAACAGACCTGGCAGGTTAAATAAGACAGTTGAGAACATTATGCATTTAACAGCCCATACAGCTGTTTCTAGAAACATGTACTTTAAAATAACTTTAAAATAATAAAATGATGCAAAATAAACTCGCGGAATTCAACCAAATTCCCTTATCTTCCTCAAACCATTAATCACTTTCCTCCTCTTATACTGACTTAACAACATCGCATATTCCCTCTACACCTTCCTAAATCCCGTATTCAACACTGAATGCAATCTTGTGAGCTCGTCACTCCCACAATCCTCAGTACCTTATACTCTTATCAGTAGCTTCTGAATAACTCTACAGAACACCGAAGAGACAGACCTAAATCGCAAGCATGTCACCACCCCCCTCCGCCCCCTCCCCCCCCCGCGTCTCACAGAAGCGAGGGGAGGGGGGGGTGTTTTAGCAGAGGGGGATTTGAGTGGAACAAGAGAGAGACTGCCTGCCAGCACGAATTTAACCATGTCAACGCTGTACAGTAACAAGACAGAAGGACAATTACATTACAAAAGACCAAAAACACAACATTTCATTTAAACCCCCACCCTCTACCAGGGTAATGGCTAACACAAAATACAAAAACCCCACAGCGTTTTAAGATTGGGGTGGGATGGTGACCATGGTCAGCTACATTTCGGTCATTACTGACAGGATGATGGAAGTGGTCACCTCCTGGACAGGGCACTGGCTGGGATAACTTCCCAGTAACACAATTATTATGATATACATACAATCTTAAACCTTTGTGATCAATATCTTCCTCAACCTATCCCTTTTGCTGAATAGCTCTTGCTACTCGGTACCAGGCTTCTGCTGTACAAACCAAATCTTGGTCCGACAGCTTCCCTTTCTTCTGTCAGTAACTTACGCCAGCTCTCTGGCTACAATCTGCCGCACAGAGGTACGGTAATTCCACATACTTTAGCAATCTTACTCACTTTCTTAACCATCTCTTCTCCTTCTCTGTCTTCCACTAGATCACATGCTAACCAACCCTTACTGGGTTTATCTAACTTCTGTCCCATCCTCCCTATACAAGGCGTCCCAGATATAGAGAGAGAAAGGAACAGAACGTCTACCGTGCTCGACTGCTACTTTAAGAGCAAGCTCTTTAAGTACGTCTTCCCAAAACGTAGACTAGTCACTGATTCCGCCTACCCGTGGTAGCCGCGGATTGGAGCGTGGCGAGAAGTGTGTGACCAATCACTTCTCTCAACAAAGAGAAAGAGAAATAGGAGGGGAAAGTGTAAATAGTACAGTGAGTAAGATAGAAGTAAACACAGGAATCTGTGTGACAGACAATTAAGACAATAACATTTCAGTCTAAATACAGTGCATGCATCACAGTTCAAATAAGTTCAACAGTGTTATCCCTTGCCTTTACTCGTGTGGCCAAAAGCCACCTCCCTCAACCTCGTAGTGTCCCTGTTGCGGACCCACCCGCAAGTCTCACTACCAGCAGCCACAGGAAACAGCAACAGCTTCCAACCCGAATCCTGTATAGCCTAAAGAATTGGAATCTTACCTGCCTCAGCGCTTGAGACTGGAATTTTACCAAGAAGAAGTGTCTGATGAGGCTAGCTAAGCGGTCAAAATGACACTCTGGGGATCCCCAGGAAGCAGTGAGTCTACTGCCCTCCACAGATCCCCCCTACTCTTTTTCCTTACAGCCACAGCCACGTGGCTCCTAAAAGAGTTAAACAGGCAATAGAGGACCCCCAGGAAAACTTCCACAGGTCCACCCCCCTTTTTCCTTACTACCACAGGTATGTGGTACCTAAAAGGGGTTAAACAGGCACTTACACTCCCCGGGTACTAAGTTAAACACATACCAATACAAACACACCCAGGCAACAGATAGTCAACATGCAGGTAAACTAGGTATCATTAACAATACAAAGACTCTGGGCAAGTTATTACCTGACTTTGATGTCCTCTCGGCAGCAGTCACAGACACTGGGACAGGTCAATCACAGGGGCAGGAACATACCGGCTAGGTGCTGCAGCAATCTCTACCGTGTATTCAGAGGTGATCAGGCTCTTTTCCTTCCCCCAGGATTCAGCCCCCCCAGCGTCTTCTTGGACAGCTGCCCAGACTGGACATAGCCCAGAGCCCCACGTTGAAAGCCAATTGTTGTAGATAATTTACTGCAAACCAATTAGTTTGAATGACTATCTGTTCCTGTCCAAATTAAAGATAATAAAGTTGCGTGCACGCAGAAGTAAATTCACACTGAGACACAAGGTTCAGGGTAATGAAAGAACTTCAGAGAAGTTTAATGGCTTCTGACAGAAAATGGGTGCGCAGACCCTTATAAAGGCATTATTACATCATTGAAGAAAATCAAGATATAGACAAATAGACATTGTTAATTGGCTTAGGTGCTAAGATGTTAGTAAAATGCCCTCCCCATTCTTAGGTCACTATCTACGTAATTTCTTAACTCCTACAGGTTTTAGCGCCATTTTGTTAAAATGAGGAGCTCACTCGACGGGAGGGGCCTTTTGGCAGCTATCCATTTGGAGTGTAGCTGGCACGGTTAGTTTCTCAAGGTTAGGTTTCAAGGCTTTTAGTAAATACACATTTTATCAAAGCTATTTCTTGCTGACATGCAAATTCTATGTTCTATAGACAAAGCTTCCTTGTAAAACTATGGGGGGCCTCCTAGAGGTATAGCAAGAGGATTTAAAGGGGCCTTACAGATTTATAGAGGCCTAATAATTCTACAACAACAGTTAATATGGCTACTACCATCTCTCTGCCCACTCTTATTTCTTAACATCCTCCCCCAATTTATTATATATGCTGCTTTTCATAAAATAGAGCCCTGCCCCTTAATATGTGCATACCGCCCATTATAATGGCGGTCACACATGCTGATGTATTCAGCACTACATGTTCCATGAGGCAAAGTGCCCATCATAGCCACTAAATAAAGCCCGCCGCTCACCACGTGCGCACCACCCACCAGAGCGGTGGCCGCACTTGCTGATTCACTCAGCACTACATATCCCAAGCGGCAATGTGCCGCGAACCACATGACCACTTCTGGTCTAGCGAACCTCATTCCCCATAATGCTGCGAGCTATATCGCTCGCTTCACGCTTCCACTAATGAATGCGCCGGTCACGTGACTCGCGCACTACATTTCCCAACATGCAAAGCATGTTTCACGCAAGTCACGTGACGCGCTCAAACTAAACATTCCTAAGTTTATAGACCTCGTTTTTAAACAATTTTAAAGGCATGAGACCCTATAAAATGTTACTTTTAATGTAAACCTTTTTATTTTCACTTACAATATATGTGATATACAACTCTGATTCTATTGGCTATTGATAAATGACGTTTTTTGGCGCCAAATTTTTAACTTATTATGTACCTATATATACTCCTATCAGCCAGGTTTTTAATATTATCCCATTTTGAAAAAGCCCTAGTGGCGAAACGCGTAAATAGTTTTAATAATTGTGTATTTTATATAATTAAAGAAGATTTTTTGGTTACTATCTGTGCCAACTATCTTTTTACACACTATTTTATTTATTTTCACCTGGCATCTAATTGATTTTACCACGTGCTTACAAGCCTATCCGAGGTGGGGATCATACCACCAACGCTGTTACCATAGTGCAGTTGGCCTGCACTACACTTGTAAGTACATTTTTATTTATTTAAACAACTTTTACACCGTGTGAAACAGGGAGCACTATTAGTTGTTTTTATATATCCCTTTTCCTGAGAGTTGGACACCATTCCCTCCGGAGGACAATCATCCATATATCCCATAAGCGGGGATTGTTCCACTGTATGCCTGTAATACCTGAGCTGGCTATAGCTCATTTAACCCCTTAAGGACTGGACCTTTTTTGCGATGTTGTACATTTGCGACCAGGCATATTTTTACACTTTTGTGGTGTTTGTGTTTGGCTTTCTCATTTACTGTTCCCATACAAATTATATATTGTTTTTTTTCAGGACAAAAGGGGCTTTCTTTACATACCATTATTTATATAAACGCATGTATTTTAATTTAAAAAAAATAAAAAAATATGATGAAAAATTGAAAAAAATACATGTTTTTTTACTTTTACTTGAAAAATCTTTTACTCATCTACAAAAGCGAATGAAAAAAACTGCTAAATAGATTCAAAATCTTGTCCTGAGTTTAAAAATACCCAGTGTTTACGTGCTTTTTTGCTTTTTTTTGCATGTTATAGGGCTATAGGTACAAGTAGGATATTGTGGTTTCAAAACATACATTTTTAAAATTTATCAATAGTGACATTGTAACACTATTATCTGTCATAAATCTCTAAATAACACCCCACATGTACATATATTTTTTAAAGTAGACAACCCAGGGTATTCAATATGGGGTATGTCCAGTCTTTTTTAGTAGCCACTTAGTCGAAAACACTGGCCAAAGTAAGCATTCATATTTGTTTGTGTGTGAAAAAAGTAAAAAAACTAAATTGAACGCTAATTTTGGCCAGTGTTTGTGACCAAGTGGTTACTAAAAAAAGACTGGACATACCCCATTTGCAATACCTTGGGTTGTCTTCTTTTGCAAATGGTATGCCATCATGGGGTAATTCTCATTCCTGGGCTACCATACGCTCTCAAAGGCAACGTAACCAACCTGGCCATTTTTAATGTAAAAATATTTGACCCATATATTTGACCTTGTAACTTTCAAAAATGCTATAAAACCTGTACATGGGGGGTACTGTTTTACTCGGGAGACATCGCTGAACACAAATATTAGTGCTTAAAAACTGGAAAACGTATCACAACAATTATATCATCAGTAAAAGTGCTGTTTGTGTGTGAAAAATGCAAAAAAAGTCATTTTCACTGACAATATCATCGCTGTGATATGTTTTACTGTTTTGAATCACTAATATTTGTGTTCAGCGAAGTCTCCCGTGTAAAACAGTACCCCCCATGTACAGGTTTTAGGGTGTCGTAGAACGTTACAGGGTAAAATACAGTGCTAGCAAATTAAATTCTCTGGAATTTCGGCCTGGGTTGGCAGGCAGGTCCTCAAATTGCAATCAATAAAATTACTGAATTATGTAAAAATATTACATAAATACGCACGTAGAATTTAAATATATATGCATATTTATATATTTGAAGTCTAAGTGTATATTTATATAATTATTTATGTAATTTTGTATATGGACATATGTATATTTCGTATTATTTTTATTTATTTATATATACATAGATATATATACAAATTCATTCTAAGTGTATTTTGATATAACTATATATATATTAATTTTAAAATACAGTTAGAATAAAATTTCATATAGATATATAATTTTTTTAAATTTTTTTATTATTATTTAAAAAAAAATATTTAATTTAAATTACTTATTATTTATATTTTATAATAATATATATATATACAATATATATAGTTATTATATATTATATATATACGTGTGTAATTTAATTATAAGTGTATTTTTATATTAATATAAGTACATATTAATATAAAAATACACTTAGTATGACATTATATATATATGATATATAGACATATTATATATATATATATAATATATGTCTATATATCATATATACACATATATAATTATTATTATTTTTTTTTATTAACACTAACTTTATTTTTATTTTTGATTTTACACTAGCAGGGAGACTGCCTGTCAGCACAGGCAGTCCCCCTGCAGGCAGACACATGGACACCTATTGTGACCATGTGATCGCTGTGGTAAGCGATCACATGGCCACAGGGGTCCTAATTCAGTGTGGGGAGACTGTCTGGGCTGCAGGCAGTCTCCCCACAACCGGAGCCATGCTGATCGCCGCCGGGGGAACGACGGCGATCAGGTAAGTACCTCTGACCGTTAGGACGGTTCAGGACCGTCATCGGTCGGCAATGGGAAAATGCCGATGACGGTCCTGAACCGTCTTCGGTCGCGAAGGGGTTAAATGTGAGTGTAATATTTATATCATTATCTCACATATATTGACCCTTACACTCTATACGATTGGTCTCTTATCTTGTGTCTTCCATATCGCGAGACCAACTGGACTACTATAAACAGAGAAGAGACCCCATGACCAAAAGCACCTTATAAGACATCTATTGACACAGTGCAACTTCTAAAATCTTTTTGGACTATTTTCGATATTTTATTTTATTTTACTTTTATAAGTTTTATTTATATGTCTTTTTACTATTTGTAGTCCACATTGATACATTTTGGCGCAGCCTTGCATTACTGTTGTTGTTGTTTTCAACACAGTAATATGTACCTATACAGGTATATTACTGATGTGCTAGTAAAACACTTACATTTATAGCCTTTTTTTGAAAGTGCCGTCTACATGTAATAGAAACCAAACTCTATTGCTTCCTTGTAGCAGAGCTTTGGTTATTTATGTATCACCAAATAGATGAGTTTTACAAAATTCAGGAATAAAATGTGTTTGTCCCAAAAGTGCAGTTTGGATATTTATTAAATTAATTTTGAATATCAACCCAGAATACTAATATTTGCTTGAGACAAATCATCCTCTACTAAATTATAATAATAATAAATAAAAAAAATTCCCAAATGTTCAAATTCCATCTGTAGGCATCCTTTTGGTCCAAAATTGATAGATTTGGAAACAAACTGTGGGATTTCAAAAATGAAACAAAAACATATTTGCCTTGTTGTACATGTTTCTAAGAGGGATTTCCGAATTCTGCTCAGTGTTTGCAAAACCCCATTGGAGACATTTAGATATTGTTTTTTTATGACTTTAAAACAATTCTACTTCATCTTGTGCAGTTTGTGTGTTTCTTTGTTGTTGTTTTATTAAACCCTTTTTTTGCTGTATCAGCATCAAGTGCAACGTTGTGCTGGTAGAATCTTGCATCCAAAGCAAATTAAAGGAGAAACATTATGGCTTTGGAAATTACACCACTGAATAAATAGAATTGACCTATATCAGCATTATACTTTATCTGCCACCCCTTTCCCCTTTTACCTTTAAAATAAGTCTAAAATTATTATTATTATTATTATTATTATTATTATCATTGTTTTTATATATACAATATACCTGGAATTTAGGACAAGCTCCTGGTGTGTCTTTCCATGCTTCTAAGTGACACTAGGGCAGTTTTGCGAGGCCCAATCAAAGACTTCTCATAGAGAAACCTTAGATTGGACTTTTAAGCCAGTTCAGAGCACACAAAGGAGGGAGTAGGGAGCCAGAGAGGGAGGACAGTGTGAATATTAAAAAAAATAGAAAGTAATACAGGCTGTAGAAGTGGAAAGGAAGGGAGGGAGGTATGAGCCAGAAGATTATTATGTCTGTTGCCAATGACAAACATAAAATATGCACAGAATTGACAATAGGCAGCCTGTGCAGAAATGCTGCACATACAGACTCCTACCACCATGACCATTTCAAATCACCAAAGTGGACATGGTGGTTGGAGTAACCCTTTAAATATTTAGCAACTTACAATCCAGTTCAGTCCAGGCACAACCAGGGCACACATTACACATAAAGTGAAGAAATAAAAACGTTATTTAATTTCTCCTCTTTTCTGTATGTTTTTTTTTATACTTATGGCCAGCTAAGATGGAGGCTCCCAGTTGCAGGATAAAGAAGTATGGATTTCTTCATTTAGTTAAATTTTTTTCTTCCTGCTTTACAAATATTTGGCCTAAGTGAATGGAATATTAAAAATCCTGGGAAATGACAGTGCCCTTCTAAGTCATATGGTTTCCTGCAATAATCCTGAGAATAAAATCAGGGTAACATTATACCATATTATGTGAATAGGGCAGTAGAGCTGCTGTATATGAAAAAGGTTGTTTCTACTTACGTTAACTGCACACCTCAACCATATCACTCCGTCAGCACTTTCAATAGAGGAAATGTCAATAGAATGCGACACTTCCTTTTTAAACTGTTTGTTGACTTTCTCAGTCACTTGAAATTTCCTCTTGCAAAATTAAAAATGTTTAATTGTACAGTGCTTTAAAAGTAAAATATATATATATATATATATATATATATTTTTTTTTTTTATATATATATATATATTTGTATACTGTCAAGCTGTTTCCTGCATTGTCTTTGCCTTATTACATTTCATTTATTTATTTTTGGCAAACGGGAAGATTTTAAAAAGTTGCATAAATATTGTTAAAAAAAAAACGTCTGAAATATGGAACCGTTCTTAGCATGATATTAATTAGGAAGAATATTTGGTTACAGACAGTGAATCGTTTTAATGCTTGCAACAACCACCCTTCATCTGCATGTTGGATCCGGACATCGTTTTAACCAGGTTCTCTGTGTAGGAGAGAGATACAAGGAAACGTTTAATGTGGCATATGTGAATGCGGGGTGGAATGTTAATAGGATAATTAGCCTGGCACGCTTGTGTTAGCACTCACCCAATTGTATTACAAGATCACTGTGTAAGTGGTTGGCACCAACAGAGGTAGATTTAGTATGTTATAAAATGTGATTACAGTTTAGTTGTATTGTGGCTGGACTTTTTTTTCTTTTTCATTACATGTTGGTAATGTGCAGTAATATACAGTAACTCAAAAAAGTAAAATAAAGTTTTATTATGCATTATAAATATCTTTCTCAAAGTTATAAGTCTGTAAAAATGCTGACGGAAATATACATTATTAAGGAACTAAAATATTTGCATGTTTGAGGCATAGTTATACACAAAGAGCAATCAGGAACATCCTCTGTTTAAATGGTGATTGCCTCACACCTATCATGTCTACCATTTGTTGTTCCAGGTTTGTCAATAAACCTGGGAAATATACTGTTCTGTAGGGCTCAGACTACTGTTTAAAAGACCAAAGAGCTCCCATTCTGAGATGTCCCATTGCTTTAACAAATAGGACAAGCTTGTAGGTTGACTCAATCAGGGTTAATACCCTTCTTGAAGGGAACTTATTGCCCTATAATGTGCAAAAAAAAAAAGCTAAGAACATGTTAACATTGGGTATTTCTAAACTCAGGACAAAAGTTAGAAACTATTTAGCATGGGTGTTTTTTGGCGGTTGTAGACGTTCAACAGATTTTGGGGGTCAAAGTTAGAAAAAGTTTTTTTTGTTTTACATTTTTTTTTAATATTTTATACATTTTTTTATAAATTATATGATATGATGAAAATAATGGTATCTTTAGAAAGACCATTTAATGGCAAGAAAAATGTTATATAATATGTGTGGGTACAGTAAATTAGTAAGAGGAAAATTACAGCTAAACACAAACACCGCTGAAATGTAAAAACAGTTGAAAATTGAAACACGGTCTGGTCACTAAGGGGTTAAACAACTTAGAATGTCGATGTAGCATTAACTAGATATGCAGAATAGATAACGGTTCAGGCCTGAACCGTTATTTATTCTGCATATCTTGGAAGGGAGGCCTGACCAGCCTTGGTTTCAGAGCACCTGGGTTACTCGGTGAGTGCGGTATCCAGTATGTCTCTACTAATGTAGCATTAACTGACTTGTCTCGTATTGAATAAACAGGCCATCTGTACCCCATATTAGCGACTGACAATATGAACACCCAGCCTGCCTGGCAAAGCAGAGCAATCATTGGTCAGGAAAAAGACCTATTCCAGACTAAGCATTACTTAAAATAGCAGGAGTGGCTGTTGTCCTTCAAATACAGTCTGAATTTATTGTGTAATTTTTGTTATGAAGAAAGACTTGAAACATTGCATCCATCTCATAGTAGATATGACAACAGTAATTAAAATATACAGTTAAATAATAAATTATATGTAAAATAATAGGCCGTAAGCCTCAAACTAGCAAAAACAGAAATGTTTAAAACATTGAAAACGAGTAAAGTAAAAAGGGAAAACAACCAGAGACCCTAACCCCCATACACAATACATAAACAAAAATCAGCTAGTTTGTCAAAAATTCATTTGTGAAATGGTACTTGCTGTACAATAAGCGGGGAGGCATATAACTGAGTATGCAGATTCATATTATAATTTATTGTATAATAGTATATGAGGCACCAACACAAACACCTAGCTCTTAATCTGTTCATTCACAGAACTGTACAAAAGGCAAGAGGTCAGCTAATGAGGAGGACAGGACCCCCATCACTGGGAATGCCCATAATGGGTGGGCCTACCCAGAATAGGGGTGGACCTGCCTGGAAAAGTGGCAGGCCCATCCACTGAAGTACAATATTATAAAATAAATGGTATAAAGATAGTTGCCTTTAAAAATAGGCCAGATGCATTTTTTTAGATGCCTAGGGTGTTGAGGTGGTAAAGCATGGCATTTTGAAATTAAGAAGGGCTGATAGGCTGAACTTCACCGACTATTGTTTTGTTTTGTTTTATCTAATCAACATGTTAATTATATACAGTTTAGTTTTGTTAACCAAACTTAATTTAGAATCAAGCTCTCTTGCTAATTCTTACCAAAGCATGTCATTTCTCCTTTTACTGTGTTTGAATTTTCCCTGCCCCATTGTTTATATTGGTGTGAAACAGTTTAGCAATAAACAGATGTCACAAGGAGATAAAATAATTACCTCTTTTTACCTCTGAAGATGTTCAGTCACAGGGAAAGATAATGTGAAATATTCTTTGTTGAGAGGCAACAAGAAAAATGCCAATATCGTCTTCTGCCTATTCCAAGAATTTAGCATTCCAGCATAATTTTCTATCATATAAGGAGTAGTAGCTCTGATTCAGGGGTCGTGACTACGACCGATGAATGAGTGCTATAGAGTCCTGAAATTACTCTCCCAAGAAAGGGAATAACCCTCAATAAGAAGACTTAAAACAAAAAGAAGGACCACAAGAGTCCTAAATAGGAGAGTAATGTGAAGAGGGGAATAGGGGTCCCTACCTTTTAATGATTCTAAAGATACACACAACAGGACAGGTGGGAAGAGGTATAGCAAAAGAGAGTCCTCCAGACTAGACACAGGGAACAGTTACTAAAAAACTGCCTGCTAGACATTTAGCAGGCAGTTTTTTAGTAACTGTTCCCTGTGTCTAGTCTGGAGGACTCTCTTTTGCTATACCTCTTCCCACCTGTCCTGTTGTGTGTATCTTTAGAATCATTAAAAGGTAGGGACCCCTATTCCCCTCTTCACATTACTCTCCTATTTAGGACTCTTGTGGTCCTTCTTTTTGTTTTAATTTTCTATCATACCCTGCTATTGATTTCCTATTTGTTGGTGTTTCATACAAAGTTCTAAATTCTCGTTTATTTTACAAAATAAACCAGATCGATACAGACAGTGCATCCAGAAAGTACACTTGACTTGTACTACTATCATTTTGGAGTTATGTTAACATGAATCTAGCTGTGAAGCAGGCCAGATGTCTCCAAACAGTGGCTTGATCTTGACAATTGTTTACATTGGTCCACTTGTCTGCAATATCATGGTAGAGCGCATCTCTCTGGTCTATTTGTTCTCTGGCACACCCTTCTATCTCACATCTTATCTGTGCTAGCAACACCTCTGTTTTTGGTTTATCACAATCCCCTCTTCTTTCCTGGTGTGCGTGGCCTTATACCTCTCATGCCGATTGGAAACTCTTATCTTAAACTCCAGGGTGTGACACGGAATCCAGAAATCATACCCGTGGAACACGTAGTACAACCCAGAAAAATAACGCTACTCCTGCATTAGCCATATTTTCAGATGTGCCACTTTTTAAAGCCCTACAGGTGGCAAATCCAGTGATATATACTGAATTTGAGATATTCTACATTAGTCCCAAACCTGCCTATAGGAATCACTCTGTATTTTGTGCTCTGGTACGTGAAGCAACAACAAAACGATTTCCGTCGGATTTGGACCAGGTAATTAAGATATGGAATGGAAGACGATGTTCACTCAGTATACTTCCTCAATACATTCAGCAATGCAACTAGTTAATTATAAATTACTGAGCAGATGGCACCTTTCTCCTCAGGCTCTACATTGCATATTTCCTGATACATCCAAACACCACAGCTCACATTTGGTGTTTTTTTCCCCTAAAATCCAACCTTACTATTGCATCTATTGCATCTCTGCTGAACTTTATCAGTAACATTCCAGTACCCTGTTCCCCAAAGACCTTCCTGTTTCATTATACCACAACCCCTACGAAACAGTACACAAAATCCATGGAGCCCCACTTACTAAACTCAGCCGAGGCGCTAATTACCTCTCACTGGAGGTCAACTGTAACACTCTCCCTGAAGGAATGGATAGATAAATAAAGAAGATAAATAAGGTATAAGGGTGATGGAGGAGATGAGATACAATATGGGTAACTCTTTTAATACTTATGCTATCACAAAAATATTTGGCCCGGGCATTTTCTAGTCAGAGAGGCCCACTGGTAAGGGGTGGAGCCAGAGAGGGTGTGTGTGGTGTTATCACCAATGAAAATCTCATCCCCACAAAGTGAGCATGTGTGACAAAACTATATACTTTGTTCCCCAACTTACTTTCCCTGCATTCAGTAGATAAATCTACCGAACACCGACCACCCCCTGACTCATTAAGTTCAAAGAAACCACAGACTAAAGTGCTCTCCCTGTGTGGCCGCCATTTGTATAACCGAACAACTTGTGCTGAAGAAAACAGCGGCCATATTATCGCACAAAAGCAGGACTTGTTCGTCGGGTGTCTGGAGCTCTAAGTCAGACACTAGATCTCGCGAACACCAAACTTCACGAAAGCCTGCTTATTTCCACGACAAGCCAGGATAGCGCTGTTTGGTAGGTTTGTTCGCATGAACAAGGTGAACAAACACTACCTATGATCCAGGGAAAGCGTTCGTCTTTGTTTTGGAACTCCCAAAATTGACCCACCGCTACCTCTGATTCTATGGAACTAATTTGGGCAGGCGCCTCATGTGCGGCCGATCAAATCTTTCCCCCGGTGGCGATTTGGCTTTGTTTGTGGGATCTGAGTGGTATTTGGACAACTTTGGTGCTCAGATCAAGGCTATCTAGGGATATAAAATTTGTGGGGGTCTATGTGTATTACGTGTCATGCTAAAATTTTATGTTTTATGCTTAGTCATGCTAATGCCTGGGAGATAATGAGTTTTAGGCAGAGTACACTAAATTATCTCCCAGTCACAGAGGCTCCGGGGTGTGTTATGTGAGTGTTCTGGGCGTATGGTGGGAGTGTTCTACTATGGCTTTGCGTAAGACCCCCTACTGGGGGTCTTTGTATAAAAGTAGGCCATAATAAAACATTTCTGTTGTAACCTTCATCAAGTCTCGACTGATGTTTGGGTATGTTACCGACCAACCACTGGATTTACTCTTATGCACAACTTGGATTTTGGGAATGGACGAAACAGCACTCCATGCGAACAGTCTATAAAGTCCATGGAATTTCAGGAGCATACGAACAAACAGGTATACGAAATACGAGGCGTTCGTTACAGCATGTTAGTTTAATCCCCTTCCAAAGGCCATGCGCAGAGCTCTGCTAAAGAGTTCTTGCATGGTTAAAAAGCCCTGTGTAATGCGCAGTGCTGTGTTTGCTTGGGATGTACTCTGTGTGTCAGGGATGTTAAGTGTGTAAGTGTAGGTGGTGCAGTGTGTGTCTGTAGTGGTCTAGTGTGTTCCTAAGGAACTAAGGAATCTATAGTGTGTATATAGGATGTATTATGTGTGTCAGGGACGTCCTGTATGTGTCAAGGATGTACTTTGTGTGTCAGAGATGTAGTGTGTGTGTGGGGGGGTGGGAGGAGTGCAGTGTCTCTAAAGGGGATACAGTTTGTGTTTTTGATCGGTGCAGTGTATGTGAATGTGTTGGGTCATGTACTGTATGTGTGTGAGGTTGTAATTGTAATTAAATATGTATAAATATCTTTGTTTAAAAAAAAAAAAAAAAGAAGTAATTATGAATTGAAAAAATAAGTTTAATATTCCCCGCTCCCTTCTTTTTACCTTTAGGCAGGGAAGGGTGGTACTCAATGCCCTGGTGGTCCAGTGGTGTCTGGAGTCTCAAGACCTGCACCTCTACCGGTTGCAGGCCGAAATACCTGTTATTGCGAACTCCAGCACTGTTCTTTGTCATAGCTTTGCTGTGGTAACTCACAGTAATGCTCCGAACGGCCAATCTCCCCCACCAGACGTGAATATAAGATTGCTTAGCGCCCACTCTCCCCTGCCATCCTCGGCCCATGGCCATCGTGGCCCACCTGGCATTTGCCCGCTTTGCATGATGGCCAGTCCAGGCCTGGCTAAGATAGATGGCATTCATACATAGACTTTGCTAGGTGGAATCTGTCACCATTTCAAGTACTTACTCCAAATGTTATGACCCAAATAAGTACATTTATTTCCAGATATTAGAGTCATTTAAATGTGCAATGAAAGAGTTAAACTATTGAACTGTTTAAATTTCCCTAGTATGTTTTCCAGAGTAGATATTTACCTTCCTAGTGCCGTCATTCATATTTCCTTGTATTTTACGACTTACATTCGAAGTTGTGTAAGAGGTTGGCATTCAGTGAATACACATATTGTCACTTCTATTTGACCCTCAGTGCTCTGGATATAATATGTAGATACAATGAAAGAATGAAAGTGTTATTCACTAAATGAAACATTCAAAGTCGATTCAAAGTTAATTTAAAATTTATATTTATAATATTTTCAATATTATGGGCACCAAAACAACTTTAGCTTAATGAAGCAGTTTTGGTATACAATCATGCCCCTTCAGTCTGATTGCACAATTATCTGCCATTTAGTAGTCAAATCACTTTTGCTTTTGTTTATGCAGCCCTAGTCACATCTCTCCTGACACAGCCTGCACAAAAAAAATGTTTATTTTCAATCAGATTTTAGCTTTAGAATTTGTTATATGCTGCTCTGTAAATTGAACTTTTGTCACATATAGGAGGCTCTGGCATAGTCTAGAAGGCTATTAACAGAGCAGGAGATAAAACAATTCTAAATTAAACAGAATGTGCAATAAAGAAATTCTAAAAATTAGATCTCTCTTTACAGGAAGTGACAGGAAGTCACATGCAGGGAGGTGTGACTAGGGCTGTATATACAAAGTTATTTAAGAAAAAGGACAGATAGAGTTGCTGTCATCCTCTGGTAAGAGACAGCGTGTAAGAAGCCCCTGACACGCGCGTTTCACCCGACCTGGCTCATCAGAGGGGAACCAGTCAAAGTAAAATACCGGGTTTAAAAAGGAAAGAGTTGATGTTCAACTCTATCTGTCCTTTTTCTTATTTAGATCACATTTAAGCATGGGAAGACTTAGGTGCCCTTGAAGGCACGGGGGAGAGTTGGCAGTGTGGAGTTTATTTAGTCTTTTTTAGTACCCTCTATATTATCGCAACCATTAACTATACTGCATTTGCATGGGAATATTTAGGTGCCCTTGAAGGCACGGGGGCGAGCTGTTAGCGTGGAGTTTACCATAATTATTATTTTTCTTGTTATCACTACTTCTACTGCTATAGTCTTAGGTGTAGGCTACAGGGCTTATTAGTTGAGTATAGCCTGTACCTGCTACTTTCTAATCAAGCTCTTTCTATTAGAATCTCAGCACGCTATTAGATTGCCTACTATCAGCATTGTTAATAATTACGGCACAGACCATCAGACGCGGTAGCCATTATTTCAGCAGTCTCTATAGTATTTGGCTTAGTCACCACTATCAATATCCATTACTCATATGTCAATTACTATATGCCAGGACTTATAGTCCACACATTGCCTACGGTTGGCAGTACACTTTGGTGGCAATAATTAATTTACCTCTGAAACTTCTAACAGTATCCAGCATTTATACGCTTGTAGTCCATACTGTTATATATGCAGGACTGCATTACCACCGATAGATATTACCTTTGTTACCTTTAAAATTCAACAACCATATGTTAGGACCTGCAGCCTTTATACCGATAGCTGCTGACAGTTTTTTCGAGCTATAAGTATTTATACGCTCGTAGTTTATACTGTCATATTAGCAGGATCGGCTCAACTTACCATAATTATATGTCTAGACCTATAGTCTGTATATCGCTAGTTTAGCTCTAAGCAGAGGTATTCTTTGAGACCTTTGGAAGTATCTAGCAATCAAATGCTTGCACTACACGCCACCCATACTTATCTTGCTAATTTAGACTATTCTTCTGTACTCCATTTACTACCCCATCACTACTATGCCTATCATTAGCTAATGTTTTCCCATTAGCACAGACGTGTGCTGTTGCTTATTACTCTTATACTCTTTAGGACATTAGAGTTAACCTTGCAGATTATTACACTGCTCCAATATATTTATTTATTGATACATTCATCGAATTATTTTGAGACTCATTGATACAAATATCTTATATCATTTTATCATATTGAGACTTATTGATACATATATCCTATATCATTTTATCATATTGAGACTTATTAAAACATATATCCTAAATCATTTTATCACATTGAGACTTATTGATACATGTATCCTAAGTAAATCAGTACTGTGTCTCACCAATATATGTATCACAACAGCATTTCTTATTTATTTACTTTTTTGTTTTATTTTCTCACTCTGTATTTTGGTTTAGCACTTTTGGGTTATTGTTATTTTTATTATACTATTTAGTATTCAATAAATTCTTTTTTGTTTTTTGACCTTTGGTCTTTTTAATTCGTACTTCAGATTCTCATACATTTTTTGGTTATTATGTAGCACAGGCACACGTTGCTTCCTCCCAATACCTTTTTGGTACACTATTCTCAGGTTTACTGACACAAAAATACAGTCCCCTGTCTACAATTTTTTTTTTTTTGTTCTAACATTACATTGTGGCTGCCAATTAACAAGCAAATCAGCTAAATTGATATCTCAGATTTACAGGGTTATTCACTAAATTGAGAATTTAAGGTGGGTGAATTTCATATTGAAAGGGACACTGTAGGCACCTAGACCACTTCAGCTCATTGAAGTGGTCTGGGTGATGTGTCACCTTTGCACTCACTGCTGCAATGTAAAACATTGCAGTTCCAGCAAAACATTGTTTACATTACATTGCCTGCCCTCAGTGGCTGTCTACCAGGATTTGGTTTTCCCGCCGGCTGATTTGGGCGGGTGAGGAGCGTTGGCAGAGCCTGACCCAGCACCGAGGGATATTGACCCTGTATTCAGGTAAGTGACTAAAGAGGTTTTTACTCCTTCAGTGCCGTGCCAGGAAAACGGCTTTGTTTTCCTGGCACTATAGGATCCCTTTAAGGTCAAAATAGCCAAAATTCAGCTGTTCTTTCAGTTTGAAAACTCTGGGCTTAAATTTAAAATTCACTTTGAATTAATTTTCAATTCTCACTTTTAAAAAGCGTAACTATTTTGAGTGTGCTGTTTTGCAAGGTGTGTGTAGTAGGAGTAAGGAGATTATTTTAAAGTAAAGTTAAATGTAATTTGTTAAAGCTGTTACTAGAACAAACAAAAGATAATTGATGTTTGATGTGAATACAATAAAAAAAAAATAAAGGAACAATTTCTTAATGCACAACTGTGTCTGTTCCATGTGACATACCATCAAACGCATATTGTTTGCTATCCAGGAAATACTATGAAGCGAGTCATGGAAAATACCAAAGCTATAATATTAAATACAAAAGGGATATTTCTTTATTATATTACTAAAAAGGAAAAATTGTCATCTTCAGACTAAGAGTTCTCTAACTAAATATAGACTGGGATTACTGTCACTTTGTATGTTTTCTAATCAAGTAAAATTTTTGGTTAAGTATAATTTTTTGGGGCCAGTTTATTGTAGTTCTGTCACTTTTCTGAGTCTTTTCTTATTTTAAACAGGGAAGGGGAATTTTACAACGTTCTGCAGTCCTCCAAACTGTGTATAGCCCCTGATTTTGCGGTCCTGAGAGCACTAGGACTATGCAGAGAGAGCTACAGAAGTGTTCTCTGAGTGATCTGCCCTGAGAAGGGCTAGCTAAGAGCCTTGGTTGACATCCCTTGTATGAACTGGTCTGCCCGTTTTCCATACCGGCACTCCTATTTTGGGCTTTAGCCGGGATTTATAGTAGGTCACTGGCATACCGTTGAAGGCTGCCTGCACACTGTCCGATTGCATACCTCGCAATGTTACTGCCCTAGTTATGTGTATACTACCACATTAAATGTCGCAAAGGATTGTACTGTCAAAATAACATACAGTCTATAAATCTATACTATTCCAGACAGCATAGCATATTGATACTGTATCAACCAATTTAGAAAAAAAAGACTAGTATAATAAGACTCATATTTTTGCATTAAAAAATGTACAGTTAATGTTTAGTATAAACCTCTTTAGTGTCTAGTAAAACCCAACTTTGTAAAACTCATATACACTGCTAAACCCTGTAATTAAACCTTTATTACGACAACAATCTTCCCACACCCTCCTAGGCGTATGCAGTATTTTATTTCACTGCATACTTTTTACTAACTTACTAGCTGTAGAGCGCAAACATGATATAACAATAGTGAGAAAAAAAAAAAAGTACAGTGTGATTTAAAAAAAGAAAGAAAGTTCTCTGAATCTTAGTATCAGTCCCCTCGGAGCTGTATTGTGTTGAATGCCCACAGGCTGGCATGTAGGCTTGTAGGATTAATATTACTCATTTTGGCCAAATAAATTGATGACAATAGCTTACATAATAATCACTACCACTGATAACTTGAAAGTGCGAATAAATAATTGTGTTTGTATAAAGTTACAATCATTTTTATTTAAATTGTAAACAATAAAAAAATTGTCTTATTTCACATGACTTTTCTAAATAAAATGTTTCTGTTTTTTTCCCCCCAGAACTACAGCATACAAAGTGAGTACAAATTAATTTGCATACCTCTCTGTCTTACTCTGTTTTTAAATAAATACGTAATTTCATGTTTAACTAGTTCACCTCTGGGATGAACTTCTGAAAGGTTTTGTAAAGCCCATCTGATTCCCAAAGTGAAAAAATATAGCCCACTTTTATTGTGACGTTTCTCGTTTTTATCTCTCTAGAGATCAACAGTTTTTATTTTCCCAACCTTTGTTACCTTCGTTACTCATTATGGTATAATTTCACGGTGGATTGATAGTGTCAGTTTAGATGAGTTGTAATAGGTTCACCATAATATTTACCCAGTATTACAAAAACAGCGGCATGTGAGATGGGTGTTCTAGATATTTCATCCTTGATAGTTGATAGCGAATATGTTTTTCTGTGTACTGCAGTGTTAAATGAGGCTGTATTTATTAAACAAACAATACAAATTAAAAACCAAAAACAATGTTCAAAGCAATTTTGATAGAACAACAGTCAGTTTTCCCAAACTCAGATAATTTCCTACGGTTTTAGGGAGTATCCATATTGATGCTTGATGAAAGACAAAGCAGGTTAGTCCTCAGCGATCAGTAACACAGAGAGCTTAAGAGATCCTGATTGGTTTTTAATAACGGTTTTAATACAAAAAGATAGGGAGGAATACGGAATTACTTAACGCATTTCACACAAAGAAGAGTGCCGATTTATAGGTAGGCACTCTTGCTAGAGTGCACCATTTTAAAGCTGTCATCGTATTATATAATTGTATAAAAATAAAATATCACAGGTTGGGTTTGTATTATTTTGTAAGGCATACCTATAAGGAAAAATACCTTTTTCAGTGCATCTCCTAGCTTAGCAATTTTGTAAGGAACACTCCAAGCATTATAACCTCTAGAGCACACTGTAGTGGTTATGGTGTCAGGAGTGCCCCTGGAGTCTCCTCCACGCTAAGTAGTCAAACCATTTTAGAATGGTTGACTTCTTTCCTGGGGTCCACCGGACACTGCTTGTTGCCTCCTCTACCATGCCAGAGCTAGAAGCTCTTTGTCTGACCCAAGACCAGCTTTGAAGGGTTCAGTTCATTAGAGAGTGATCTACTGATGCTCTCAGCCAATGAGCTAACCGTAAGGCAGGAGGCAGAAACTTTTGGTTCTCTGGCTGAGGTAGTGAAGGCAGGGACATTATTACAATATTTTCAGTAATATTAAGAATATTGACAGTTTTCCTTTAATCACTCCATCCTTATGCTAGATCCCATCTGGGATGAGATGTGCTTTATTACCATAGCCATAATTAGTGACAGCTGGAGGAAGAGACAAAATCTGACATTAGTAGTTCTGCCTTTTGTCACGTGGAGGATTTTACCATAAAACAAAGTAGTTCCTACTTGTCTTATGATATATTTTGATTAATGAAATTCCAACGCAGTTTTTATAAGCATTTCATAAAGATTTAAACTTTACAAAAAGCTAAAAATTAGAGGGTGATGGGGCAACAGAGATGCTTTAATAGCTGATTTTTTTGTTTTGTTCTAATAAAGTTACCAGAAAGTTTTTAGGTTCTCTACTTAGATAGATGACAATTGAAAGTGGTCGGCTTTCTCTATAAATGTTGCTTTGGCAATTAGTGAACTCCCCTGTGAAGAAAAAAAATTATTTTACAAAAACCCAGGTTAGTGAATAATCCTGAAATAATTCAGAACTTGAGAGAACCATACATTTTAGTGGTGGTCCAAACCATTTGCCTTTGGTCTAAACCCATCCTGGGTAATCCCACTTTATGGATGGTCTTAGCCCATCGCGATGGCCACCTTCTCACTGTCACCTTAGCAAATCTCCACGTGTTTCAAATCAGGCATCAAAATGTTGTTCTCCATACACGAAGTCGAATCAGGAAACTAATTCTTCTGAAGATGACTAAATTACTACGCACGTGATATATTTCTACACAATCTTATTTTACTGTGTTTCTTCTGCAGATGTTACCGTTAACATGGATGAACCTAAAAACTCACTGCCAACAGAAGCCATCAATGTCTCCACCTTCAATTTAAACAAACCCCTGTTGCACATCAACAAAAAATGTCTCCAGATTAATGTTAGGCTGAACACCTCAGGTACTGAGCAAGAATGTTTTTAAAAATATGAACACGTCTTTAAAAAAAGAAACCAAAATAAACACCTGCAAATATTTCAGATGGTCAGAGAGGGACACTTTCATTTTGGGGTTTGTGGTTGAAGGTGTCCAAGAGCAGGAGTATTATATCACATTTTGGGTGAATTCATGACCTGATAGTTTCATGACGTACTGAACTCTTCATGTAAAATAAAAATGTAGTTTAAAACAAGACCAAGATTCATCTTTATTCAAACAGATAAATTTGCACAGAGCACTTTTGGTTTATAGATTCTTTTTTACTCAAGCTAATTTCTAAACACATTTATTGTAGTTTTACAGGGAGGTTATTATGAATCGTATTGCTGCAAATTATAGGCGTTGTTGGTGGGGGGCTTTCGTGGCACAGCGGTCAGCTAATTCTCTCAGCCAATGATTGATGAGTGTTGCTACTTCTGGCCTCTGCAGCTCTGAATAAAGGATACATAGAAAGGCAGGTATATGCAGGGCCGGCGCCACCGTTAGGCAAAATAGGAATTTGCCTAGGTCGCCTGCCTGCTGGGGGCCACAGCGCTGGGCGAGTTGCTCTTGAGCCGTCTTCCCCCCCCCCACAGCACCGGATTGATCCTCCAGGTGCCCGAAGGTGGGGGCGCCCAGAGGAGCCCTGTCACAGTGGGCCCAGGAGGTGGCCATTCTGGCCACCTTAGGGCACCCCTGATGCTGTCCTTTTTCAATATGGCAGAGCAGGCACCTGCTTACCTTGATTGCAGGTGCCTGCTCTGCCATGAAATGCCAGAGGAGAGGGGGAAGGAGAAGGCAGGCGGCGAGGGAGGCGGCTCTTACAGCTTCTCACTCCTCCCTCGTGCGCCCTCTGTGATGCCGGAATATGATGTCATTCCAGCCTTGGCAAACTAAACAGCACGCTAGAGAAGTGAGAAGCTGCCCCACACTGGACCCCAGGGAGGTAGGGAGGCTGAATTTGCCTAAGAAAAATTAAATTGTGTGAGTCTGTGTGTTAGTGAGTGTGTCAGTGAGTGTGTCTGTGTGTATGTCTGTGTGTGTGTGTATGTGTCTGCCAGAGAGTGTTTGTGTCTGTGTCTGTCAGAGAGTGTCTTCATCTGTGCTAGACTAATTAATTAAATTCACCAAATGCATTGAATACATAATTTATCACAGCGATAAATTATGTATTCAATGTATGTATTAGGCAGTATGTGTGTATGGATGCATGTATTGGCAGTGTGTGTGTATGGATGTACGCATTAAGCAGTATGTGTGTAGGGATGCATGTATTAGGCAGTGTGTGTGTATGGATGTAGGTATTAGGTAGTGTGTGTGTATTGATGTAGGTATTAGGCAGTATGTGTGTATGGATGTAGATATTAGGCAGTATGTGTGTATGGATGTAGGCAGTGTGTGTGTATGGATGTAGGTATTAGGCAGTATATGTGTGTTAGACAGACCTAACTAAAAAACCACATGGCAAAATTTAGGCCAAAATAGCTGATCTAGAAGAATTCTCCAATCCGGCTACAGTCACAGTTCCGCTGTTTTTGCTTAAACTTTGCAATTTGGTTTTCAACTCACTGCAATTCAGAGTTTAGTGAATAAACCTCTGTGAGATTTTATTTGCTTTCATGAGGGGGCAGCAAAATGGATCTTTGCCTATGGCGGCAGAAATCCTTGCACCGTCCCTGGTTATATGCCATGACATATTCCCAGCTCTCCACTATTGTCATAGAGCTTTCTATGGGAGTCCTTTCTTCTAAAACCTAGCAATGCTCCTGCTGTGAAACTCTATATACACTCATGCACACCAACAATGTGCAGCTATTAGAAAATAGGGATGTGAGGACAGAAAGCAGGGACAGAGTGATTTGACCACAAAACATTGACTGCCTCCCTAAAGAGGGAGACACTTGAGAGATATGAACACCACAATAATAGTAATATGAATATATGCAAAATAACAGATACAATTAAAAACATGTTTCAGGAACAATTGTCTCACATTGTCTAAACTCATCTTTGATTTGAGTCCTGATGTCCCATAGGTAGGTCCAGAGCCCCATGTCAGGGTATGCACAGAGACAAATTTTGTTGCAAAGAAAAAATGCTTAAGTAGTTGATGAGGTTTTTTTCTAAATACTTTTAAACTGAACCCAATAGGTATATGCTCTGACGTCATGAAACATTCTTTACATGCTATAAAATTTTGCAATACCGTTCCAAAACTTTGCTTTAATTAACTTCAAAAAGGCCACTCGTCCAAACTGAACTGTATACTATATACAGGTGATACTCGAAAAATTAGAATATTGTGCAAAAGTTCATTTATTTCAGTAATGCAACGTAAAAGGGGTAACTAATATATGAGATAGACGCATTACATGCAAAGCAAGATAGTTCAAGCCGTAATTTGTCATAAGTGCGATGATTATGGCTTACAGGTCATGAAAACCCCAAATCCACAATCTCAGTAAATTAGAATATTACATACAATCAATAAAACAAGGAGTGTACATAGAACAATATCATACCTCTGAAAAGTATAAGCATGCATATGGACTCAGTACTTGGTTTGGGCCCCCTTTGCAGCAATTACTGCCTCAATGCTGCGTGGCATGGAAGCTACCAGCCTGTGGCACTGCTGAGTGTTATGGAAAACCAGGATGCTTCAATAGCGGCCTCCCGCTCTTCTGCATTGTTCGGTCTCATGTCTCTCATCTTTCTCTTGGCAATGCCCCATAGATACTCTATGGGGTTCAGGTCAGGTGAGTTTGCTGACCAATCAAGCACAGTAATCCCACGGTCATTGAACCCGGCTTTGGTGCTTTTGGCAGTGTGGGCAGGTACCAAGTCCTGCTGGAAAATTAAGTCAGCATCCCCATAAAGCTCGTCTGTGGAAGGAAGCATGAAGTGCTCCAAAGTCTCCTGGTAGACGGCTGCGTTGACCCTGGACTTAATGAAGCACAGTGGACCAACACCAGCAGATGACATGGCTTCCCAAATCATCACAGACTGTGGAAACTTCACACTGGACTTCAAGCATCTTGCAGTGTGTGCCTCTCCAGACTCTGGGTCCTTCCTAGGTTTCCAAATGAGATGCAAAAGTTGCTCTCATCAGAAAAGAGGACTTTGGACCACTGAGCAACATACCAGATCTGTTTTTCTTTAGCCCAAGTAAGATGCTTCTGATGTTGTTTGTTGTTTAGGAGCGGCTTGACAAGAGGAATACGACATCTGAAGCCCATGTCCATGATCTGTTTGTGTGTGGTGGCTCTTGATGCACTGACTCCAGCCTCAGTCCACTCCTTGTGAAAGTCCCCAACACTTTTGAATGGCTTTTTCCTGACAATCCTCTCCAGGCTGCGGTCATCCCTGCTGCTTGTGCACCTTTTTCTTCCACACTTTCCCCTTCCACATAACTTTCTATTAATGTGCTTTGATACAGCACTTTGGGAACATCCAACTTCCTTCGCAATTACCTTTTGAGGCTTTCCCTCCTTATGGAGGGTTTTCTGCACAACTGTCAGGTCAGCAGTCTTCTCCATGATTGTGATTCCTACTGAATCAGAGAGAACATTTAAAGGCTCAGAAACCTTTTGCAGGTGTTATGGCTTACTTAGCTGATTAGAGTGGGACACTGTGAGCCTAGAATATTGCACCTTTTCACAATATTCTAATTTACTGGTATTGTGGATTTGGGGTTTTCATGAGCTGTAAGCCATAATCATCGCTCTTATGACAAATCACGGCTTGAACTATCTTGCTTTGCATGTAATATGTCTATCTCATATATTAGTTTCCACTTTTACGTTGCATTAATGAAATAAATGAACTTTTGTACGATATTCTAATTTTTCGAGTATCACCTGTATTTTACTATATTACCATATTAGTGACACAAAACCCAAAGCCTTTCCGGCAATGCTACTGAATGCTGCCAAATTGTTAACCCCACTCCACAAATGACACTTCCTCCATGGTACAGGTTATTTGAGCAAAATATTAACTGGTGTAAAATCTGATCTTACCAACAAAGAATGTGGTATTAACATATTCTTAACTAAAATTCATAGTCACTAGACTTGCACACACAATAACTACTGAAATATCACTCCCATAATCCTCTGTTCAATAACAGCTGAGTGGTTACAGTTCATTACCTTCTCTAAACGTATTCTCTAAGTTATGGTTAGTTAGGCTATGACTGGAGTAATACTCTAAAAATTAACATATCAATGAGGAAAATGAAAGCCGGAATTAAAATACTGTCAGAGAAAGAGCCAGAGGTAATTATGTCAGGGATTCTTTGACAAAGGGTAAACAATGATGAAACATTTTAATTAAGTTTGTTCTTGTGTCACTTTTCTGTTGATCCAAGGCCTGTGTACCTTGCTTCTTGGCGGTTAATCTTAATGTAAAATAAATTATGACATTAATTTCCTCATGAACCTTTATTAAAGAGTAAAATTACTCAACCGTGCTGCTTAAGGAGCGCTCTGAGCACCATAACTACAACATGCGGATGTAGTGGTTATGAGGCTTTTAAGCTGCGTACACGATCTGCGGTTCTTGGTCAAACTGCTTTCCAGTTTGACTAAACCCATGAGTTTTTTTGACTTCCGTAGAGCATTTGTCTACTCATCTACACTTTCACTTTAGCAATATTAATTTTATGCATACATGTATGTCATTGTTTGGCTGAGTGTGTTGGTTAAACTCTCTCAGTTATTAAATAACATCCAAATATACCTGAAATTAATACTGACTGTCACGGTTTACCTTAGTTGAGAGTCCGGTAGGCAGAGTTTTGTGCTCACCCTTGCATATAAACACAGCCCACGGTAACCTGATCAGAAGCTACCTGGGCTGTAAATCTGTGCACGGGGGCTTAGGCAGGAACAGTAACTGGGTACGAGGAAACAGACAAGGGCAAATCCAGAAGAGTAGTCAGACACGGTTCCAAAAGTCAGGGCAGGCAGCGAACAGGCAATAACGAATAATCCAAACAGAAAGGGTCACAAGCCAAGTCAGTCGTAGGAAACAGGATATAAGAAACAACGAACTGACAATGTTCTCAGGGAGGGGCAGTGTTTTATGCCCAGCTAATGAGTGAACTGCCTCAAGTGAACTTAGATGGACAAGTACGAGCCACCGGTAATGTCCAGGCCCCTAGTGCTGCAGGCAATGTCAGGAAAACAAGGTTAGAACCAAAGTTCAGAAGTGGCTCAGAGGCAGGAACTCACACTTAGGATGCAGAAGGCTCCAGGTTTAAATCCCCTGTTAAGCACTTCTGGGGTGACCACACCTGGCTGTCTGGATGGCACAGTGAGAACTGTGACACTGACAATGTGAGATGACCAGAATAGGTATCTCAGCCACTTCCTAGTCTTCCTTGTCTCTCTATACAACCCGATAGCACCATAACCCTACACACATCAACAAAAAAGTGTCTTCTACTGGCTTCTTAATTCTTCAGGACCTTTCAAAACTGTAGTTCACCAGCAGCTTCTCTATGTTCTGTATTCATGATATAGCTCCTGCTATGTCATACGCAATCACATAATTTGATTTCAACAACACTTATGTGCGTCTGCATAATTAACTTATGCTTACGTATCCTTTCTTGATCTGTTGCTTGCTACCGTCTGCATTTAATCTGCCATCTCCTTTTTTAAAACAACTACCTGATATTTAAAGGGAGACCACTGGGTAACTGTATCTTTTCATTTTGAAAATGGAGTGATACTGTGGTGCATGTATGTTTTGTTTTTTTTCTGTTTCAGCAAAAGACCATTGCTTTTTTGTATCTGTCGTCATGAAAAATTAGAAAGAAATAAAGCAGGATGATTTTTGCATGACGTTCTCACAAATGCTCTCCTACACCCGGAACACGTTTTTTTAAGATTTTTCAATTAAGTTTGAATTATCATGAATTCAATAGAACACTCTAAGCCACCTAGCCACTACAGCTTGCCGGAGCTGTGTTAAGAATGGTTTGTTTTAACTGATAGAATTGGAACTAATTGATACCTTCATATGCGTCGGATATTGCTGTGGCTTTTTATTGCTGTGGAGCTCTGCCATATACTCATATGTCCCATACCTTACTGTGAGGTATATTGCTCTGCAGCTCAGTGATGATCACATATGTACACAATGCACGTTATTGTACCATCTAAAGCTTAGTTGTATGAAAAAAGAGAGGAAGCAAATTAAGGGAAATAACGCTAAAACAACGTTGTAGATGTAAAAGCAGGATTATACATCAATTATTCAGACTTTTACTGACAGAGCATATAGTTGCAGGAGAGGACTTTAATTAAATTGAACAATAATCACACATAGGATGCTCCTGAAGGCTGTAGCAGGTTATTAACTGAGCAGTAGATAAGACATTCTAGATTAGACAAATTGAGCAATTCAACAACCCAGAATATATAGATTACTTTACAGGAAGTGTTTAGGAAGGCTGAGCAAGTCACATGCAGGGAGGTGTGGCTCTAGGTGTTAAAACACAATGATATAACGGTAAAACAGCAGAGAATTGAGCAGTGAGACAGCAGTGGTATTATCTATACACCAAAACTGCTCCATTAATCAATTAAGTTAATGCTGGTACCTATAATGTCCCTTAAGCTAGCCTATTGCATAAACGCCAACTCAATTTTTTCTGCCTATTCAGAGACATCAGGAAGTGTTTTGATATAACTCACTATATATTTATTTTTCTGGCTACATTACACGTCCCCAAGAAGCTGTTGTGATAGAAATAAATGAACAGTTTCTCTGTAAAGGCACTGTCTGGCCATTGATGTCAGTCATGTACACATCACACATTCACAACAAAGCAATTAACTGGCAGCAACCCATAGACCAACAATTGGCGAACCAGATTCACAATATAGTGCATGTCCATTCAGGCCTATGCAATGCTGTCAACTCCAGGTCTGTGCAGCCTTACAGAGGTCATCTAAGGGCAATAACCACTACAGCCTTTCACACTACACTGCTAGCTGCATGCCAGTGTATATATAAGAGTAATCAGAACGATATTCGGCTATTACGTCTAGGACACTGTAACCTTTATAATGTCATGTAGTGTTTATCCAAAATGTCATTTCAGATGTACCATCCCTCAGGTTTAAGAAAGATCCCCAGGCTTTGTTCACAGTGTTGTGTCATTTTTATGTGACACATTGTCTTATTTCTACTTTTTATTGTGTACACCTTCTGGGAACTTGGGGTGTTGTCAGATGCATTCTGCACATACCAAAAGTACTTCACTTCACTTCATTTCAGCGTGATGTGTGAACAATGTACTGGTCTGTTGCACCCAAAAAAACAGACAAGTGCAGGTCTTGTGTTACTGGTAGTTAGTTGCACATTTATTTTATAAACACATTTTTGTTCCACATTATGGGTTGCTGAATATCTATTTATTTTTTATGTTTTTCATTATTTTTTTCATTATTTATTTTTTAACAACTTGTCTCTGAGTCTGTTTGTTTTCAAAATCAGTGGCACATATTCCAGGAGGTAGGGTGACACTTTGCATGTTCTATGCAACAGAGGAGAAATAGCATAACTATTGCTAACTGTGTCTATGGAGACTTCTCTTCACTGAAGGATTGACCTGCCTCTTGTGCAATGGGAAACTAACATTTTGATCATAGACTTCCCCTGTGCAGGGCCGGCGCGTCCATAAGGCGGCACAGGCGGCCGCCTTAGGGCGCACCGGCTCTGGGGGCGCAAAATTCCGGTGACCGGCAGGAGGGAAGTGCTCCCTCCTGCCAGGTCACCTCCTGGATCCCCGGCGCGGCGTGCGGCTGAATTGGATTCCGAGGTGGCGAGGGAGCTCTGATCTCTCTGATGTGCTCCCTCGCAGGCTGTTTACTGATGACGTCATATTCCGGCTCCCGCGGCATCAGTAAACAGCCTGCGAGGGAGCGCATCAGAGAGATCGGAGCTCTCTCGCCACCTCGGGATCCAATTCAGTCGCACGCCTCCCAGCAGCCCCACTGGACCACCAATGAGAGACCCACGCCAGCTCTCCAGGTAGGGAGGCTGGGTGGGAAATTTAAATTTAATTTAGATTATTAATTACTGTGAGTGTGTCTGTGAGTTTGTGTGTGTCTGTCAGTGTGTGTGTGTGTGTGCATGTGAGTGTGTGTGTCTGTCAGTGTGTGTGTCTGTCAGTGTGTGTGTGTGTGCATGTGAGTGTGTGTGTCTGTCAGTGTCTGTGAGTACGTGTGTCTGTCAGTGTCTGTGAGTTTGTGTGTGTGTGTCAGTGTGTCTGTCAGTGTTTGTGTGTCTGTCAGTGTGCGTGTGAGTGTCTGTCAATGAATGAGTGTGTCAGATAAGTGAGTCTGGCTGTCAGAGATGTCTGTGTGTTTGTCATTGAGCGTGTGTGACTGTTTATACACCCCTGACTGTAGCGTGGCCAAGCGGAGTGTACCGTGGTACAGAAACTTCTGTTTCCTGTACCTGACAGGACTGACAGGAAAAGCTCACTGTACCAGGATTCGCTCCACTCAGCCACGCTACAAGAAAGGTAGGAGGCACACCAGGAAGGGGAGGGGACCACTATGGGGGTGGGTGGCACACCAAGGGACAGGGAGAGGAGGGGAGAGATACCCTAAGGTACAGGAAAAGGAGGGAGGGGGGAGAGGAACACTAAGTGACAGGGAACAGAGGGGGGAGGGGAGAGGAACACTAAGGGAAAGGAACACTGAGGAACAGGAAAAGGAGGAGAGAGGGGAGAGGAACAGTAAGGGTCAGAGAAGGGAGGGGACCATTAAGGGACAGGGAGAGGGGCTGGATGTGAAAGAAACACACACCGGTGTTTGAGAAGGAAAGAGACACAAAGGGGCTGGGAGAAAAGGAGTCACACAAAGGGGCTGGGAGGAGTAAGACACAAAATGTGGGAGGATGTAAGAGTCATACAAAGAGGATAGATAGGAGACACACAAAGGCAAAAGGAGTCAGATATTTAAAAGACGGGATAAGAAACACAAAAGGGAGGTTAAGAGGCACATGGGTGAAGATGTTTTTTGGGGGGGGGGGCGAAAAATGCATCTTCGCCTATGTACCCAAAATTCTTTGCACCGGCCCTGAGTAAGGGTCAGAGAAGGGAGGGGACCATTAAGGGACAGGGAGAGGGGCTGGATGTGAAAGAAACACACACCGGTGTTTGAGAAGGAAAGAGACACAAAGGGGCTGGGAGAAAAGGAGTCACACAAAGGGGCTGGGAGGAGTAAGACACAAAATGTGGGAGGATGTAAGAGTCATACAAAGAGGATAGATAGGAGACACACAAAGGCAAAAGGAGTCAGATATTTAAAAGACGGGATAAGAAACACAAAAGGGAGGTTAAGAGGCACATGGGTGAAGATGTTTTTTGGGGGGGGGGGCGAAAAATGCATCTTCGCCTATGTACCCAAAATTCTTTGCACCGGCCCTGCCCCTGTGGGTGAGATCAGTTGATAGGATCAGTCAAATATGCAGGTAGGTAGCAGAAGTTCCCTTTTGAGTGGCACAAGTGAGTTAAAACTTACTTGTTCTCAGTCTTCTCATAAATTATTTTTTGGAACATAGAAGATTAATATAGCTTCAAGAATATGAACCAAGATGTACCGTAATTCATATTACAGCTTAAAGAGACAGTAACCATTTAAAAATGTATTTTTATAAAGCTTTCATTACCTGATTTTTAAGAACTTCTCCCTGTGTGCAATTTTATGTTACAATCATTAGACATGTGCAATTCGTTTTGGTCTGAATGTGAATTCAGACGAATTTCGGGCAATTCGGACATTTAGGTACTTCCGAAGTGCCGAATTGCCGAGACTCTGAAATTACCAAATTTCCGAAGTGCTGAAGTTCCGAAGTTGCCGAAGTTCCGAAGTGTCAAAGTGCCAAAGTTCCGAAGCAAAGTATTGCCTAAGTACTAATATACTTACCCAGTGAAAGAAGAAGAATGTTACATTGTATACAATTTTAAATAAAAAGTATACAAACATAGCCAGGATTCAGCTGTAAGCATTTGCAACACTTAGAACAATCAAGTAACACACATTCATATAAAATGTAAGTTACTTGGCCAGTCATGTAATGACAGGAATGAATAGGTAGATAACTCCCTAATTCCCACGGTATTAGGGAGCTATCTACTAAAAGGATGAAAGACCTGAATTGGTCTTTCAGACAAATTTACTAATACTAAGTAAAGATTACTTAGTATTAGTAAATTATGCCCCTACTCGCTATACCGCGAGTAGGGGCATGTCTAGTAAACAGTGAGCAGCCTGTGGCTGCTCACTGTTTTAAAAAAAAAAAAAAGGGTGGATTAAATAACCAATCAGAGTGCTATGAGTCAAATTACACAGAACTTTCCCACGCTGTGTAAAATGACACAGAGCACTCTTATTGGTGGATTTCAAACCAACAAATCAGAGTGCTGTGACAGGTAAATGTAGAGTCTTACCTGTCAGTCTCTTCATTTACCTGTCAGAGCACTCTGAGTGGATGGCTTAAACCCACCAATCAGAGTGCTTGGAGCCTAATTGCAGGGCGGGGCATGGCTTTATAAGCCTTCCCCGCCCTGCAGAGCTCAGTCTGCGCAGAGCCCTTGCCGGGTGAAGATGGATTATTTAGGTTCCCCCCCTATTAGTATTTAGGGCCCCCACCCACGGCTCAGAGGTGGGGGCCAGGGGGAGGACATTAGGTCCCCCCTTATTAGTGTTTAGGGCCCCCACCCACCGCTCAGGGGTCAGGGCCAGGGGGGAGGACATTAGGTCCCCCCTCTTATTCCAATTTAGGGCCCTCACCCGCCGCTCAGGGGTGGGGGCCAGGGGGGAGGACATTAGGTCCCCCCCTAATTCCAATTTAGGGCCGAAGTTGCCGAATTTCCGAAGTGTCGAAGTTGCCGAATTTCCGAAGTGTCGAAGTGCTGAAGTGCCGAAGTTCCGAAGTGTTGAAGTGCCGAAGTGCATAAGTTGCCGAAGTTTCGAAGTGTTGAAGTGCCGACTTGCCGAAGTCCCGAATTGCGAAAGTCGTGAATTTCGGAGTGCCGAACCCAACCGAAAATTTTCCCCATGCACATGCCTAACAATCATATTATATTTAGGTAGTGCCAAATTGAGCTGCCTATGTTTGAAACGATTAATAAACCTGGTTCTATGCTTCATAAATTTAGATGCCTATTTGTTAAATCGTTCTAAACCTTGAGTAGGCAACCTTTGCACTCCAAATGTTGTGGACAACATCTCCCATAATGCACCTAGAGCCATAATGCTGGTAGGCTATAACATCTAGAGGGCAGATTGTTGCCTATCCCTGTTCTAAACTATACTGACAGTACAATGTCAGGACTCAGATATGACCATAAATAGTTAAAGAATAGACCAACATTCTCAGTTAACACTCTATTGAACCTCCTTAATATTACTGCTTTAAGAATGCAGACATGGCTAAAATGTTACCATTAACCCCTTAAGGACCAAACTTCTGGAATAAAAGGGAACCGTGGCATGTCACACATGTCATGTGTCCTTAAGGGGTTAAAAAAAATATTTCTAATCAAGTTGCGAACCGCATGTCTGATCAATGAATTATTTACTTAAAGGAAGACTATAGTGTCAGGAATACAAACATGTATTTCTAACACTTTAGTTCTAAAATAACAGTTTAATCCCCAGCCCCGCTTACTTACAGTAAAAAAGGCGATTTTACTCACTTTATTTCCAGCGCTACGCAGGTCTATCACAGCTGGCTCCGCCCACAATCTGCCCCCTTAGCTAATATCATTAAACTTGATAATCTTATTCAATCCAATGCTTTCTCATCACAGAGCATTGGGAGGTTATCTTGCACGCACTGCAAAACACCTTGCTGCACCAATCAGCTTCTCTTCATAGAGATGCATTGTATCATTAAGCTGTATTTGTTCTGGTGACTATAGTGTCCCTTTAACATTTTCCTTACCCCATGAGGTCCATGAGAGGCTATACCATTTTACCAATCTGGTCTTTGAGTTTCCTATTCCATAAAAAAAGTTTATCACTTATTTAACAACAGAGGAGCTATGTAGAGCTGCTGCTGGAGAATAACAAGGGCATTTAATTCTAACATGCTTCAAAGGACCCTACTATGGTAATATAAAAAAAAAAAATTGTTCTTCAAAGGGGATAAAAAATATCGTAGCCTTATTGCACTTATATATAATGCACATTAGTGAGAGAGAATCATATCTGTCACTGGCATTTCTAAAAGGCACAGATAGTCCACTAGAGGAAAGTACCACGATTATCCCCACCCACAGACACAACTTAGAAGACAGAGTAAAGTTCTTTAATGTTTTATTTGCTTTTAGGGAATAATGCTAAGAGGGAGCATAAAATAAACCGGGTGAGTGATTAAAGAAGAGAAAGTAATGAAAGTGGGAGTGAGAATCTTGGAAAGGTGTTAACCAAAAATAAAAACCTTGCTTAATTATCAATTCAACATTGCCCACAGCGCAGAACGAATGTGCGTAATGTTCTAAAACTAAGATTTCAATTCTCTTTGTGAGTCATACTAATAGTTTAAAGAAACACAAATATATACCACGTTGAGTGTTTCTGTTATGTCATTGAGAGGGAAATTCTTGAGATTTAGGGTTAAATATGAGTGTCATGTCAGTTATGTGAAGGAGTGGCATTTAAAGACATTTAGCATGGCAAACAATAACTCAAAATCAGAGATGTAATCTCTATTAGGTTTGTTTTTGAGCTATATTTGTACAAAGGTATTGCATTTTCTGGAGGTCAAAATGTACAGAGATGTTGAGATAATGTTACATGTTTGATGTTTGATGACTCGTTGACTCGTTCAATCTCCTAAATCCTTACACAAAAAAATAAATAAAAAATATGACATTTAAACTACTACATATTCCTATGTCAGTCATTTGGACAATACACAGTGCAACACCCAAACCAGTTATGCTAACCTTGGCCCCCCTCTGTTCCGCTCCATCTGCAGTCAAACTTGTTTTACAAGTCCAACAATTGCGAGAGTAGCTGTGTAGCACCTAAGCCAATCTCTTTATTGTCACTAAAGAAGGTGAGCAAAGTTGAAAGTGGTAAAGTGGTGTTGATCTACTATTACTTAGTCTGGCATTCAATACATTACCAGCAGTCGGAGAATTGTTAGTATATGTTTCACGTCCACCTTTAGTAAAAGAAACAGATTTGGGGATTTTGGCTCAGCTTGACCACCTCGATCTATAATATAAAAGCAAAACTTTTGGCTCAACTTCATTATCTCCACCTATAGTATGACTCAGACGTTGGCTCAACTTCCATGTCTATATCTGTGTTATATGACCCATATATATTGGCGAGGTTTGCTTGCAGTATAAGTATCAGGCAACGGTCCCTTTAGATTGCGCCTGTCTTGTATTTAATCAAAATTATGAGGAAAACGTTACTGCCTTTATCTGTAGTATAGAAGTCAGACTATTGTCTGTAATTGTATGTGTGCAAACTTATTGTCCCAGTATGATGGCTTCTACCCTGCTGTTTATGAGTCAATTTATAGGCCTTGTGTTCGTATTTGTTTTAGAGATCTTGGATTTCTACAATTGGTCTATGCATAACACACTTATAGTAGGTAATACTGCCCTCAGCTGTTGGACTTTGAAAGTGCACTTAGTAAAAAAAAAGTTAGAAGATGCATAAAGCTTTTATATTCACTGTAGCTATTACCCTGTGATAGTGCTTGAATAAGTATGAGTATGAATGAAAAAAGTGTAAATTTTTCATCCTATTTTAGCATACACGAACATATGTCACAATATTCCACTCAGTCTAAATTTGGCTAAAACTGATATTTTAAAAATACATGCAAATCATACCCTGTGACGCCTTCACACACACTGCACAATAAATGTTGTATTGCTTTGGAAATATGTGATGCACACATATGTGTGATGATACACACACACACACTCAAAAGTGATTTTAATTACTGCAGAGCTGTTATTCACATATACCCAGAGAACATTATATTTGTTGTTAATAATCCTTGTTAATATGCGAATAATTTCATGTTATTTAAAGTGTTACCAAAACCGTTTTTTAAATTTATTTTTAAGCATTGGTCACTACTAACTATTTCAAATTCCTTTCCCCCACACCCCCCTCTGTGGTCCTGTCAAAAGCATTTGATTGGACCACTCTCACTGCACATAGGTGGAAGTGGGTGTTGGACAAGTGACGAAGGAGGAATATTCTGAAATGTAGGGAGGACAGGACAGATTGGAAGGGCTCAGATGAGGTACGGAGGGGGCTATAGACTTTTCCCTGCAGGCACGTTCCCACAGCTACCTTTAAAGGTTACATCTGATTGTGTCTGACACAGGTGCGCTGACAACTGATGTAATATTTCCACAAATTTTACAGTTGCATGTGCCAGGAGTGAAACTAGCCCTCAGCATAAAAATGCACATTTCTCATTTCTATTTCATTTCTAGGTGCAGCGTTTCAAGCATTTGTCCTGCACATACAGATTCCTTCCTCTTGCTCTAAAATTAGAAGTGGCCGAGGAGGTTGGAGAAACCCATTAAACTATTTGTAATGGTTGGTATTTTTCTCTCTGTTTTCTTGTAGGCCTCCCCAATCTATTTGGTTTAATTGTAGAAGACTATAACCAGATATATTCATCTAAAATTGAAATCACAATGTATACAAAGAAAAGGAGAGCTAAACTGGTAAGAAAAAAATCTGAACTGGTGTCGAATCCTATCTGGGTCATATATGCCACTATAGGCACCCATCTGTCTATCTATCTATCTATCTATCTACCCCTCTCTCTATCTATCTATCTATCTACCTATCCATATCTATCTATCTATCTATCTATCTATCTATCTACCTGTCTATCTATCTATCTATCTATCTATCTATCTATCTATCTATCTATCTATCTATCTACCTGTCTATCTATCTATCTATCTATCTATCTATCTATCTACCTGTCTATCTATCTATCTATCTATCTATCTATCTATCTATCTATCTACCTGTCTATCTATCTATCTATCTATCTATCTATCTATCTATCTATCTATCTATCTATCTATCTATCTTCTCTCTATCTATCTACCCTCTATCTATCCCTCTCTCTATCTATCTATCTATCTATCTATCTATCTGTCTACCTTCTCTCTATCTATCTATCTATCCATCCATCCATCCATCCATCTCTTCCTCTATCTGATCTAATTTTTGAAATTCTGGTCACTACAAGGTTTACTACTCAGACCTCTTAATGATTCACTCTTTTCTTCAATCTGTTTAGTGGAAAGCACAGTTTAGATGCTGTTCGGTTACGATTGGTAAGACAATAACAATATCACTGGTTACTCTGCCTGGTTACAGTTTTGGAATTACAAAGAATTTTGTCATACCAGATCCAGATGCACGTAAGTTGAATTCTTGTAGCTTCTTTAGTATAAGATATATACTAATTCATATAACTTTGTTAGATCTAAAAATTTTCCATACTTAGCACTGATTGTGAAAGAATTGTTTGCATTATAGGGAATAGCAAAATTGAAAGCTTACATTTCACCATACCTGGATAAACGTGCCTTCTTTGCAGTGGTTAAGTGGGATTCATAGTAAGCCAGTTTATTATCTGCACTACCCAGGCAACATTGCTGGTCGGAGACCTCCACTGTAAAAGCTGGGCAAATTATTCTGCATAGTAAAACAACATGAAACTAGGGACACCAAAATCTCCTTTTGTTGTTGGTCTCTACATTCCTTTTGTTGCAAGTCTTGCCCTTTAGCAATGTGATTGTTAACAATATTTCACGATTTTTTACTGTTATTTTGTTATGTCTGCCAACATCAGTTTGATTCGTAAATTTTTTTATAAAGATCAACTGTTTTTTTTTTTTTTTATGGAATAAACACTCCCAATTAAGGATATTTTAAAATATTTTGTTTTTATCATTAGATTATGTAATGTTTTATACATTATCAGTTAATTATGTATATAGATCCAATCTATAGGTCCAATATCTTCACTGTCAGTTGTACCCCTACATGTCTAATGGCTGTGATAATGTTTTTGCAATTATTGTTTTGTCTGAAATGTTGTTTTGTTTGAGCCAAAAAAAAAAAATTGTTATGTTTCATGATATAAAAATCATTACATTTATTTATGTTAGTTAAGATATGCTACATTCCAACCACAAGTCTTTTGTTCTGTTTTTTGGTTTTTTTATTCACAATGTCAAATATGTGTCAACTTATTTGTAATTGTAACATGTCTACCAAAATGAGGAAGTTATGGGTGAAAGGTAAAATGTGGGTTTTGTGAAAATAAAATAAAAATGTGGATAGAAAATAAAAAGGGAAATCAATTTAAGCAAAACAGAAATGATGCAAGAAATATGCAAATGGGGAACATTTTAAATGATTAGTTCTGTTCTATCAGCTCCCTTCCTAACATCCTAAAATCCAGTCTTTACAGTATTATGATTATGGGAGTTAGATAGGGTTAGCTTATATGGCATTTTGCACATCATGTGGTTTGGAAACAAGTTATTTGACCTATCAGGTATAATAGTACAGTGGTGCCTCAGTTTACGAACGCCTCGGTTATCATAATTTTCGGTTTACAAATGAAAATCTATTAAAAATAATGTCTCGGTTTACAATTATTTTTTCGCAATACAAAGCAAGTTTCCCCAGGATGCATAGCGCCTGAGAGGTTTATAGCACCGCCCCCTGCGTACTGTAGTCTGTGGGTAGCACGTGGTGTCAAGTGTGGAGGTGTTGAAAAGGCTTTTGCATCGAGTTTTGGAGCCATTCTGGAATTTTTTTGCAGTGGTTTTGGGACTTTTTGGAACTTTTTTGGTGCAGTTCTCAAGCGGTGGAAAGGTAGGGAGCTGAGCTATATCGTTTGCATGCATTTTATTTTGTGTTCTGCATTGTGGGTTGGTTTCCATGTCAGCTCATTTTGACTTTTTGCTGACCTCCAGAACGGATTAATTGCTTTTCAATGCATTCCTAAGGGAAACTGCATTTCGGTTTACAAATTTTTCGCGATAAGAAACGTCCCGGAGAACGCATTAAATTCGTAAACCGAGGTACCACTGTATTAGCATAAAAGTCTGCAATTGAGTAACATACAATGTAATGTTTACAGAGTTTCTTGGTTAATTTTAAGAAGGCATGAATTTGACGAGAGGTTGGTGCAAAATATGAATCTTCTGCACTTGTTAGGATTTATATGCTCTCTGCACTGAAAGATACTGTACCCTATGTCTTAGCTTTCTTTATTGCTCTGTTAAAGAGGATCACTATAGGTCAGGACCCTATAGTGCTAAACCCAACATTTAGGTGGTTTGCCCCCCCCGTTACCCCCGTATAAAAATATAAAACTAAGATTATTTCCAACGCTGCGCGGGTCCACCGGTGCTGGCTCCGCCCCCTTTGTGACATCATCAAAATGGCAGATTTTTTTCCCATAGGGAAAGCATTGGATTGGCTAAAATTGCCACTGGGGCGGGGCCAAATGCCATTTTGGCCAATCAGGACCTCATTGAATCAATGCATCTCTATGTGGAAAACTCAGCGTCTCCATGCAGAGCGTGGGGACACTAAACTGCAGTGCTGCTTACTGTGCATCCCTGAACCAGGAAGCCCCTCCAGTGGCCATCTAAGGAGTGGCCACTTGGAGGTGTCCCTAGGGGCAATGTAAACACTGCCTTTTCTCTGAAAAGGCAGTGTTTACATGAAAATGCCTGAAGGCAATGATTATACTCACCAGAACAATTACATTAAGCTGTAGTTGTTCTGGTGACTATAGTGTCCCTTTAAACAAACAAGAAAAAAATTATACAGAAAACACTATCTTGTGTAGAGTGTGTAATAATACTGTACCCACTAGGTGGCACCCTTGCATTACAAATATTGGCTTTTCATAGGCGAGAAACGTTTGCAAATGTTGGTTATGAGACTCCTAGGAATGAATGTGATTGCTTTAATAAAACAGGTAACACCTCGATTCTCCTTTTATATAAATTTGGTATCATTAATACATTTTACGTTGATATAAGATAAATTTCTTTATTTTTGGTTCAAGAATACCACATAGTGGTAATGGAACCAAACCAAAACCATTTGGCCCAAAAAGCAGAAACAGAATACAAAAAGTGGATATTCCAGCTTGTCATATAGATTTAAATATCCCCACTGTTTGTTCCAATTTTATAGTGGATCCACATAAGGATTTCATGAAATCACATGGAGTTAATTTATTAAACTGGTCATTATTGAGAATTGATCATTGAACTGCAAAATCTTTCAAACTAAGCTAAACATTTGCAATTTATTTATTAATTATCCACAATTCCTAGCTTGGTGCCTACCTTATATCTCCACCCTCTCCCCCCCCCCCCCAAAAAAAAAAAAAAAAAAAAAAAAAAAACAACACACAAACAAACAGTGCCATTGTGGAATTGTGAACGTACAGGCTGTATGAAGTGAATTCAGAACAAAATATCCTCCTTTGAAGGAATAACTCATAGAAATGGAATTATATTTCCTGCTCAGCAATTTTTGCATACATTTTGAACGTTAGCTGTTTAGTGATTGAACATCCCTTAATAGTATGTTTTTCCCCCAAAATAGCACCTGAATTCCAGTTCAAGCATTCCCCAGAGCACCGTGAAATTGAAGTATCCTTATCTGGAGACCGTGATGCCATTGCTAGATTATGTTACAATAACGGATTATGCACAGATCTGAATTTAAACGAAAGTGAAGTCTTTAAGGTAAACCTATTTCTGGCCTTTCACCTTGCATTTCAATTGTAATTATATCAATATACAATGATGTACACATCAAGTCACAATATTCCATTTGGCACAGTGTGCTGTTTATTATTTATAAAGGAATAATATAGTGTCAGGAATACACTATAGTACCTGTGTGACTGGCAGCTTAGAGTCCACTGCCCCCTTACATCACCCTGAATAGGTGATTTTACTCACATTTTTTCACAGGCTATGCAGTCTAGTCATAGCTGGCCCCGCCTCCATGGCTGGGATCATCAGTCTTGATGATCTCAGCCAATCCATTGTGTTCCCGTAGAAAAGCATTGGGAGGCTAATGCAAATAGCAGGATTTACTGGGTTATTTAAACCCAAACCTGCAGTTGTTCAGTTCCCTGTCATGGTTTCCATCCTGTTGGTTATCCGAGAGCACGTTCCTGATTCTATTTGGTTTTTGATCTTGGCTTGACTCCCCGTATTCCTGGTATCCCTGACCCTTTGGCTTTGTTCTATCCGTATTTGTTCTTTTCTGTATTCCTGGCCTCGGTTAGTTACTGTTTATTCTATTACGTTTCCGGTAAGGCCCGGTAATAGGTTGTTACTGTTTGTATTTGTTACGTGTTTTACTTAATGCTGCGTGTTGGGCCACTGGCTCGTCCTGACACAATGTGGGTGTATTGACCTAGGGTATCAACAGATAACCAGCATCAACATTTAGAACAAAAAACGAAATATCCAACACGTATATAAAAAGATAGAAAGCATAGACTGTGGGCTCTCTTTAGGCCACAGGTAAGTACAGTCCTCATTCGTTGTAGAGCAGGATTGAATAGAGCAACTTTAGCCAATTTTACAAAAATTACTCTGTTCCTGGCCCAGTTCTGGTCAAGCCTCTTGCTATGAGTGGCTAAGGCCTACCTGTGTCAGAGCCATGTCTATCTCTATAGCGTTTCTGAACCAGATAGCCAAAGAATTCTGTTACGTCATTAGACACAGAGTAGTAGAATTTTCAATTACTTTTTAATACATATGTGTTGTTGAAACATATATATATTTTCTTATCTAAAAATACATTTACAGGAATAACAGAAACTGTAAACTTTGACACTTGTACCACATCCAGACTGGTTTAAGAGCAGATCCGGCAAATGCCCTGTTGGCCCGGTTCCAGAGATCCTTTAGTAATTGAGATGATGGACCTTCTAAAATAAACACTTTCATTGGCACTGAGTACAGTCTCTCGCATTTACATTCAACTTGATGGGTTACGATATCATATTCCAACATAGTCTGCTTCAGTCTGGCAATCATTGAGAGACATGTGACATCTCTCAGCAAAAGGATAATAGGATTGTTGTGTTTTCTTTTAGTCATATTGTCACCTTGACTTTCTGGTTGTGCCTTCCGTACACATTTTCTGTAGGCAAACAGACTCAGCAGGGGGAGGGCTCTAAATACCCACAATCACATATGATTTAGTCTAGTAATAGAGTTTGGTACGCAAACAAAACTGTCAAGCCTACTTCTCGCTAATGTCTTAAATCTTTATAGTAGTTTACATAGTACTGGTTTGGTATATTGAAGCAAGCGACTCTTACCCACTTTCTTTTTTACAGGTATCTGCATCCAAAAACCTCACTTTGAAGTATGAACATCTGCTCCCTTGCCTGTGCATTGAGGTATTAATTATTGTTTAATGTTCACGGTCTATTTTTGTGAATTGTGTTGGCATTTTATAAATAAAAACAAAATGGTAATTGTGGTTAGTGAAGTTAAAAATATTTTAATAATTACTTATCCTTGCATAGCTTATGGTGCTGGGTGCTCCCAATTCTACAAATTCACCCACATAGCTTTTCCTTGTCTGTATGCATAAACATACAAATAATTACATAGTATACTTAAACTATGGAAGTCCCCCCAACCCTGCCTTTGACAGGCTCTCTCAAATATGTTAATTAGAGTCTGTGCTTAAAGAAAGCGCTAGCTTTAGAAATACAAACCTAATGCTATAGTGCCCTTATAACCAGGGCCACGATTTAATGTTGTTGGATAGGCGTTCCAAGTGTTATTTTTTTGGATAAACTTTTCAGATAATTTTTTTCAGCATGTTAAAATATCATTACATATCTCATATATATAAAAAATAATCAAAATGTAAAGGACGATTCCTTCTTTTTCCCTGCCTATTTACCTCAAAATATAGAGTTCTATTAAAAAAAAGTAAAATTCAAGGCTAATACCAGTGATTATAATATGATATATATGTCCGCTAACAAGATTGAGGGTAATTTGCGATGAGAAAAATATTTCCATGAACCATCTTGGGTGATAGCTAACCCACTCTTTCTACTATCTTTACTATTGTTTATGTATATATAGTATCTACTCCATTATTTCCACACTTAGGAGTGATACCCCCTTTTTATATACCTCCCACTCTAGGCTGTTACAAGCTGCTTCTTTATATTTGATACTGTAGCAATACAATGTTGGGACCTCTCAATACATTTTTGTTCATTGTTGGAATTTTAGTCCTGCATTTTTTATATTTACCATTATCATATTTAGTGTACTATTACACCGAATTGTCATTTTTTTTTTATCTGTGGAGCGCACATACATATTCCAGTATTTATCTTTACTATCTGTACTATCATTATGGAAAACCACAAAGGTAACAGTGCTAATTGCTCATAATGTTGCAAACGCCTATTAATGTAACTATAAACTATCTTTTTACTCCATAGGTTTTTTATGATGGACCTAACAGCAGAAGGAAGCAGATTTGCCCATTTAAAGATGAAGACAATGCCTGTAAGAAATACAAATAAATTGAACCCCTTTAGTTCCATGATTTTCAGGACCGTAGGGCCTCGTTATAATACTTTCATAAAATTCTTTAACTTGCCTCATCTCTCGCCAGTTTATCCACAGTCGCTCATCCGTTACGGCTGAGATAATCAATGATGATCTCAGCCAAGCCCATAGGGAAGCATTGAGGGGGCTACTGTGGCAAAATTTTAATTTAACAATTGCATGTATTTTTAAAAGTTAGGATTCTGCTATTTTACAAGATTAGCTGCTATTCAGTGAATATTTCTCTGAGTGTTTTTTTACCTGTCTCTCTTACAGACAACCAATATTTCTGGGATATTTCTTTGCTGAACATGCATGATCATTCCAGTATCATCATGAGCATGGTTAAGAAATGCATTGACGATCCAAGAGTTTCTGTGTGTCAAAAAAATAGTTCTCACTGCACCACACTGCACAATGCTGTAATCAAGACACAAGACATTGTCACAGATGAACAGTGTTTAATGGTAATATAAATAATCACACCTTTATTTTATCCTCTGATATAGTTTTTATAGCTCTTTATTCTACAAATGGAACGGAAACCTGTAATGTGAAATCTTCCTCTCTCTCAACAGGAGTATACGCTTGACAGTGCCGATGTGGATCCTCACCTTTGTTTTAAGGTAAGTTCAAGGTATTTCAGGATCAGTTGTAAATGTGAAAGAGCTGACAAGTGATTGGCAAATACCAGGCCACTGTGGTTGAGCTGGATTTAGATTTGTTTCCAGCTAAACTATTTTGGTCAAAGTATTGCAAGTTAATTGTCAACTTACCAAAAATGTACTGTTTAGGGAGAAATGTACTAAAAGTGCATAAAAATACATAAATGCTACAGTGCTGCACACTGACCCAGGAAGCACTGCTAGTGGTCACCTAAGGATTGGCCACTGAAATTGTCCCTAGGGAGCAAGCTAAACACTGCCATTTCTTTGAAAAGACATTGTTTACATTAAAAAGGCCTGCAGGGACATGGTATAGACACCAGAACAAGTACATCCTTTTTTTTGTCAATCTTTGTTCATTAGTATTAAGTGGTACAGAAAGTAGAAATAGAATAGCATTTAAACAACACATTAAGGTACCTAAGTTTGAATGAATACATCCTTCAGGCTGCTACTACCCTCATCAAGCATACACATCAGGGGTTAGGCAGCTGGGTATTTACGTGCGTTGGTGGTTGGACTTCGGTTTGCATGACCCCTAGTTGTCTAATTCGCTAAAGTTTACTGCGCCTCCTTTGGAGGGTCTAGGGGGTATGGAGGTGTTACAGTCCTATATTTCAGCCTCTGTATCTCTGTCCTACATCCAAGGGCTCCCCTGCCTTTTCCCTGTGTTTGTTTGTATCGTGTGTCAGGTGTCCCGGTGTAGTGCGGGTCATGTGGGTAGCCCGTTGTAACGGATAACCTGGCACCCCGACTGGGTACCTCCGTTGAAGGATGCTCCTAGCGCTTCCTGAGGGCTCCAAGCACTCCAGCCAACACTATAACCACCGTAGACTCCTCCAGAGAGCAAGGCAGGAACAAGCTCTTACAAGAGCTTAGAAGTGATTATAGCAAGGGAATATGCAGAGCATAGCAATCCCTTGTAGCAGATTCACCCAATAAGAGACGGCACTCCAAATTGAGGGTGAAGTATAACTCAAGCTTTTAATCAAACACTCTTCTTTTATGCCCATTTTACAAACATAGTACTGCCCACAGGGTTTTGAAGTACAACCAGTCAATATGTACAATACACTCAGACACTCCCACACAAAATCATCCCCTCTGCCTGTGATATAATTACTGAACACAATGGGCTAACTTAATTATCACAGGCAGGAAAATACACAGTTTTACACAATATTCATAACTCTAAAAGAATACATCACATTCACATAAAACTTAAATTTTCAGAATCAACATACTCCAAATACAAACATACGTCAAAATCATACAAATTGGTCCAGTGGGTCAAAAGTTAGTTGGAAGTCCCTTTGTGACCATCTGCAAGCATGGCTTGTGTGTGGTAAGCCAATTATCTCCAGCATACAGAAAATATCTCTATTCACAACAACAATAAAAACATATAAAAATACATCATTCCTATCATACTGAACAGAACCCCCACATTAATTCAGAACCCCCAGATGGCTTGGATCTGAACGCTCAATCTATCCAAACAGCGCCAAGATCCCACAAATCGCCATGGGGTTTAAGTCTAGCATCAAGTTCCAACTGGTCTGGCAGTGTATTTTTATATGTTTTTATTGTTGACAACGCCCTGCTGGAGAACAATAGACATGAAAAACGGGGGAGGGGCACACCTTCTCATGTATTCAAAGGGGCAGAAACCGTCTTTTAGAAGCCAATAAGCCCCAAATAGTCTTTTTAAATGGCAATACACCCCAGGGCCATAGTCATGAGGGAGGAGGCTGGCAATCAGGCTCCTCCAACAGCCAGGGCAGTCACGATACAAAGGGCAGTTGATCATATAAAAATCCAGTGATAAAAGGCATTTTGTCACACCCGTCTTCTTCCGTATCAACTTGTCTGTTCTCTCTACCTATTGTCTGTCATATGGGGGGGTGTTATGGATCTGTTTAACCCGTTCGTGCATTGTATGTTTGCCTCCAGTTTGCACACCCAGAGATAGAGTCCCCACTATGTGTCCGAGGCGTACCTCGCCCCCTGTACTTTAGGCGCCTGAAGGAGGAGTGAGATGCAGTGCTGGTACCATTGGTCGGATTGTCACTATCATAGTGTCAGCCATGGATTGAGATATCGAAAAGGCGGATGTACCCTATTAGGTAGGTTAGGTTAGTTCCGTCCAGAACAACTACATTAAGCTATTCTGTCCCTTTAAAGTTATCTGGATGCAAATTGTGAGCTTAGCAAACAATGTGCGAGGTAGTCTCATCTTACATGTGCAGATACGGGGTGGCATTTCCCATTACTTTTAACAGGAGAACAAGGATTGCCTAGGATACCCAAGATTTAGAGAAACATTTGAAATTATGCATTTTTTATTATTACTTATACAATATATAAAACAGGAAAACTAGCAGTGCAGTCCACCATGAATTATCTTCTAATTTATTCATTGCTCATGTGGTCTCCTTTTATCTTCATGTTTTTTGTCTGTTTTGTTTTCAGTTTGAAGTATCAAACAGAAGTTACATAAAATGCCCTAACAAGACGAAAGGTAAGATATCTGGAAACGCAACATTAACAGACTTTTATATCTTTAAGGACAACGTTCATCATATGTTCACTTATCTTCTTTTAAATGTAAGTTAGTTTGAGCAGGGATCTCAGCATCATCTGTTCCTTCCCATCTTGGTTTTTAGTCCACCTATTTTACAGCACTGTGGAATTTGTTGGTGCTTTACGTTTAAATAATAATAAAACAAAAGAGTACATTTTATGTTTTTTAAAGTGGATTTGTTGCTGGAAAAGAATAAATTTCCATTAAAGGAACATTCTAGGTATCACAACAACTAAACTGGGATGCTATGCATTGTACAGCATGTAAGTTGAGCTGACTTAAGACTCGACTTTAAAAATTCACATAAAAGCAAAAAAAAAACCAAAGTTAACTCAAAGTCACCTGTTTAAACATATTTACAACAGCTGCCCAACGAATCTGAAAGAGGAAGTGTCATGTTTGCGATAAGATCATTTTTTTTTTAATACTCTATAGGATGTAGGAAAACAAACGTGTGTGCCATATATCATATACTGGTTGATTACATCTCTCAAACTTCTTTGCATGCTAAAGACATAAAGAGAATTATGAGAGTAGCAATCCAACAAAACCTAGGGAGACAGAGTTTGAAAGCCTGGACCTAAGGGAACATTCAATGCACCATAACCACTACACCACGCTCCCAGTTTTAGTATTCAAACACTTTGAAAACAGCTTGACAGTTTATCTGGGGTCGATTTGACTGCTTTTTCTTCTGGATCCATTAGCTCCACTAAATTCAGCCTAATGACTAAGGAGTGTCAGCTGAGTACTCTGAGCCAATGGGCTATGTCCTACAGAGTCCTTTAACGGGTTTTACTACACTAACTGGAAGAGTACCAGGGCTGTCATGGTGCTTGGAAGGTTCCTTTTCATACAGTTTTCTAGGTTTATGGGCATAAGCTGCACCTAACATTTGAAGCCCACAAAAAGCTAATATGCATGTTTTCATTCAATACACCCAGTTCCAACAGGTTAAGAAAAATTAGTGTAGAAAAACAAAGGACCAGTTGGTAAAATACTGTCAGTGAAAAACTGAAAGAAAAAAATGCAAATATCCTGTTGATGGGCATTGTATGGAATCCATATATATATTACCTGGGTTCATCAGAACGTAAACATTATCACAAAGTATGGATATAATGTTTACATTTAATAACAATTCAATGGGAATTGCAGGCCGCTATTATAGCAGACACTCAAGGACTTTATGTCTATGCACAGAAATTTATATAGACCACTGATTCGTGGTTACAAATCTTCATTACAATCCATATTAAAATAAAACCAAATAAGGTATAGTCGTTTAACATGTTCGTAGGCTGTAGCAGTTTAACTCCGAGACCATTAGTATGCCGGCAGATGTTGAGAGTTCCGAGCCCTACTTAATTTCTTGTTTGTTCTGAGTGCTATTCAGCATCACTGAGCCATGTAGACTTGTACAATGTGGGATGGATTACATCATTAGTAGTTTGAAATGACATAGGAAGAGATACTGCCCCATAGCCTGAGTTTAATTGTAGAAACTCACACTCTTGATGACTGTCTAGCTTCTATATGGTTACCTTTGCCTTTTTTAACATGGTTAACCTCCGTCCCATCCTTTGTATATTCTTTCCCCGTTCTCCATACCTTGGTCAGTCAACATTCTCACTATATGTCCATTAACAGCTACTACTGCATGCTGAATTGAAAACTATTCTTATCTCAAACAAGTCAGTTACTCTTTTATACCCTATATATCTGGTATGATAACTGTTAGATGGCACATTCAAACAGAAACCTCGTGGACCAGTTAATTCCCACTATATTTTGGGTCTGTAATTGCAACAATTTAATCCTTGTGTGGCAGTTCCTCCTTTTCCTTGAGATTGTAATCTACACACAGCTGACCTCTTCCCACCATAACTCTTTCATTATGTGACACATTGTGATATGGGCCTTGCTGCAGAGTGCCACATTATCCGATTTTGCTTCATAAATCTGTTCTGCATGTGTCTCAATATTTTATAATAACACTTTTCAAATTAGTAAAATCAAACTAAAACAACATTTTCCAATTCATCTTAATAACGTGATTTGGGGGCATACATGGTGCCCCTTGCAGTCGTGCAAATTAAACAATACAGGATTTTGCTATTTCCATACCTACTAGTGACTGTCAAACAATCATTAGGGGGCTTCAAAAACAATAATTGTTTCTATTTGGCAACTGGTGCCTAACATTGTTAACATCTACTGCTTTTCTATCAACTTAAGTAAGAGCAAAGTGTTGACATTTATCTGCCTTTCCTGTTTACATGCTTTATCATGGACTAATTAGATTAAATTTTCCTGTTTCAGCTGTGTGGGGCTTTTATTTGCTCTACTTTTCCCATTTTGTGGTCCCTCTCAGTTTCTATCCCTCTTGGTCCATCTTACTCCATGTTATATCTGCACCCAGCCAGTCTCTATCCATCTCACTCCATGTTATATCTGCACCCAGCCAGTCTCTATCCATCTTACTCCATGTTATATCTGCACCCAGCCAGTCTCTATCCATCTCACTCCATGTTATATCTGCACCCAGCCAGTCTCTATCCATCTTACTCCATGTTATATCTGCACCCAGCCAGTCTCTATCCATCTTACTCCATGTTATATCTGCACCCAGCCAGTCTCTATCCATCTCACTCCATGTTATATCTGCACCCAGCCAGTCTCTATCCATCTTACTCCATGTTATATCTGCACCCAGCCAGTCTCTATCCATCTTACTCCATGTTATATCTGCACCCAGCCAGTCTCTATCCATCTCACTCCATGTTATATCTGCACCCAGCCAGTCTCTATCCATCTTACTCCATGTTATATCTACACCCAGCCAGTCTCTATCCATCTCACTCCATGTTATATCTACACCCAGCCAGTCTCTATCCATGTTATATCTACACCCAGCCAGTGTCTATCCATCTTACTCCATGTTATATCTACACCCAGCCAGTCTCTATCCATCTTACTCCATGTTATATCTACACCCTGCCAGTCTCTATCCATCTTACTCCATGTTATATCTACACCCTGCCAGTGTCTATCCATCTTACTCCATGTTATATCTACAACCAGCCAGTCTCTATCCATCTTACTCCATGCTATATCTACACCCAGCCAGTCTCTATCCATCTCACTCCATGTTATATCTGCACCCAGCCAGTCTCTATCCATCTTACTCCATGTTATATCTGCACCCAGCCAGTGTCTATCCATCTTACTCCATGTTATATCTACACCCTGCCAGTCTCTATCCATCTTACTCCATGTTATATCTACACCCAGCCAGTCTCTATCCATCTTACTCCATGTTATATCTACACCAGGCCAGTGTCTATCCATCTTACTCCATGTTATAACTGCACCCTGACAGTGTCTATCCATCTCACTCCATGTTATATCTACACCCAGCCTGTGTCTATCCATCTTACTCCATGTTATATCTGCACCCTGCCAGTGTCTATCCATCTTACTCCATGTTATATCTACACCCAGCCAGTCTCTATCCATCTTACTCCATGTTATATCTACACCCTGTCAGTCTCTATCCATCTTACTCCATGTTATATCTACACCCAGCCAGTCTCTATCCATCTTACTCCATGTTATATCTGCACCCAGCCAGTCTCTATCCATCTTACTCCATGTTATATCTACACCCAGCCAGTCTCTATCCATCTCACTCCGTGTTATATCTACACCCAGCCAGTCTCTATCCATCTCACTCCGTGTTATATCTACACCCAGCCAGTCTCTATCCATCTTACTCCATGTTATATCTACACCCTGCCAGTCTCTATCCATCTTACTCCATGCTATATCTACACCCTGCCAGTCTCTATCCATCTTACTCCATGTTATATCTGCACCCAGCCAGTCTCTATCCATCTCACTCCGTGTTATATCTACACCCAGCCAGTCTCTATCCATCTTACTCCATGTTATATCTACACCCTGCCAGTCTCTATCCATCTTACTCCATGTTATATCTACACCCTGCCAGTGTCTATCCATCTTACTCCATGTTATATCTACAACCAGCCAGTCTCTATCCATCTTACTCCATGCTATATCTACACCCAGCCAGTCTCTATCCATCTCACTCCATGTTATATCTGCACCCAGCCAGTCTCTATCCATCTTACTCCATGTTATATCTGCACCCAGCCAGTGTCTATCCATCTTACTCCATGTTATATCTGCACCCAGCCAGTCTCTATCCATCTTACTCCATGTTATATCTGCACCCAGCCAGTCTCTATCCATCTCACTCCATGTTATATCTGCACCCAGCCAGTCTCTATCCATCTTACTCCATGTTATATCTGCACCCAGCCAGTCTCTATCCATCTTACTCCATGTTATATCTGCACCCAGCCAGTCTCTATCCATCTCACTCCATGTTATATCTGCACCCAGCCAGTCTCTATCCATCTTACTCCATGTTATATCTACACCCAGCCAGTCTCTATCCATCTCACTCCATGTTATATCTACACCCAGCCAGTCTCTATCCATCTTACTCCATGTTATATCTACACCCAGCCAGTCTCTATCCATCTTACTCCATGTTATATCTACACCCAGCCAGTCTCTATCCATCTTACTCCATGTTATATCTACACCCAGCCAGTCTCTATCCATCTCACTCCATGTTATATCTACACCCAGCCAGTCTCTATCCATCTTACTCCATGTTATATCTGCATCCAGCCAGTCTCTATCCATCTTACTCCATGTTATATCTACACCCTGCCAGTCTCTATCCATCTTACTCCATGTTATATCTACACCCAGCCAGTGTCTATCCATCTTACTCCATGTTATATCTACACCCAGCCAGTGTCTATCCATCTTACTCCATGTTATATCTACAACCAGCCAGTCTCTATCCATCTCACTCCATGTTATATCTGCACCCAACCAGTCTCTATCCATCTTACTCCATGTTATATCTGCACCCAGCCTGTCTCTATCCATCTTACTCCATGTTATATCTACACCCTGCCAGTCTCTATCCATCTTACTCCATGTTATATCTACACCCAGCCAGTCTCTAACCATCTTACTCCATGTTATATCTACACCCAGCCAGTGTCTATCCATCTTACTCCATGTTATATCTGCACCCTGCCAGTGTCTATCCATCTCACTCCATGTTATATCTACACCCAGCCAGTCTCTATCCATCTTACTCCATGTTATAGCTGCACCCCTGCCAGTGTCTATCCATCTTTTACTTCCATGCTTGCTATACCCACACCCAGCCAGTGTCTATCCATCTTACTCCATGTTGGCATCTGCACCCAGCTAGTCTCTATCCATCTCTTACCTATGTTATATCTGCACCCAGCTAAGTCTTCTATCCATCTTACTCCATGTTATATCTGCACTCCAGCCGCCCTATCCATCTCTACCTATGTTATATCTGCACCTGCCAGTCTCTATCCATCTTACTCCATGTTATATATCTACACCCAGCCAGTTCTCAGCCCATCTCACTCATGTTATATCTACACCCAGCCAGTCTCTATCCATCTCACTCCGTTATATATCTACACCCAGCCAGTCTCTATCCATCTTACTCCATGTTATATCTGCATCCAGCCAGTCTCTATCCATCTTACTCCATGTTATATCTACACCCTGCCAGTCTCTATCCATCTTACTCCATGTTATATCTACACCCAGCCAGTGTCTATCCATCTTACTCCATGTTATATCTACACCCAGCCAGTGTCTATCCATCTTACTCCATGTTATATCTACACCCAGCCAGTCTCTATCCATCTTACTCCATGTTATATCTACACCCTGCCAGTCTCTATCCATCTTACTCCATGTTATATCTACACCCTGCCAGTGTCTATCCATCTTACTCCATGTTATATCTACAACCAGCCAGTCTCTATCCATCTTACTCCATGCTATATCTACACCCAGCCAGTCTCTATCCATCTCACTCCATGTTATATCTGCACCCAGCCAGTCTCTATCCATCTTACTCCATGTTATATCTGCACCCAGCCAGTGTCTATCCATCTTACTCCATGTTATATCTACACCCTGCCAGTCTCTATCCATCTTACTCCATGTTATATCTACACCCAGCCAGTCTCTATCCATCTTACTCCATGTTATATCTACACCAGGCCAGTGTCTATCCATCTTACTCCATGTTATAACTGCACCCTGACAGTGTCTATCCATCTCACTCCATGTTATATCTACACCCAGCCTGTGTCTATCCATCTTACTCCATGTTATATCTGCACCCTGCCAGTGTCTATCCATCTTACTCCATGTTATATCTACACCCAGCCAGTGTCTATCCATCTTACTCCATGTTATATCTGCACCCTGCCAGTCTCTATCCATTTCACTCCATGTTATATCTGCACCCAGCCAGTCTCTATCCATCTTACTCCATGTTATATCTGCACCCAGCCAGTGTCTATCCATCTTACTCCATGTTATATCTACACCCTGCCAGTCTCTATCCATCTTACTCCATGTTATATCTACACCCAGCCAGTCTCTATCCATCTTACTCCATGTTATATCTACACCCAGCCAGTCTCTACCCATCTTACTCCATGTTATATCTACACCCAGCCAGTCTCTATCCGTCTTACTCCATGTTATATCTACACCCTGCCAGTCTCTATCCGTCTTACTCCATGTTATATCTGCACCCAGCCAGTCTCTATCCATCTTACTCCATGTTATATCTACACCCAGCCAGTGTCTATCCATCTTACTCCATGTTATATCTACACCCAGCCAGTGTCTATCCATCTTACTCCATGTTATATCTGCACCCTGCCAGTCTCTATCCATCTTACTCCATGTTATATCTACACCCAGCCAGTCTCTATCCATCTTACTCCATGTTATATCTACACCCAGCCAGTGTCTATCCATCTTACTCCATGTTATATCTACACCCTGCCAGTCTCTATCCATCTTACTCCATGTATCTACACCCAGCCAGTCTCTAACCATCTTACTCCATGTTATATCTACACACCCAGCCAGTCTCTATCATCTTACTCCATGTTATATCTACACCCACCATCGGTCTATCCATCTTACTCCATGTTATATCTACGCGAGTCTCTATCCATGGTACTCCATGTTATATCTACACCCTGTCAGTCTCTATCATCTTACTCCATGTTATATCTACCAGCCAGTCTCTATCCATCTTACTCCATGTTATATCTACACCCTGTCTCTATCCATCTTACTCCATGTTATATCTACACCCAGCCAGTCTCTATCCATCTTACTCCATGTTATATCTACACCCAGCCAGTCTATCCATCTTACTCCATGTTATATCTACACCCAGCCAGTCTCTATCCATCTTACTCCATGTTATATCTGCACCCAGCCAGTCTCTATCCATCTTACTCCATGTTATATCTACACCCAGCCAGTCTCTATCCATCTTACTCCATGTTATATCTACACCCTGCCAGTCTCTATCCATCTTACTCCATGTTATATCTACACCCTGCCAGTCTCTATCCATCTTACTCCATGTTATATCTACACCCAGCCAGTCTCCTATCCATCTCACTCCATGTTATATCTGCACCCAGCCAGTCTCTATCCATCTTACTCCATGTTATATCTGCACCCAGCCAGTGTCTATCCATCTTACTCCATGTTATATCTGCACCCAGCCAGTCTCTATCCATCTTACTCCATGTTATATCTACACCCAGCCAGTCTCTATCCATCTCACTCCATGTTATATCTACACCCAGCCAGTCTCTATCCATCTTACTCCATGTTATATCTGCACCCAGCCAGTCTCTATCCATCTTACTCCATGTTATATCTACACCCTGCCAGTCTCTATCCATCTTACTCCATGTTATATCTACACCCTGCCAGTCTCTATCCATCTTACTCCATGTTATATCTACACCCAGCCAGTCTCTATCCATCTTACTCCATGTTATATCTACACCCAGCCAGTGTCTATCCATCTTACTCCATGTTATATCTACACCCAGCCAGTCTCTATCCATCTTACTCCATGTTATATCTACATCCAGCCAGTGTCTATCCATCTTACTCCATGTTATATCTACACCCAGCCAGTCTCTATCCATCTTACTCCATGTTATATCTACACCCAGCCAGTGTCTATCCATCTTACTCCATGTTATATCTACACCCAGCCAGTCTCTATCCATCTTACTCCATGTTATATCTACACCCAGCCAGTCTCTATCCATCTTACTCCATGTTATATCTACACCCAGCCAGTGTCTATCCATCTTACTCCATGTTATATCTACACCCTGCCAGTCTCTATCCATCTTACTCCATGGTAAATCTGCACCCTGCCAGTCTCTATCCACGTGTACCTGGCCGGGCAGCACTTGTTCAGGTATTGCTCATGGTGGGCGGGTTTGCAGCGCTGTAGCCCGTGACGTCACGCCCCTATAGCCCAGGCTTGCCTATGCGCTCCAGCGCCCCCCAGCGGCCGGTGTGAGGAGCACACCCTCAGTGAGCAGGTCGGCCGCTGGCTGAGCCCCGCAGGAGGAGCCGGTCCCAGTACGGTCTGACAGAGCTGGGCTCCGGTCTGTGGGCTCCCATGGAAGCTGATGAGGGCGGGTCTCGGGAGGAGATGGAGGGGAGCTCCGCAGGTGGGGACCGGTCACGGCTCTGGGACCATGGCGGCCATGAAGACGGATTCTGGTCTTCAGACTCCGAGAGAGACTCCAAGGAGGAGAGAGAGGCCGAGGAGCTGTGGGCCTCCTTCTGCCAGGACCCCTACCACCCGCTGGCCTTCTCCATGCCGACAGAGAGGAGCAGAGCGCCCCCCCTGCTCGCACATGGACTCTCCCAGGGCCACAGGAAACAACAGGAGACAGGCAAAACCAACAGGCATGGACTGCGGCCCCGGGGGGGGGAGGACCCTGAGATGGAGAGCGGTGAGGAGGAGCACGTGGCCGGCCAGGCCAGGAGAGTCTGCTTCTCCCCAGTTATCCGCGTGCGCCGCATGGTCACCTGGAGTTATGCTCACAAAATGGCGCGCAAAGGCGTCTGGGAGGAGTTCACCCGGGATCACAGCCGCTTCCGGAAACGAATTTGCGAGACCGAGGCTGCGATTGGCCGCTGCCTGGACCCCCAGCACAGGCAGAGAGTGTGGGACGGCCTCTATGGGAAACACGTGGAGTCAGCGTGTGACCATGAGTGGGTGTCAGACACTGGGAGTGAGAGCCAATAATACTACTGCCAGCCAGACTGCCGAATTGAAGCAATATACTGTATACATTTTTATTATTATTATTATTATTATTACTGTTATATTTATAGAGCGCCGTCACATTCCGCAGCGCTTTACAATGGGTGGATGAATTGTAACCAGACAAGTTGGATGCACAGGAACAGAGGGGTTGAGGGCCCTGCTCAATGAGCTTACATGCTAGAGGGAGTGGGGTAAAATGACACAAAAAGGTAAGGATAGTATTAGACTAATGACAGATGCTCGCCTTCAAGATTTCTCGAGGGCTGCACCGTTCCTGTGGGACTCTCTTCCCTCCTCCGTTAGATGCTCACCCAGTCTCCACTCCTTCAAAAAATCGTTAAAAAACCCACTTCTTCATAAAAGCGTATCAATTAAACTGTTAATAACTCCTGACTGATTCCTCTTCTGCAACTGTCACTAGTCTAATTCTATCCTTACCATATTATTATTCATTAAATCAATACATGGGCTGTATATATGCCAATTACATTTATTGGTTCTTTAAATAGGCTTGGTCTCCTCAAAGTATATGATGACTTGATTCTCCAGCCATACCTGTACATCTTGGGTCAGACAGTGTTTGAAAACCGACAATTAGTCTCTATGGGAGTGAAGTTGGGAAGACCATAGAGACTAACTGTTGGTTTACAAACACTGCCTAACCCAAAGTGCATGTATATGGCTTAATAATCTTGATTTATACTGAAGGAAGTGTTGAGGTTTTCTAATTATTTTTTTGCGTATAGTTAATTGAAGAATATCTGTTTTCTTTGAAAATTGAAATTCTTTTTATATATTGAAAAATAGTTGATGACATTTGTCCTTCAGGCTCCACCTTTTGTCGTGGTTTTCAAGCGTAGGAAAAATACATACGGCAAAGTAGTCCCTACTTTGTCATATGTTATAAAGAGAAATAGATCAGAATAGAAGAACCGATAATGGAAGAGAAGAGGAAACAATAGGAGAAATGTACTTTTAAGGTGACAAAGCCATTTTAATTTTGTTTCTATTATTTAGTAATGGCATTTGTTACAGGTCAGTGGCATTTCCTGTTGTTGACATGTCTCACGGTAAATATGTTTCTTTAAGAAATGTCATTTATTTGCTAAATAGCATTTAATATTCTGAGTAATACCCAGGCATGACATTTCTGTTGTTTATGTGCAGGCAACTATTTAAGGGTTAGTCACTAAGCAGTGTGTTGACAGCCCACTTGTAGGTTTTAGAAAACAAATTGCAAATAAGTTTCATTTTCTAACACAGCTATTTTATAGCTCATTTATAGTCAACTCTGTGTTGTTTCTCCCAACTGTACACGTCTTTTATAGGTTACAGAATTTTTTTAAAACAAACACTAGCAGTCTGCAACTTGAAATGCTTTGCGATCCTATAAAACGGACTTCTAACAAAGCTGTACATTCATTTACTTTTACTCATGAACGGAACAAAACAAATGTCACTTAGAACTACTATTTTACAATATAAAAGACATAGTAATGTTGCATATAGTAACTATGATACATGTGTATCTTACTCTAAAGAAATAAAAGTATATGCATATACAGTAAATCTGTCAAGAAAAACTGTATGGCTATGCTAAGATATTCTGCTTGTTGACAGTCGTTATATTAAATCACTAAGGATTTGTATAAAAAATAACACAAAATCATGACAGCTGATTACTAAGAAAATTGAACTAATAGGATCAGAGAACATGCACATTTAAGCATACATAAATAAAATGATATCTTTATAGTTCAAATTTACAAAGTAGCTTAGAAAAACAAACCAGTTTAATTGACTTTAAACAATAGCACTAAAATTACTTCCTACATATTTTTAAAAACAAACGGTTTTGTCTGATTATTTTATACACACATTTTACGACAGCTATATGTATAGTTTCAGTTGTTTAATGTGCATTGTATGTTATTAAAATTAAACTTAAACTAAAATAATATTTTTTGGACTTAATTTGCGGATCCAGTCCTGATGATATAATGAGAATTCTATCTCGTTATACCACCAGCATGTGACAAGTCTCTTGTGACTCCAAAGTAACAATGACTGACTGTGCCAGCAGTTATGCTAGACCTTTACTGGCTAGGCAATCCAGGAAAAGGGAAGCAGACACGTTGTATGATTTCTTTTGTTTCTATTGGACACTAATTTTGTGGATGACACTTTTTAATTTTTTAAAACTGTCTGGTTGAAAGTGACAGTGGTTTGCTTGTGAGTGAGATTTGTATAAGGCATTGCATTCCCTGTATACACTAATTGATGGATAGTTTTTTGTTGGAGCCAAAATCCTCCCCTTCCTGACTGTCCATCTTTGTAGCAGCTCAGATGGTGTGGTACGTATGTTTGGTATCACAGAGCACCATGGCAATAAAACCCACAGTAAAACGTGGTGTGATTACAATAAAACTTATGGTTATGGTGAAATGTGCTTAAACCGCAATCATTTAGTGCAAACAATAACCTTTATTCCAGTATTAAATAAGAAATGTAATTACACAAATGACCTACAACTTACATGAAAGTATTTGGTTCCTATAAACTGAATTTTACTTTCTTTTTTAATTACAGATCGAGTGTGGGATGTACATGTGGAAAGGCAACTTTTTAACACACTCATCACTGTCTACACTCCAGTACCAATGACATTTGATGTAGTAATATGCAAGCCAAATAATACCAACAAACAATGTGATCCACATTCATCTGTATATCATGTAAGTCATTGCATTAGAGGATTTGTGTCCTGAGCAGTCAACAAATTCTAATAGTTTTTTAAAGGACTATAAATGATTACTGAATCACTTGTCAAATACTTTCACTCCCTTTCTTCTTTTTTTTTTACTTTTCTTTTTTCCCCCCTTTCGTTTCCATTCCTTTTGCCGCTATTATTACTTGGCTGCCTCTTATATCCAGCAGCATTCCCCAACCATAATGCCCTGCTTTACTTTTTTACCATATAAGACAAGGGAGGGTAGTTCAATTATTCGTATAAGACAATGTATGATACGCATGCACACAGTATCATGAGTCTTTTGAAACATTCCTTTGGTTAGAACAGGGGTTCCCAATGAATTTTTCCCGTACAACCCTTTGATACATTATACCAACATCGAGGAACCCCTGGGGAAAAAAATTGCGCCGTACCACAACCCTTTTAATAAGTGGCTTTTTTATTATCATTTTAAAATATTTTGCTCATAAACTGTTTAGTCTTACGATACTCCTGAAGCTTTCTCTTTAAAAAGGCAATGTCTTTATCTTTGTACTCTGTGTGGTTCTACTCAAAATGACAATGTATTTTAGCAGATGTTAACGAACTGTTTGGAAATATTTTCTTGCAAAGTAAGCGTTGTGCCTGAGGAATATTTTTATTTCTGGCACCTGTGAATCCAAATGATAAGTATCTTTCATTATATTTTCTTTTCTTTGTTTGAGAAGAAGATTGGGTAGCATTGTGTGCTTTTCTTTTTTAACTTTGACTTGTCACTTGTCTCTGCTATTTGAGAAACAGTAGATTCAACATATTGGGACCTATTTTCTCGATTTCTTGTTGTATCTTTTTTCTCAGTTTCTATAAGTGACGAACAGTTAGAAGTAGTAATAATGTTTCTCTTGATAGTTCCTTGTTTTAACCAGATATCTAAATTCATGGTGGTTGGTTGGTAAAATGAAAAAAAATCATATTTCCCTACCTGACTGCTATGGATGCTATTTGTTATAGAGCTCTTACAAAGAACTTAATGTGAGCAGGAGTTTGAGTCAGTCTTGGAGCAAAAAGATTAGCACACTTTAAACCAGGTCTCACTACCTGACTGCAAAGGATGTTTTATAAAGCATGTAGAACTTAACCATAAGAAGGACTTTGAGTCAGTCTTGGAGTGTAAAAAACACTTTAGTACAGATTTCACTACCTGACTGCAAAGTATGCTGTTTTAACAGATAGTAAGCAGAAAAAAATATATGTAAATAAGTTTAACCAACAAAAATATGAGAAGTCCAACCCAAGTAACTTGTTTTCAGCTGCAGACTTTTAACACAATCTCTACAAAAAGTTAAAATAAATAAACCTATCCCCATATGCCTCAGTGGGCACTACTCTAAAGGCAGTTATCTATAAAGGCAGTAAAATAAATCCTTTCTGCTGTGGCCAATAATGTGAGCTGAGCATCTGTCTGAATGCTTCCACTCTCTTTCACTGAGTGGATATGAAATGGCTGACGGAGGGCGGGCTGACAGCAGGCATGCATAATCGCACAGTCTAGCGACCTCTTAATAAGATCGCGGTCCCGTGATCTCTGCTGTTTCCGACCTTCCGGGAACAGCAGGAAGCAGCGGCCATCTTGGATGTGGCAGTTCTCAGCGGAACCCCAATTTTGTTCTTGCAGGACCCTAGGGTTCCATGAAACACCAATTGGTAAACGCTGGTTTAGAGCAATTCAAAAAAAATGGGTGAAGTTCAGCTTACATTAAAGAATAATGAAACAAAGAACAACAGGGGTGAGGATACGAAACTAACTAATTGATATGTAGGCAGATCAGGGGCAGAGCCAGCACAAGTCAAACACAGACCTGGCCAATCAGCATCTCCTCAGAGATGTATTGAATGAATCTCTATGAGGAAAGTTCAGTGTCTGCATGCAGAGGGAGGAGACACTGAATGTTTGGATGCATTTTAGGCAGCCATGACCCAGGAAGGATCTCTTAACAGCCATCTGAGGAGTGGCCACTGAAGTTATCACTGTAATGTAATCACTGCATTTTCTCTGAAAAGACAGTGCTTACAGCACAAAGCCTGAAGGTAATGATTCTACTCACCAGAATAAATTCAATAAGCTGTAGTTGTTCTGGTGACTATAGTGTCCCTTTAAGTAAATAAATACAATTAATCAAATTATACATTTATGTGTGACAGACAGATGATTGATATGACATGCAAACTTGGCAGTGGACAGATCAATGTTGTGCTGTAGTCCATGCCCCTCTGGAAGATCAGTCTGCAGGTGCAGAGGGCACCACCTATCGCTATTCTATCAGCATGAATAAAAAGCTGAAGCTACCACAAAGTCAGATCATTAGGGACTAGCTATATATGGAGCAAATGCTGCTCTTTATACCCCACCTCATTGAAAACTTCCTTTGGGAAAAATAATTCTGAGATACATACACACCAATCAGTACATTATTTTATTTCTTACAGGGGAACGCAACCAAGGGAGGCCAGATGTACATTACTATTCCCAAGCTAAGTTTTGGCAACTGCGTGCAGGTAACATATTTCAGATTTCACAGCTCTATTAAATAATTTTGTGCTATATAAATTACTTATATTATTTATCTTAGGATTACTCAGTAATGTGAATTCTCAGGAATTTGAACTGTTACTCCAAGCACCATGACCACTTCCTCAGCCAGCCCGGAAGTAGAGTTCTAGGATGAATAATAGCAATTCTGTGTAACTTTTGTTACTTTTGCCTTAGCTTCTGCATCACCGCAGAAGCTGGGAGCACGTCTGGACCACCAGGGTGCATCGGCTCCTGGTAGAGAACCAGGTAGGTGGGAAAACCATTGCTAAATGCTTTTCCCCATCACAGAGCATCTGGGTCAGCGGTCTTTAGTGGTTATGATGTTTGGGGTAACCCTTTAAAGTGAATTTAACATTTTAAGCCAGAATGCTCATTTGGAGATTTTGACTTCAATTTTGAAATTCACTTTGAGTTCTGAACAGTTCACACTTAAGTAAATAATCATGTCAATAATGCAGCAAGGCCAAAATCTGTATGTTGCTTCATGTGGCAAATGTGTACTTAAGTTGATCTGTACTAAAGTGGAATGGGAGGAGACAAATGAGGAACTTGTATGTAAATAACTGTCATCATAGCATAGTTGTTTTGGTTCTTTTTACTACAAGCAGAAACTTCACCACAGTTAAGACGTATAATGCTACTCATAAAAGGTTTGTTGTAAGTCATTAGCACTTTAAGTGCACTTTATATACAATAAGCAAATTTAAAAAAAACAGCTAGTTGCAGAGGTTTGCCTATTCACGAGAGGGGCGCACTAATCATCATTACCACTGCAGCCCAATGTAGTGGATATGGCGCTATAAGTTTATGACTGCTGTTCCCTGTTTATTTTCTTTGTTAAACCATTTTGAAGTGGGTTGACAATAATGAGAATCTCCCCAGCACCCACAGACTGTCTGTCTGTTGTCTTAAACATCTGCATCACAAGTATGAGTCCATCCAACCTGAACACCAATGAACAATGGATGCCATCTGCAGACTGATAGTAACATACCCAGTAAATTCAGCAGTTACACAGCAGTTATAGTGCTTTGCGTGTGTTGTCAACTTTGCAATTCATGGTTCTGTTTCCTACCACGTCTGATTTAATTGTTAAATGACGCAGAGATCCGTACACTATTTTGTAAGTTAGAAAAAAAGGAATAATCATTTTTAAAAAACAACAATAAACAGAAATAATGTTTATATGTTGCCATTATAGGTAAAAATATGAACTTTTCCCCCCAGAAAATTCTATACATTAACAGCCAGATATATAATTCTGCTCTGATATCTCCATTAATGCCTGTTTCATGATATTTCAGGTGTGGCGTTCTGATGTCCAGTTTTCACACAAATATCTGTTTTGCCCAGACTGTAAGTGTTTCTCACTGTCCTTGTATTAGTGTTATTATATTTTAATATTGACATGATTTATAATTTGGAGGGGGGGAGGGCATTTTCTATTTACCTTTGTGAGGATTTATGAAAACCCTCCCCTTAACTGATTGAATGTAATCATATAGATTAGAGATACAGAAAATAAGGATATATAGATATATGGGAGGGGGGGATGGTGCAAATGAGTAAATGAAAAAGATCCCCCACCTGATATCATCTGCGGTAAAGATAGCCATTATACCCCCAGCTGCTGTAGACTTCAAATCCCATTATTCTTTGATAAGAGTTGTAGCATGTGTTTCCCATAGTGTGTGCCTGGCCAGGTACCAGTTTTGATTGATTGGTTGAAGAAGGAAGTGGTATAAACAAAACACTGGTTTGCCTAGTAAAAAGTGGGCCATATATTTGTAATGTATTATATCAATATTGTAATGAATAAATATCGGCAAGACAAATGAAAAAAAGCTGAAAGAAATTACTCACTGCAGGCACACCCTTCCAACATTAAGGAGTGTCTAGTTTAGTTTTTTTGGTGACATTTTTTGAGCAAAGGATTATGAGATAAGTAGTTAAGTAGTAAAGATAAGTATCCTCAAAGTGCACTTTCAGTTATCAGGAAGGATGACTGGAATTGCTCAGTAAACTGATAACAGCTGTGCTGAGGCTGATAGCACTTTATTAAGATGCCAGTATCAACTGAGATGCAGACTGTGGTGTGTGCATGCTGCATGCACAATGAGAATGAAAGTGACACTGGCAAGTGAGCTGGCAGTCTGAGCAGTCTTATAACGGCAGTGATTTTTACAAATAATGGTTGCTATAGCCCTCTTTCAGAAAAGGAGTGGGTTCCGGGTGCTTTAAACATCATACACTTTGCAATGATGCAGCGTGCTGATAATACGTAGGCTGACCTTTTAATTCCAATATTCCTAGACCATTTAACCCTCCTTACAATGTTAACCTCATAGAATTCATCTTGTCAGCGGCTGTGTTCAGTTTACACCAGAAGAAAGTGGGCAGCTGTCTTCTAAAATATGGATTGTAACAAGTGCGGTTAGAACTACAATATACCCTTCTGCAATGCCTTCCATGGATGATTCAGTGCGAGATAATAGCGAGATCATCCTTTCCTCTTCCTGTTAGCTGCATTATTAGTGAATGCATGTGGATATAACCTCATACATGTCTCCATTTACTTCTACACTTTATACCATGTAAGAGGAGGGGGAATTTGGTCTGTGCTTACTCATTCTATACCATTGCATGCCTCATTCTATGCAGGTCAGGGGCCACATATGGCAATGAGGAGCCTGATGATTAGTATGGACTCATAAATGTATTTCTGTTAAGGCCAAATACTGGGATGGGTGTATTCAGCTTTCAGTAACATTTGAGTTTGTCCTGGGATCTGGATGTTATTATTACCTAACTCAGTGGTTGTCATTTTATGAATCGCAGAAAAATGGAAAAGGGGAAATTGCCAGAAATCAAATTTTCTATAACACAGCTGGAGTACTTACCCCTGAGTGAATCACTTCTCTGATGCTAGGCCCACATTATTACAAACCAGTTTATACATACATGGTGTATTACATGCCTATAGCTTTATTTCTATGTATTTGTTTCTTGCAGTTTCCCACAAACATCTGGGCCTGGTGTCTATTGGCGCGATGCTGGCGATTTCCATATTGATCGTACTTCTATTCCTGGCCTACCAAAGGATCTGGAAAATATTTACAGGTGAGAAAAAATATCTAGTGATTCTATCACACTCATCTTCACCTCGTGCAAGCTGGTTACTAAAAACAAACCTAGATAGATATTTCCAAAAGGTAACAAGGTGTGAGCCATTTACTGCAGGGTGGCGATGTCACCTGTCATTTGAAATACTTTATTGCAGACATTCCCTGTGCAGGTATTTGATTTATGTCACTCAATTTTTTGCAGATGTCTCCAAACAACATTGTTGTTGATAGCAAGTTCCCCGTCTGCCTGGGGCATGGATTTATAGCTCTGCAACAGCCACAGTTAATAATCATAAACAGATTTTCAAAGAATCTTTGCATTCAGATAACAAAACAGTATTATCCTTGTTGTATTGCAATGACATATGCATAGCTTAGGACCATTAAATTGACTGTTCCTGCAGCAATCAGTGATTGAGAATGGATGGATATCTCTATATGTGATTCTTGTAAAGATCTCCATCTAGTGGTCTGCAATAGAAGCAATGCTGAGACTAATTTGTTCAAATTTTATCCACTCACTTTGACAAAGACACTCTGGAGTCAAAGCATTGCCAGTTCACTTGTATAATAACTGAATAACACTCTGCACACACAGCGCATAGAGTTATGAGCTGCTAATTCTTAACGCTTTCCCATTTTCCAGTTATAGTAGCAATTGCACGTGTCAATTTGACAATAAAAAGCACAAACTCTGCCTATTTCATAGTGAATCAAGCACCTCCCTTTATCCAGTATGGGTACAATTAGACTGCACCTCCGGGGGCAACCACATTGACAAACATGCAAATATCCCAGCTTCAAAAGCAGCACAATTGCAACAAACTTAAAATACAATAAATAAACATAGTTGTTTACTATAGTGAGACTTCAAAGTGAATTGCAAATTCAAGGCCAAAGTAGACAAACAAAGTATAGATGGCTAAGAAAATGTTTCCGGGTCGAAAAATTCTGCAAATAATTTAGTGACATAAATCAAATACCTACGTAGGGAATGTCTTCAATAAAGCATTAAAAATGACAGGTGACATTGTGATCCTGCAATACATGGCTCACACCTTGTTACCTTTTGGAAAAATATAATACTTATATTTGTTTTATTTTGACCCCAGATTTGTAATTCTCTCTGCATTCACTTGAACTCTCACCTTAGTGAATAACCCTGAAAGGTATCTCCTCCACCCAAACAATGATTCTTATATTTAAAAAGTACAATAAAAGTTGGTGTAAGAAAAATTGCATAAATTTGTTGTTATTGATTGGTAACCTGTCTGTGTGTATTCATGATGGTACATCTTGATACATTGATTTTGAGTTGCAATTATAATCATTATTTGTATAACTTCCCCATTTGTGGAAAAGGGGGGCAGTATCAATCTTGTAGAAGAGTGCGTTTGAATTAAAGGTAGGCAAAAGCTGTACGAGTGAAGATGTGTTGGTTGATTAGAGATTGACTGAGATTTACAGAAAGCAAACACTGTAGCATCCTCTATTTGCAGTACCCCTTGCAGTTACATAGGATTAACTCCATAAAAAGGTGGCCATGCATAGTACAAAAGGATAAATCATGTCATTGTGATTATAAACATCTGTAGCTACGATTGATTATTCTATCAATACTGAAACGGTTTACGCTGGTTAATAGATACGAAAAAAAAAATGAATACTAACTAATTTGAAGGATACATTTACAGAGTTATTTACTAAGGTAAGAATTTAAAGTGAAAGACCGGAGTAACTGAATAGAAAGCAAAACTGACTTAGAGATTTTTTCCAGTTTGCCTGTTTTAACCTTAAATTTGAAATTCGATTTAAATTCTCAATTTACTCAAAAACCCTGTGTGTTTTACTTGCTTAAAAGTATCTCATGGAGAATACATGCGGTTTCATAATCATGTCTTACTGCTTATAAAAACAATATGTATATAGTGTGCGCATAAAGTGTAATGTAAACATTTCAAACAATGAAATACTATCATGGTAGGTTCTTATAATATAGTATTATATTCAGTATAATTATATTGTTTGTTAGCACCTTGGATATACTTGAAAACAAGGCCGATTTGAATGTTTTCTTGGCAAAACATTTTTAAAATCAAATCAGGTTAAAACATTTTTTATTGTATTAAGTCAGAATCGGAAAACTGAGGTAAAAATGATCTTAGCTGAAATAATTCTCCAATACAGCCATAGCCACAACTTTAGTGAATCATCCTCACAGATTGAAGAGCAATAAATGGGCTCTGAAATCCATCTAATTTGGTTTATTGTTTTATTTCCAGAATCTATTTTATATTATTTACTTAAATAACTTCAATGTTTTCCATTTCTTCTCTCCTTATAGCTCCACTTTGGAGAAGAACCGTGCTACTGGTGTATTCTCCAGATTCTCCCGAGTACAAAATTCTAATTTGTGCCTTTGCCGATTTCCTGCAAAGTGTCCTTGGCTGCGAAGTCATCTTGGACCTGTGGGACATGAATACAGTCAGTCAAATTGGAATGGTGCCATGGTTTTATCAAAAAAGGAAACTGGTGAGCCAAAGGAAAGGGAGTGTCATCCTTGTTTGGACGAAAAGAAGCAAGTCTATGTATGAACAATGGAGAAACAGAGGTTTTGCAGCCTATGGGTGGACAGATCCAACAAACCTGTTTGGTGCAGCTATGGCGTGCCTGCAGCATGACTTGGAGAAAGAGGAGAAGAAGGAAATTCTAAATAATTACAATGTGGTTTACTTTGAAGGACTTTGCGAAAAACAGGATATTCCCATTAATTTAAAGAAGCTCTCCAGGTTTCGCCTATTGAAGGACTTTTACAGGCTGGTTAGCAAATTGCAGGACATCACCTGCCTGTCACCACATTGTCTGATAAAGGCAGTGGCCAAGTACTTAATGAAGAAGGTAATAAGCTCAGAGAACACCATGAAACTCAAGAAACACGTGGAACTTTGCAGGCAGAAACTTCACGAAGGAGTTGGTTAATAGGGAACACACTTTTTACTAGATTTGTTGTACACAGTAATAGAGTATTACATGGCTGGGCTCCTGTAACATATACTGTCTACATGTTTAGAGTGCCACAAGAGAGGAGTCCATGTCCAAGTCCGTTCCAGTTCTACACATGCCTACCTACAAAGTCATTAATATAATTTCTTTGATTTCAGGGATGACAGAGAAATCTCCTGGGATGTAGTCCACCACTTTAGCTCTGCTTCAAACAGCCTATTCACACTGTCCTCCTAGGTTACATATTATGCCGATACTTGGGCACGTGGTGCATTCTCCTCCAGCATTTTGGAAAATCCTGCTGCTGAATTTTTATTTTATAAAACTAGTACACAGGGATATTTTATCATCAGAAGAGGAAAAACTGCAGTGGGATGTAGTCCACCACTTTAGCTCTGCTCCAAACAGCCTATCCACACTGTCCTCCTAGGTTACATATTATGCCGATACTTGGGCACGTGGTGCGTTCTCCTCCAGCATTTTGGAAAATCCTGCTGCTGAATTTTTATTTTATAAAACTAGTACACAGGGATATTTTATCATCAGAAGAGGAAAAACTGCAGTGGGATGTAGTCCACCACTTTAGCTCTGCTCCAAACAGCCTATCCACACTGTCCTCCTAGGTTACATATTATGCCGATACTTGGGCACGTGGTGCGTTCTCCTCCAGCATTTTGGAAAATCCTGCTGCTGAATTTTTATTTTATAAAACTAGTACACAGGGATATTTTATCATCAGAAGAGGAAAAACTGCAGTGGGATGTAGTCCACCACTTTAGCTCTGCTCCAAACAGCCTATCCACACTGTCCTTCTAGGTTACATATTATGCCGATACTTGGGCACGTGGTGCGTTCTCCTCCAGCATTTTGGAAAATCCTGCTGCTGAATTTTTATTTTATAAAACTAGTACACAGGGATATTTTATCATCAGAAGAGGAAAAACTGCAGTGGGATGTAGTCCACCACTTTAGCTCTGCTCCAAACAGCCTATCCACACTGTCCTTCTAGGTTACATATTATGCCGATACTTGGGCATGTGGTGCGTTCTCCTCCAGCATTTTGGAAAATCCTGCTGCTGAATTTTTATTTTATAAAACTAGTACACAGGGATATTTTATCATCAGAAGAGGAAAAACTGCAGTGGGGCGCTTTCCCTCCGTTTTACTGTTGTCATGCAGTTTGGTTTATCCAGTCGAAAGTTTGTGTTGTTGGTTTTGAGTTTAAATTATGTGGGATATGGAGTGTTGGTATGAAGAATATTTAGACATTTTAGCGTTGAATTGGAAATGAATCATGTGCTAGCCACAGATAATGAAAGGTTTAACTTCAGAGTCAATTGATATAGTCAAATGGTTAAGAAGATTTAGGAATTTCAGATATTGGATATATTTGGAAACAATATATTGCCCAAGAAATATGAAGGTTTGACTCTGTGTTTTCATTGTGCTTTTGTTGCAACACAGTTTAACTTCGGTTCTCTTTTTTTATTTTTCATAACAAGATCATTGTGTTACATCTTAATTTAAATAAATGATGCACAGTAAGTTATGAGCAACTTCTCTTTTCATTAAACAATGTATTCTGTTGCATAAAGCATAAAGAGGGAAAATGGCAACATACGTATGAATAAGGCAGACAATGGTGTTGCCAGTCTATGGTAAACCCACCTGTAAAACTTTCACAATATAAAGAGTGTGTCATTGAGTGCAAATGAATTAAAGCTCCATAAATGGAAAATAGGGAGGGAAGAAACTGGAGCGTGGAGAAAATGAGAAACCTAAGAAACAAATACTGGCAAATGCCTAAGAGGCAAAATTCGTGAAAAGAAAGGGGGGGTAGGGGGGTTGAATTAAATAAGGGAGGGTGTGCAGAAATCAGAAGAAGAAATCAGACCTTTCCCTCCACTTTATTGAAAACCATCCATTCATGCTGGATTTAAAGTACATGGGGAGCACACTATAACAAACCAATGGAGAATAAAAAACTTTGTAAGACCTTTAAAGTCTATAAAACTGTAATGTCTTTTTTTACAACTGTTGACAATATATACAAAGGAACTCTTGTATTTCTGTTGGTGACGGTTCCTGTTTTACTCATTATATAAATTCTACTGAAGTATTTGCTGTGAGATATACAAGGGAAGTGAGTAAAACAGTAATCCCTTAAGGACACAACTGAAATAAAAAGGAATCATGACGGAATATTTCCGTCATGTGTCCTTAAGGGGTGTTTAAAAAAAAACAAAAACTGTTAGTGCAATTGATGTCATTTTGCCTTTTTTCAATTTTATTTTGTATTGGATGATTCAACTTTTTTATTTATTTAAAAAAATAAAATAAAATCCTGACCAAGGGCTGATGTGGTTTTGTATTTCTTATTTATAAGACTCATCACAAGCATCATCACACGTGTTTCAAATCAGTATAAAAAATTCTGAAATAATTTCTGTAGAATGCTACATTTACAAACAGAAGTAAGATTACTTTAAAAAGAGAGGGGGTGAGGGGTGGAAGAGGTAATCTAAGCAACATAAACTCTAAGCAACATAAACTCTTCATTTCATTGAAGTGGTTATGGTACCTGGACTCCTCTGGCACTGGTCGTTTGTTCAGTGTTAAATCGTTTTGCAATCAATTAGTCCAAGCACCATTAGGAAGCAGTGATTCACAGACAGTGTCAGCTGAATGCTCTCAGTTTATTACTGTTGCCCAGTATACCATTGCTGGTATAACTTGGTACATTCCGCATTAGCCATACCTACAGTGTGGGAACCCCAGTGTTCTCATTTAATGTTAAACTGTAGGAGAATGACTTTACATGAGAGGTATTGTCTGTGGACTAAATATCCTTCAGAAATCTTCTAGCAGCTAATGCTTTTCATCGTAGCAGTTTATTTTTTTGCAGACCTTCCAAAGTTCTGGACAAAAGATATACAGAGGGATTTCGTTTTGAAATACCGATTTGAGTGAAGAATTTATTTTTTTCAAGTATGACTATGCTTTTGGGCGTAACCACCACATGTTAAAGGGACACCGTAGGCACTGTATCTGCTTCATCTCATTAAACTGGTTATCGTGTATGGAGTCCCCTGGTGCCATCATTTCTTTCAGCATTAAACAGTTTTTAATGTTTTAATGCTAAACAAGAGACCACGGCAGTCCATCCCCTCTGTGCTGCTTTGGCTAATAAGGAAGTATTACCCTGAGCAGCAATGGGCAGCTGTGATTGGCTGAGAGTGTCAGCTGACTGCTTTTAACCTGTCAGAGCTCCAACTGACGGTATGAATGGGTATGACAACAAGGAAGTGTGTAATCTCTGCCTTAGCTACACATACAGAAGGGGCCGGACTGTGGGTGGCCAGGGACTCTTATTTTGTGGCATACTGCACGAACATGGTGCAACACTGAATGGAGGGACAGTGCCAGGGCACTCCAGGCACCATAACCAATTCAAAGAGATGAAATGCTTAGTGACTACAGTGTCCCTTTAATGTAGGTTGCTGATTTGGCTGCAGTATATCTAATATATAAGTCTGTAGTGGGTTTCCCCATTCCATACAGCCTAACTGGAATAGTTAATAGAATGTTATGGAGAATATTAAATAAAATGCTGACATGCATCACTTGGACTTTATTTTTTTGTTTACGCATAGTATTAGGCACTGCATTAAGTTCCACTGTTAACACTTACTTGATCTTGTGTGATATTCTTATAAATATAAAGCTACACAATAAAAGTGATTTGAAAAAATAGATATAACATTGGAATAGTCAATACTGTCAATAACTACAGTGTCTCCACTACTTTATAGTAGAATTGGAATGTTTTTGTTTTTAGTAAAATAATACTGTCACAATTACGGTAGGCCAAATGGTATTTATGTAAAACATTACATTTTTAAAATTATTATTCAGGCCCCCTGGGGCACAGTAATCAGAAGTTTGAAAAAAAATCATGTTTCCACAACTATTCAAGAGTTGCATACTGCAAATCTGCAGGTACCCTTAGCAACGGACCCTGTTTTAAACACAGCTTTTTAAGCATGGACTATGATCTAAAAGATCAGTGATCAGAAATGAGCCATGGACTGCAGTTTTGACCTTGTGAGTCTCATCGGCACGGAGCACATTTGCCTTATAGTTCCCAGTCCACTCCCTCTACATATCTAATAGCCATCTAATATCCAAGACCTCTCTCCTATATAAATCGTAAGGGCCCAAATTTAAGAAAGAGGACTAATTGTCTTGTTGATGCAAGTAATGCAGTAAATGTTCTAAAACAAATAAAAATAGTGGTGAGCAGGGCCCAACCAGAAAAGTCCAAAATAACGGCATGCAGGGAGCATCAGTGAGCGTAAAGCATTATTATTTACATAAATATACAGTGTTGTTTGTTGAGTTTATATTACCCAGACCTCTGTAAAAACCTTGACTACCAAAATAATGTATACATGGGTAAAAGTATGTTTCCATACCCTAGAATCGTGTATATGTTTTGACTCATTTGCAATAGGAATATGCTTACTGCAAGAGAGCAAGGAGAGTGTGTGAGTTTGTGTTTCTAAAGAGACAATATGGCATTTGCTTTCTGGATAAATGCTACAATCCTCTAACAATGTAAAATGATTATAGAATTTTGTTCAAATCTTTATTAAGACAGGTAGAGTGCAAAAAAATTGGTCAGCAGATTGTTGAGTAATGAATCACAACGAATAACTAACATTCCATTATTATTATTATTATGATATTTATATAGCGCCATCAAATTCTGCAGCGCTTTACAATTGGTGGACGAACAGACATGTAGTTGTAACCAGACAAGTTGGACACACAGGAACAGAAAGGCCGAGGGCCCTGCTCAATGAGCTTACATGCTAGAGGGAGTGGGGTAAAATGACACAAAAAGGTAAGGATAGTATTAGACTATCCATAGATCCATACTAACAAAAGGTTCGTAAGGCAACGTAGTTCAATAAATTAGAAGAACATCCCTTATTCCGTATTGCAAAACAAGCAGATGGGGATCCACATAATTGGAGAGATTGGCTAGACAGGGCTTGGAGCTATTAAGTTTTCCATGTAACCTATCAAGTACAATGGACCCTATTTTGCAAATAAATACTTGAAGGTATAGCATTAATGGAGAGTTGTGCCACCTGAAGAAGAGTAGAAGCTCAAAAAAGTCAAAATTTTATATACACAAAAAAAAAAAAATTTCTGGACTGCCTATATCAGTTTTGTCCAAATTGTGGATGTGGCTACCAAGAATTAGGAAAGTAGACATGCTCCAGGGGTTAGCCCTAATACATGCTCAAACTGCACTCCATTTCCTTCCCAATCCTGATTCCAGTGATGATGTCCCTTTGCCCTGGGTCGCGCTCTTTCTCTGCCAGAGTGTGCTGTGCATGCATTAGGACTTCACCTTAGGAAAGCATTGACTCAGTGCTTTCCTATGGGGATTTAGAAAACTATGGACATCCCCATGCAAAGCTTGAGGACGTCCAGCAGCATTTCACAGCGTCAGACTCCATGAAACTGCAGGAAGTGCCTCTAGTGGCTTTCTAGTAGACAGCCACTAGAGACAGCTTAAGAACTGCAATATAAATATATGTTTTACATTGCAGGACTAAGGGGGACAAGGACATTGTACCCAGACCACTTCAATGAGATAAAGTGGTCTGGGTGCCTATAGTGTCCCATCCAAAATGAATACTCCAAGCACCATACCTGCAATAGCCCATAGTAGCGCCCTCCCAGAATAATCTAACCATTTAAGAACAGTTTGACAACTTACCTGGGACCTGCTGAGTGTCCGTCACGGCCTCCCCTGATGCCGGAAGCTCTTTACTAGGAGCTTTCATTAGCTTCACTAAGCTAAGCCGCATAGTGCAGGGCCGGCTCATTGACTCAAGAGTATCAGCTAAGCACTCAGCCAATGAGAACAGTTCTGCACCACCGGGCTTGGCTCAGTGCAGAAACTTCTGACTGTAGAGGTGATTGCAGCAGTAGGTAGGCAGTACCCAGGATGTCAATCATGGGGAGAGGAGGGCACATTTGCCATCGAAACCTCTGCAGCGTGCTTTAGTGGTTATGGTGCTTGAGCTGTTCTGTTACAAAAGGGAGAGATGCAATGACAGATTCAGTTGTATGAATGGATCAATGTGAATTTCTGAGTCTTCGTTTGACCAATATTTCTTATTAAAAATACTAGCAATAAGTATCTCCTCCCCAGCCCCCCGACCCCCCGTTTCCCCATAGGTTAGGGGCCCAGCTTGACCTCCATAATCCAGGGTAGACCCAAGTGCCTTGACATTACATATGATAGTTAATATGTTACAATACTAGACCTCACTTTACTGTTGTTTGTTGATCTCCTTTTCCTTGTTCTACTTGGTTTAAGTCCCGTTATAGCGACTGCATTAGTATAGCACACCCCAGGGCAACTTCCACCTGACCACGCATCGCTTCCCCAACGAAGTGTTAACATACTATGTCTGCTAAGAGAGGCTATGTTATCAAAATATTTGACCTAGTCTAATATAACAAAAACAGTTGAACACACTATGTCTACTATGTTTTGTGCATGTAGTCACCGCGACTAAAGTTTGTATGCAATTATTAATTGACTATGGCGTAAAGCAACACCAGCACAAATAAATAATTTTTAAAAAATACTAGCAATAAGGACACATAAGTCAAAATGGTATTTTTTGTGAAACCTAAATAAATATACCATTCAGATTACAATCATACTTCTGGATATCCCCTTAGCCTAACTTTCCTGTATGGCTCAATGTTGTGGTTTAGTTATTCCATTTGGGACTCCCCTTCTCCATGCCTTTACTCTGCATATGTTTTACCTACTTTCTCTTTCTTTCTTTCTTTTTCTTCCTTTCCTTTTCCTGTTTTTTTTTATTTTCAATTTTTTTTTTATTTTTTGTTTACACATAGCATTAGGTACTGCATTAAGTTCCACTGTTAACACTTACTTGATCTTGTGTGATATTCTTATAAATGTATATAAAGCTAAACAATAAAAGTGATTTGAAAAAATAGATATTACATTGGAATAGTCAATATTGTCAATAACTACAGTGTCTCCACTACTTTATAGTAGAATTGGAATGTTTTTGTTCTTAGTAAAATAATACTGTCACAATTACGGTAGGCCAAATGGTATTTATGTAAAACATTACATTTTTAAAATTATTATTCGGGTAAAGAAGGCCCTAAAACATGTTTCTTTCTCATGGGTGGCAATGACATAATGTTAATTAGTTTCCAGTACAGTGTTACAAAATCCCAGACTAGAGAATTTTGTTATGATAAAACCAGTTGAACAACTTGGAGAATGTCTCAATGTATTTTTAGCATTGCAAAGGTAGAGAGGATATGCACACACTATCCTGGGTGTACTCCCATCGGTGTTCTCCAGACATCCCAGGAAAGTTTCGATAGAACAATGTAGCTCGGGACAAACCTGGTGATTTCTTCGGTAGGCAGCTTTATTATAAAGTACAGAACAAAACTTGACTTGAGAAAGGCTCCAAGTAGCCGAAACGTTGGTTTTGTTCTGCACTGTACCATATCAATTGCTTTCCGTTGATGTGCTCATAATTTGCCATTTAAATCACTTTCATTGAAATTCCATCACAAAAAAAAGTAGTAACTATTTTGTCTGATATAATTGTCAATCTGTATCAATCTTTCGTGAAATACAGATTTTCCGCTTGTAACGGAGCACCCTGTACCCTGACTGGGTACCTCTGCTAAGGACCGCTTCCTAGCTGGAACAGGAGACAAACCGCAGCACTTCTGCCAACAGTCACTGTGCCTTGACTGGGGTCCTGGAACCGCTCCTTCCTGGAGCCGAATGGGGAATTAGCTCTAGTCCTTACAAGGACTTTCCCCGTTAAATCCCCTGCAAGCTGGAACAGAAGACACAGGAGTAAATCTTCTTTCCCTCCAATAACAGGACGACACACAGTTTCGAGAGTGTAAGCTGGAATAGGATTTTAATGGAGGCACACTGGCCTTTTATGCAAGTTTCCCAACAAGGGTGACGCCCAGGTGGACCTTGTTGGGCACAGGGACACAAAGTGAATAAACCAATAAAAACAGTCATACAGTGAGAAACTCCCATAAACAAACAATAGAATCCCTCCTCTGTGCTTGGGAGATAATCGAATCAGGAACTGTACTAATCGAACCCAATTATCTCCAAGCACAGAAAAACATACAATTGTATGAAACCCAAAAAAGTACCTTAAAACCACTTAAAACCCCATGATAGCCCCAATCTGGGTGAACAACATATCCAAAAATCACCCAGATTGGATCAGGGGTTCAGGAATTTCCTGGAAGTCATAGTTTTGACCGACTGTGCACATGGTCCTATGCCCAAAACAGTTCCAGGGAAAACAGTGCTAACAATCGGTCAAGTTCGGTAGTCTTTTACAGGTTTCCCTGCAGGGCCCATAGTCTGTGGGCAGGAGGCTGGCAAGCAGGCTCCTCCAGGAGCTCGTGGCAAACTCGAGTAGAAAGGGGAGTTTGCCACACCGCTGCTTTTTCTCATCAGCCATGATGGCTAATTGGAACAGACATCATTTCCCACAACGCGTAATAGGCATTTATGGCAGA